GGAAATTTTACAATAAGCAAAAACAATAATGAAGCTAATCATACCATTACTTTTACGGTAATATACTAAGAAACAATAAGAGGAGCTTGAGTTCATTTATTTCGCAAAGATGCAATCATCTAACCATAAAAATTCCATTTCATTAGAGTTGAAGAAGATGATATAGTGGCATGATGAAAGTGAATACTGTATTAACTATTGAGCACTTTCAGTGACCCAAATGTCTCCAACACAAATAGTCCTTCGTGAGAATGTCCTTGTATAAAGAATTTGAAATTTTCCCTCCATCCACGTTGACAACAATTACAGACAGCACATCTTTATTTTAGAGGAAAATTGAGTGTGGGTAAGTGAACTTTTCAAATTGTTTTTGTTTCTTTGGTGGCTTCGTGGTTTCACTTGATTACCTTGTTATAAGAAGCTCAAAATGTCTTGGCAAAGTGTGAGTCTGTATTTGAATTGTGGACAGAATATAATCTCATTTACTTGTTAAATAAGTATATCGATGACAACCTATTAGCTTCTGGTTTTTGCTATGCCGCTATTTGTGGCTTTGATGGTTCTCCCTGGGCCAACTCTCCAGGATTCCAGGTTTGTGAGGAAAGCTAGACTATTTCTATTTAATGACCTTTTTCAAGTTGTTGCCTGAGGAAGCAACTCTATTGAGCAAAGTTTTATCGGAGGGAAATATTGATACGATTGCTTCCAATGGTTTTACAGTAGCTGGACAAAAATATGCCTTTACTCGTGCAGACTTGGATGACGAAGAGGCAGCCCCGAGTATTCAAGGAAGATGCAAAGAAGTAATGATTTATTTATGAGTCATATTCTCTTATTTATGATATTTCACTGTTAGGAAGGTTTATCTGGAAGAGGTTTGATTGTGATGAAAAGTAATCAGGCCTTGATTGTAGGAGTCCATGATCCAGAATACACAAGCGCAACTTTCCGGCAGGTACTACTTGTGCTCTCTTAAGTCGATCAGTGTAAAGTGTCTGTTTTAGGTGAATCTGGACATGACAAACTTGGCCAACTATTTGATGGAGAATGGCTTTTAGTCTAGCCATGAACGACTTGTGATGCTCAACATTTCCCAATATTTGATCATCAGTTCGAGTAGCCAGTTTAATGACATGTTACTTGTGTGTTGTGTTGAAATAAAGGCATATGAATGACTTGGATATTTCTTTTTGAACAATCCAAAAGAAACAAGTACGTATTTCTTATTTTCAAATAAAATGCAACGGGAACGCAATTTAAACTTATCAGATGGAGGAAGAAACTGGTACGGAACAACTAGAGACTCAAACAGGTGGGGAAACCGTAGAAGAACAATCAGATAATCCTGTAGAAACCGAAACTTTTTCGAATCAGTATTTAGAACAGCTTATCTTGTCATACTTTAAACATCATTGTTTTTCCAAGACAGCAGAGTCTTTTGCTAGTGAACTTGCTGGGGAGGTCAAAGTAGAGCCTATTTCAGTAACGACTACTGAAAGTTTGAATGTTTTGATTCCAAGACAAATACAGTTACTGGATAAACAAGAACTGGAATTATTGGATTTGAGAAAAAGTAAGCTACTTGTCTTGGGCGCTTGCAACTATCTTCATCGACTTGTTGTATTCATAGGGGTATGGCAACTGATAAAGAAAGGAGATTGTTTAACGGGTTTGGACTGGGCTAATGTTGTACTACGTCGCAGTATTCAAGGCAGTGGAACAACACAGTTCAAGCCTGAAGACGACTGCTTGGAGACGTATTTTCCAAAGGTTGCCTTTCGAGTTTTTTGTCATCACTTTGTAGAATTGATACGTCAAAACAAGCCTTTGGAGGCATTATCTTTTGCGAAAAGCAAACTTGGTCCTCTTTGCGATACTGATTCGAGTTTTATCGAAAGATTCCAGGTATGAAGAATTGAATACTTGAGCATGGATATTTAGTCCCTAAAAACTTTTCAAAGGACTATTTAGCTCTTTTGGCGTATGAAGATCCCGAAAAGTCTCCCGAGTTTCATCTCATGTCTTTGGAAGAACGCGACGAAACTGCAGAGGAAGTCAATGGCTGTTTAGTTAACTTTCAAGGTAATCATGAAGAAAGAAATTGTTTCATTTTGGCTCATAATGAGTACTGTTGAAGTGTATTATTCTTTAGGGATTCTCGGAAGGTTCTCTTTGTTGGAAAGACTAGTTCGTCAACTAGGGGTAACGATGGACACACTATCCGAACTTTCTGATTCCAACAAAGAGAAGAAATGGAGCTTCCATGATTACGTTATTTGAGAGCATATATGTTTTGTAAATGAAAAGATTTTTCGACTTGTAAAGAGCGATTCATGTCAAGTTGTTATGATTGGTGGAAATGGGCAGTGCAAAGAGTTTATGACTCAGTGTGTTCACTCTCAAAACACCAACCATTATTCATTTTACAATAGTCTTCACGTTGCAAAATGAATTCCTGTTCAAGAAATATTCACTGGAACCGAAGACAACTTGTATCGAAAATTTTCATACTCTTTCAAAAACAATTCTCGTTTCTTTGCGATCCATCTTCACAGGGCCATGTGTCATGATCGATATGTTTTCGGGTAAATTATTTAATACTACGCGACTTTCTTCCCTTTCCAGTTGCAAGTGCTCAGCCAAGTACTTGGGCAATGCTGCTATTCTAGGTAAACCAAACACATGAAGCTCTTGGACCCTTGCATTCCAATCGGTCTCCTTATTCTCAAAGGCACGAGTTGATTCTACTTCAGGACCCAAAAACAACATCGTGCCTTCCTTCATAAGCAACGGATATTCTCTCCATGAATATTTTCTGGTCAAAATTTGTCCTCCTCTCCATCTTTCTCCAGTCCACCAATCGTACCAGTAAAGAGAATCATCAGGAATGTAAAATGTTACTTCGTCTCGTGGATTCGTTACAGGTGATACCAATATACAAGGACCAAATAAAAACTCCAACTCAAATTGTCGACCAATCACATCTCGATGATACACCAAAGGTAAAGCTCGCATAACTGGTAAACCCAAATGACGAGCTTCCTCTAAACAAAATTCAAGATACAACAATAGTCGATATCGCCATTTCATGCATTCAAGTATCCCATCTTCCACTTGTTCAAATATCCAAGGCTCTGACGGTCCAAGGCCGTGAAATCGCATATGGCTCGAGTAGATAGCTGTTTGTGTCCAACGAAGGAGTAATTGACTGGATAGATAATGTTCTCTACTATAGAAACCTCCAATATCCGTAGCATAACAAGTTCCACCACTCATTCCCCAGGATAATCCACCTCGTATAGAAGCTTCTAAACCTCCCCAATCTGCTTGCGGATCTCCTCCCCACTGAGTTGGATAACATTGACTGGAAATCCAACCGGATCGACCAAACACCATAGCTGCTCCATTCTTTGGATTACCGTAAAGTTGTGTAGCCTCATATACACAACGATTATACAACAGTGAATATACATTATGCAATCTTTCTCCACTATCACCATTAAAAGCAATAGCTCTATCTTCTATTTGCTCACCAAAGTCAGTCTTCATAACATCCACTCCAATATCAAACAATTTCTTGTGACTTTCACACCAAACTTTATACGCTTCAGGGTTAGTAAAATCCAAAATGCCACTATTTGGAAGAGGAGGGCAACTTGGAAGAGAAAGGACCTCGTGGCCAAACATATATCAAGGTTTCTCCACTAGCCTTATCTTTTAACAAGTATTCCTTTCTTGCAAGTTCAACAAACCAAGGATGATAAATAGAAATCAGTGGATATTCCCAACAAGCAACTCGAAAATTCAAACGATGTAATGTTTCTACCAATGCAGCAGGATTCGGATATCGAGAAGGATCCCATCCAAACGCAAATCTCGTAAACGTGTCCAACCATGTTCGACCATCCAATAGAAAAACATCCGAAGGAAATTGCTTCTTACGCAATCGAGTAGCAGTTTCCACTATTTCTTGTTCATTTTTATACCAAGCACGAGAAATCCAAATTCCCAAACCCCAAAGAGGGAGTTGAGGAGTTTTTCCGGTCAACCAACTATATTTTTGCAAAATATTCACACAATTTTCTTCAAGAAATATGAAAATATCCAATGCGGAATCTTCCTCGACGAATCCTATATAGGAGCGATGAGAATATTGTGGGTAGCCTACTGCATGATAGACTCTATTAGGAGTATGAAACAAGATTCCCCAACCCTTAGTACTCCATAAAAAGGGACAGTTTTTATAGGACCATTCTGCATTTACTCCAACGGCATCTCTATTATCTGAAGAGATCCACTGTCCACGTTTATTCAGGGATGACCATTTCTCTCCTAGTCCATAAATGGGTTCTCCACTTTCTAATCCCAGAGCAAATGACCAAAATCTTCTGTTCTGCCATATGCCCAAACCCATAGGAGGGATTCTATGAGGTGATACAAAAGAGGCGTCTTGAGGTGAGGTTATCCTAAGCTGTGAATCCTTGAAAAACGAAAGCGAACCCGAATTTTGATCGATATGAATTGCAAGGCTCTCTGACTCTGCTACCCACTGATCATTACTGGAATACCAGTATGGATTGGTTATTTTCGAATCAAGGTTTTCTCTAACGAGTCCGTAGTTCACCGAACTGGCTGTTCCCAAAGATATGCGTACTAGAGTAGAATCTATGAACTGGACGCACAGGTCTCCCAGGTTTGTCTTCAAGTGACTTTCTCGATTCTCTAAAAGTGGCGCTAAGAATCTTGCTTTCTCTATTTTCGATAGGTCAGGGTGCCAAGAGGTTTCAAAAGAAGACTGAAACATCTTGAGGACTTTTAGTTATCGGCTCCTTGATTGATCTCTCTTCTCACTCACACTTCTCTTCAATTTGGAGTCGAAAAAATTGAATTGCCATTGGACAGACAGAGCAAAGAGCATCGAGGTATACAAAAGTATATCCAAACAATGAAACAAATTTATGTGCATTATTATCTTGTCTCAAGAATCGTCTCTTATTTCTTTGCTCCAAGGTGCTTGACAATATCTAAATATAGTTGATTCCTTTACACTCTTTTGTTACGAGAATACCAGTACAGCAATCCATTTTGGTTAGAAGAATATCAAACAGACACTTGTTTTTTTCCCACATATTCGGCATTTGCTGTTTTTAAAAATAATAATATGTAAGAATAAATAACAAAAAAGTCAACAAACCGCAGCTGACTTGGGGTATTTTGTGAAAATTTCGGGTTACAGTTTAGATTCAATTTTACTTGTACTAAACTTCTTCATTTTTCCAAAAATAAAGTATTCTTGAATCTTTTCAACAACCTCAAGTCTTTTGAACGGTAACACTTACTTATCGTTTCCTACGCATGCAGTGATTCCAAAATGCCAATTCCATGGCTGAAGCCAAGGTAGGGAATGGCGAATGATGTTTCCCTGCATCTTTCCAAGTATATACTGTCATATTTCGGTTCCGAAGTGTATCCTCCTTACAGGGAGATAAATGCATACAAAGCTTAGTGAATTCATATCCATAAACAAATTTATAGGCCATCCATGCTGGGACACAATCATCATCTTCTTTAACCTGAAAGAATATATTTGGCAAACGTAGAAACCAGCGATAGTCTTCCTGTATTCGGACAAGAGACTGAATAGTCATCGGGGTCTTCCATGGAAACAATGAACGACGAATTCGAAGAAAACGAGCATTGAACCTTCTCCAAGGACAGATAGAAGTCCATGAATCTCCGAATTCCAAATAATCTAAATAAGAATCTTTCAGACTTCCTTGTTGATTTATAAAGTCATAAGGGCAACAAAAGGGAGAATACAACGATATACCACCAAATATTTCAGGTTGCTCATATACTGCATGAAGCAACGCAATCGCACCCGCAGAGAATGTTCTCGCAAATATTTGTCCAGGTTTTGTCCACTGTTGATCCACAAGGGTTTGTATTACGGTAAGAATATCATCTTTTGATATATGTTTCCCTTGTTGAGTTCCTGCCAAATGCCAGTTGGAACCTAGCTCTCCTCCTCCACGGATGTGTGCAAAACTACAAGTTCCATGGGTTCAACAAAGATTAACAACTATTACCAAATGACCTACCATAATATCCAACCTTGTTCTAAAAGAAGCATGAAACTAGGAGAAAGTTGTGTATCCAAACTTTCACCATAACAACCATAAGACTCTAATAACAGGGGAGTTCTTCCATTCCTACCAAGACCTTTCTTATGGACGATAGTATATGGAATAGAACTAGTACCAGTTGTTCTATCCTTTCTCGTCCATAAGCGATGCCATTCGAATGATGATAATGAACAGGAGTTCCAAGATAAGGATTGCTGTTTTCTTCTCAATACTGAATGCAAACTTCCTGTTGTAAGGTCTAAAGAATACAGTTGTACTGGAACAGTGGGCGAAGCAACATATACCAATATTTTGTTACAAGTATATGACCAGGAATCGCTTTGTCTACAAAAGGAGGCACTGTCAGTTTTAAATGGAAAAGTCACTGATTCCCATTGTGGATAATAAGTTACGTTGTCTTCATTTCTATCTTTGCTTCGTTTGGAAATTAGGTCATCGTATGGCACCGTTGAGCATTTCGTCTTAAATAGATATAAATATGTTTGCTGACGACATAAAACCACGATATAATCTTTAGTGACGTACAAGTCTAACAGTACAGAGTCCTGTAAAGGAGAACCCAACTGAATACATGTCGAAAAGTTTTCCAAATCTTTCAACATATAGACAACTTGGGGCTTCTTGTAGGATGAACGATGAATCCAATAGAAATAATTGCCACCATGCGTCATTTGATTGATACCATCTAATTGAATCCGCTTCCAATTATCTACAACACTCTTCTTTTCATTCGTAGTAGGTAACAATAATATTTCCGTGTCATGTAAAGATTGAATATGTACCATAACATATGCAGAATCATGACTGGTATGCAAGTCCATTGAGCCATACTTTTGTTCCATTTCCATAAAAATGAATTGTTTCCAAGACGAACTGGCTCCTTCCTTAAAGTTCAGAACGAGACGTTCTATACCTTTCTCATCTACTACAAGTAGTGCAAAGGCATTTCCATTATTCAACCAAGCCATATTTCTTATACCAGTAAACGTCTGTATAAAACTTGATAAACTTGCTCCTATATCATGTTCCACATTCGGTTCCTTCCATACATCGAAAAGTGTACAAGTCTGACTATCATCCTTTTCATTTCGCCATATGATTGCAATGGTATCGTCTAAAGGACTTGGACAAAGAACTTCAGGGAAGAGCTCGGGACGTTGCTTTGAAAATTTCAATAGACTTTTTTCTAACAATGTCTTGGATGATCTTCGATGATCATTCGGAGTGTCAACGGCCTGAACCAGAATTCTAGGCGAGGACTGGGTAGTATCGTATAGATATTCATGTGATGAGTTGCGATAGAAAATGCATTCCTCCTGAAACCAGAATAGCTGCAGTCTCAGATCCACTTTTGAAGCTATTCTGTCGATGCCTCTTCCTGAAATACCTAACGCAACTTTTGTTCTCTCATTTTGTTTCCTTTGAAAGGCAAAAATTTTCGGAAGTGTTTCTTTCTGTAACCAACGCAACGAAACAGTTTTCTTCTTGGCTTGTTGAATGGTTTGTCTGAGGTGGGAGTCTGCCGTTGTACAGAAAGAGGTGGCCAACTGGACTGTCCTTGAATAGCGTAATATGCAAACTACTGGTTTCAGCACCCTCTGAAACAGTGAAACGGTATTTCCTACCATTCTTCACAAGTCAGAAAAGCTGTACAGAATTCCAGTTTATGACATGTGACAGCGATATACTGCAATGCTTCTAGTCTTTGGAATGTGACCCATCAATCTGATAATGATGTGATGGTGGTGGTGGAATCTTCATTCGGATCTTATTTATTCTTCTTGTTATATATGCTATTTTCTAGAATTGGTCACTATCTTATTATTACAATAATGACTGTAAGTGTAGTGTCTTCAACATGAAGCTTTTCAAAAGATACCATTTACTATTCTTTTGTAAGTAAACAAGGATAAACCTACATCTAGAGACAAAGTCCTCATGGGATGCTTTCTTATTTCTTCTAAAGACTCTATATACATATAAAGTGATGAATGACTAACTCTTTTTTGTGATCTAATGTTGTGATAATATTTTATATTGAATAAGAGTGGCTTCCTATTGGGTAATTCTCTTAGGATCACAATCCTTTCTCACAAATGGGGCACATCACAAGATGAGCTCGGAGCAGATTCTCAAGAGTCCAAAGCATTATCCCTCAATGTACTTGTTTACAAGTACGTTTACTGAATATTGTTGCCGAAATAATACTTTGGTGACCCATCCTTTTCGTTGCCGCAAACAAAAGTCGCAAGTGGATAGTTTTCAAGGCAACTGGCTATTTTGTAAAGGAAAACGAAAATTATTCGTTGGTATACCCTTGAATAGAAAGTACTTGGTAGAAGAGAAGAAAGAAATTTCCACACTAGGAGAAATTATCACTAGTATATATATGGACGATATTGCGGAAACCAATTTGGTTAGTTGGAAAGAAGTCGGTGTGACAACTGGCCAAGAAAAGACGTTGACAAACACCTCAAAGACTGAAACGAAGAAATACAAACTGCCTGAGGAAGTCAGAAGAAAAATATCGATGGCTATGATTGGACGGAAAAAGTCGAAAGCTGCTAGAGCAGCCATGTCTATGGCTAAGAAGGGTATGGTTTCACCCAATAAAGGTCATAAACTGACCATCGAGGCTCGTGCAAGGCTCTCTTTATCTATGCTGGGAAGAAGAGCTTGGAATAAAGGTAGAAAGTTGTCGATGAAGCATAAAGTTGCTATTGCCAACTCGCTTTCGAATAGAAGCTTATCACAGGAACATCGACAAAAGTTGCGAGTAGCAAGATTGAGACCAACGGATCGTATATTGAGTTCCAATGTGATATGCTCAAAAGTACAGAAAAAGCTAGAGTCAAGTCAAGATAGGAAAGATTCTTTTTATGCAGAAGAAAGGCAGGGACGAGTGGATCATACAGAATGGCCACTGTTGACAACACAAGAGATTAATGAGTATGTTTCCTTAAGAAGAGAACTTCGGGTATGGAGTGAGAAGTTCAGTTTGGATGGAGGCAGCACTCCATCTATGTCGACTCTCAGAAGAAAGGCTCCCAAAGCAATTTTGAAAAAATATGAAAAGTATTTAGAGTATCGAGAACGTTTCCGAGGTTTGGCCTTTGATGTTTATGGAAAGATTGCCCCTGGTTCCGTTTCGGTTTCTCCTCGGGGAGGAAGATGGAGAAGAACTCAACCGAATAAGTGTTCTGATGAATCTTCTTCCGTCATAGAAAGTTCTCCTCCAGAACTTCTTGGTATAGTAGCTTCCTTATTTTATATTTTTATTGCTAACTTTATAGTTAGATTCTTCGTTGTGTCATTGCGAAGAAATTCAGAAATATGTTGCGTCTAATCCTACTAATCATGCTTCCATATATTTGACTCCGAGTGCCTATCGTATATTAGGTCGGTATAGGTTGTTAGAGACTCACGATATTCATGAGTTCGTCGCTCTTCGAAAGGACTTGAGGAGCTGGTCTAATTCATATTTTGAAGAGCATGGCAGAAGACCAACATTGCGAGATGCAGAAAAAAATCTTTGCAGTGAATCTCTAAAGAAGTTCAAAAGATATATTGAAATAAGAGAGCAAATTCAAGGTTTGGTGCGAGAGACCTTTGGCATTGAACAACTGGATATGAACTCTATCGAAGCAATGACGGAAACAAGTTTGCAAATTTTAAAAAGTTTGAAATTTGCTCCTTCAGATGCGAATATGAAAGATATTTTAGGAATGGATTCAACAAAGTAGGTGTTCCAAGCTATGGTGGAGAAAGGATGATTATAACAACTCGTCGATTTCAAATGTAGAATAATATCCTCAAAACTATTCACATATATCTCAATCTATAGGAATAAGTGACTTTCAAAGTGCAATATCGATTTTTATTTGGTTTATATATTCCATAAATGAAGGCTTTACAAAGTTACTGTGTCTTGACCATTCCATTTTATTGGGTCACGACGTCCGCTCAATGAAATGAAATTATTTTGCATTTCCTGACGTCGATCGAGTCGTTCTTTTGGGACGACGGAAAACAAGCTTGTCTTTTATATCTCTCTTGTTATTAAAATATGGCAGACGGGTAAGTGGTCAACAATTTTCAGAGTTTTCTCGTTTCCTGTCAAGCGCACGGCTGGTGGTATCTTTTAAGACCCCTTTCTGCAGGGGCAGGAAATGGAAGGGTTAACCCCAAGACACCAAATAGTCTGTTGAAACTAACTCTTTCGTTTCTTTTCATAGAACAACCTCAGTTGAAACAGTGGAAAGAAACGACAAAGCTACTGTAGACTCAGAAGCACCCAAAGGAAATAAATGGGAATCTTCAGAAGTTCAAGTTTACGAAACTTTCGACGACATGAACCTTCGAGACGAGTTGTTGAGGTACCATTCTTGTTCTTTTTTTGTTCACATATCTTAGTGTTTGTTGTTGTGAAGGGGTATCTTTGCACATGGGTTTGAAAAACCCTCCGAAATCCAGAAAAGAGGAATCCTCCCCATCGTGAAAGGAAGAGACACCATTGCTCAAGCACAATCTGGTATGGGAAAGACGGCAACTTTTGTTGTTGGGATTCTTCAGAATGTAGACACTTCTTTCCAGAAAGTTCAAGCGCTAATCCTAGCACCGACTCGGGAGTTGGCGCAACAAATTCAAAGGGTAAGAAGATCCTTTAAGAGACAAAACCGTTCTGAAGAGCTTGAGTAGGTTGTAAACGAACTTGGGGACTTTATGTCTGTTAGATGTCACGCATGTATCGGTGGAACCCGAGTAATGGATGATATCAGGACGTTCCAAGAGAATGTTCCCCACGTCGTTGTGGGTACTCCTGGTAGAGTGTTTGATATGATGAATAGGAAAGTATTCGAGACAAAATATATAAAAAGTTTTGTCTTGGACGAAGCTGATGAAATGTTGTCAAGAGGCTTCAAGGAACAAATTTATGATGTTTTCCAATATATGCCGGCGAACTGCCAAGTGGGCTTATTTTCAGCTACGATGCCCCAAGATGTATTAGAAATGACTGAGAAGTTCATGAGAGACCCGATCGTTATTTTGGTAAAGAAAGAAGAACTTACTTTGGAAGGTATCAAGCAATACTACATTGCAGTTGAAAAAGAGGAATACAAATTTGAGACTTTATGTGATCTTTACGAAACATTGACAGTAACTCAGGCTATTATTTACGTCAATACACGGAGAAAGGTTGATTGGCTCACTCAAAAGTTGCGAGAGCGCGACTTTACTGTGTCATGCCTACATGGAGATATCGATCAAAAGGAAAGAGATTTAATTATGAGAGAATTTAGGACTGGTTCCTCTAGAGTATTAGTCACAACAGACTTATTGGCAAGGGGTATTGACGTCCAACAAGTTTCGCTTGTCATCAATTATGATCTTCCGACTAATCGAGAGAATTATATCCATCGAATTGGTCGTTCCGGTCGTTTCGGGAGGAAAGGAGTAGCTATCAATTTTATTACGAATGAAGACTTCCAAACAATGAAAGAAATTGAAGAGTTTTACAATACAAAGATAGTGGATATGCCTGTAGATGTGGCTGGTTCTTTGTAAAAGAAGGTTCCTCAACGAATATTTCACCCATTCAAATAGAACTGATTATTAAATATTCCATTTAGAAGAGAACTCTCTCTTCTTTGATAAGGTCACTCTGATAGAAAACTGGTGACTATAAAAAGTTTTTGCTTGTTATTTCGTTATATTCCTGCAAGTATCATATTCTCTTGGAAGCTTCACCCAAGCCAAAGGAGAACTCAGTAATGATCTTCTTCAGCACTGAGAAGATTGGCTAGCAACCTTTCTTCAGCAGTATCCGTCATTCATCATTTTCTCTTCACTGCAACTCAGTAGAGGCTTCCAAGTCAACACGAGAACCTTGTGAACACAACATGAAAGACACGTCGAAAAGAGGCCTTCACACGGAGTTCACTCTGTTCATAAGACAAGCCTCTGTTATCATTGACGGTGAGTGTGGCATAAAAACACTAGTGTCAACCAACATCAACCCGCCTCAAATCAGATCAAGTGTTCATTTCACATTTACTTGAGCAAATCATTTTGTTCAAGGCAACTTGGCGCCATTTCTTTTGTCATGAACTCTGATTGTTCTTTAACAAAGAGTGACTCCTTTTTGTTACTTACTTCACCCAAATGGTTGCTACTTTGGGTTTTTATTAGCACCTACCTTTGCTGTGTTTGTGTTTGGTTGTTTAGGAGTCAAAAGCTTCCCTTGATTACTTTCACGTGAGTCAAGTCTCTCGTCTTTTTTATTTCAATTTGTTAAGTATTCCAAGGAGCCAGACGTTTTGCTTACTGTCTTTTTGTTCTGTGGCTTTGACACTTCGCAGTCTGTATTTTGTTGTAGGCTGTAGACTATTCATATTGCGAATCCTTCACCCAGTTTTCAATCAGTTGACATCTGTCTTTCAAACACTATTCTTTATTGTAGCTGTTCACACCTTATTTCTGGATGGAGTTTGGTGGTTTGTTCTTAGACCCAGGACTAAGGAAAAAGTAGATTTTTTCAATATGAATGAACATGGTCCTCTCAACCTCATTGTCATTCTAATTGAACTGTACTTTGGAAACTTTACTCCACCTCCTTATGTCTTATTGTTTGGTTTTCTATATCTTGTATCCTATGGATTGATACTTTATATTACCGCTGCTTCCACTGGGGAATTTGTGTATTACTTTCTTGATATCAGCAAACCCAAAAATATTGTCTGCCTAATCCTTATACTGTTATGGTATATTGGGAGCTACATGTCGATACGATATTTTGCGTTGATGACATGCGTAAGCTCATCATCAACGGATGGAACGTTTCTATCATCTAGACTTGTTTCTCAACAGGACATCGAAAAATATGGGAATGTCGAAGCCTTTCAAGTCTTCAACGGATTGGCAAAAACAAACAACTATTCGACATTTTCCTGATATCCCTCAAAAAGTTCCAAAACCTGAGGAATTGACTCTTCTATATTGTTCCCGTTTGTCTTGTCGTCTTTCTTGCCACATCAAGATGAGCACTCCAATTCCCAAACCGATAGAAAGCGAGACCAAAACAATGACAACTCCTAACATCTGTCCAGCTCTTTTTGGAGTAAATATTTCCATCCACCAGTTATTTTCATTTTCTACAGTCCATACGACGGCGACTGTATTTGGCATGAGATTCTCCCATCTTTGAATATGTTGTCCAGTTCCCAAACTAACTTCAGCGATATAATTCGCCATGTTTTTGAGACCAAAGAAGCAATCGCAGCTTTGCAAGGGTAAACTTGCAGATTGGGGGCATTGACTACAGATTTGATATACACGACCATCAACTCCATCATAGGAGATTTTAAATGTATTACCGACAAGTGGAGTATAAGAGTGAGGGAAAGAAAAGTATGATAAACCACTTAAACCTATGGCTTTGAAAAATTCTGCTGGGTAATGATTTTCTATGGATAATAACCTCGTCGAGTGTTGTTGGGAAAGAAGAATATCCACTCCACCTCTTATATCAACTACTGCAACGGCTACAGTGTCTACACTAAGCTGCATTATCTTCTCGTTGTCTTTCATTTTATCAAAATGAGTGGCATTGAGAATATCCCAGTTTCCTCTATTTTCAAGCAGGGTAACGGCATTGCTGGACTCATCGATAAATAGCAAATCGGGATATCCATCCAAGTTGATATCACCCCAGAAGATTCTTCGAGGAACTTTGAGTACCTTGTCGATGGAAGTAGTCTTTGCTCCTGCTACCGTATCACTTTCATATCGTTGCACAGTCCTAATCAGCATTCAATAACTCTAAACGTAGCCTATTTCAAAACGAACCATTCATCATCTGGTATACAAAGATCACCAAATTGACGTGTTTTTTGTACATTCAACCAAAAATTCAGATACTTTGTGTCAGGATCACTAGCTACAATGTCCATCGTTCCATCCTTGTTCACATCTAGAAAACTCAAAACACTCCCCTTTTCAAATATCTTTTGGAGAACATCATCTTGAACGATTCGATGTTCTTGTGGCTCTTGTGAACTCAGTTGATAAAAGAATTTACCCTTTGGTACGTTGTTCAACCAGATTTCCAATCCACAATTGGATAGAAAACACAAGTCTGCCAAACAGTCTCCATTCCAGTCCACAAAGGCTGCAGAACTTGTTTCAGATACTTGACAAGAATCATTTCTCCCAGACCTTATTGCAGTAGTAAGTTTTGCACGAAAGAGTTTTCCTCGTTCGACGTACCAAACTGTCCATTGAAAGTTACCAGGCGGTGAATTGATATAGAACGCTTGTTTTTGTGGTATGAACAAGTCAGGAACCAAATCTCCGTTGGCGTCCAATACCAGCACATCGGCAGTCACGTTGGCAAGTTCGGTATCCATTACAAACTGGTTATTATGTTTACCGTAAACTATTCGTCCGACGTTGTCCGTTCCTATCACCAGAATATCCAGTATACCGTCATTATTCCAATCTGCTACGTCTACGGAGACAAGTTGAACACGTTCAGGTAGTTGGATACTTGTATCGTTTTCTACCACAAACATTTGGTCATCTCCCGACCACAGTGCAATAAACAAAGCTCTTCTATTGGCGTCATACAATAGTACATCCAATTGTCGGTCTCCGTTAAAGTCTGCTAATGAAACGGCGGAACCGAGCAATCCCGAAAGTCCTGTAAAGCTGGATTGGTCGACAATATTTCTATAATCTCCGACACTCTGAACCAACTGAAAAGCGTACAACACCACTATCGTCCCTAGTAACCCTATTCTCTGTGAAAGCTGTTGTCCTGAGTGGCAAGACATTCTTCTCAACAGTAGAAATTCTGCCTCCTTGAGACCAGACCTCTTCCAAGTAAGGCTGAAAAAAAGTGAATTATGGTCACAGATAGTGCTAGTATTCCAACGTCAAACTTTATATAGCAAATAATATTATAAAGGCCACTTTTCACTTTCATCTACCATCGATTCAATCCAACCATTTCCATTGAAGACTGTCGTAGAAACAATAACGATACGCTTTCCACTGGAATAGGCCAACGCTTTCATTGCTGCAGCTTCTGCTCTCGTTATGCCTCCAATCATCACAACCACAGCATCAAACAAGGGTTTTCTATTTTTCATTTCTATGGAAACTTGATAACGTTCATGCAATATATCTTCTTCAAAAGCACTATGTCCATTTTTGAACACAGTGCAGAGAGTAGATAGCAACTTTTTCCAAGCATTGTCATCCAAAGCGCCTTGGATGACTCGAGCAGAAAGAGGAATATATCCAGAGAAGGCTTCTGCTTCTTCTATATCAGAAATGGACTCTATTCTCACAATGATGAAGATATATCTTCAACCAAAAAGATATACACCGACCTTTAGGCTGATAATCAACCAACAAACGAAGCGCAGTTCGACAAACAGTCCAAGTAGCGACTTTGGGTGGAGAGAAACGTTTTCCTAAAGCACTGAAAATTGCAGGATCCTTAGCTCTTACTAGGAGACCTGCCTGTTCCAAGTTTTGTAACAATACAATGGTGCCAACCCCATAAGTTGATAATATTTCACGCATCAAAAGATCGAAAGTATCTCCTTCCATACCGTCATCTATGGAACATGATAAACATCTACTTTCAATGATGAAAGAACGACACTTACTCGTCAAACTCCACAAACAAATCAATCGAAGAAGGTTAGGTAATGGTTCTTGTCTCGCAATACAGCCAAGTAAATAGTGTACGTGACTAGAACGATTTTATCCGATGAAACCATTCCATGAAAATAGATATACCTCTTTTCAACGCTAGTCTCTAGTAATTGTCGCTCTATATGGTATCTTCACGCAAACCTTTGAATAAGATGTTCATCCAAGCAACTAAACTTACTTTTGCTTGAAAGAATAACTTTCAAAAGTTCTTTTAGAAATTTCAGAAGCCAATTCGGTATGAAATGATATGGCTTCCTGTTCTGCCTTAATGCTGGTGAGATTTCTCACAAAATCCTTGACCTAAACAATGTTTTATATTTCATGCTATTTGTTCAATAGAGTCATCAGACTCACTTCCGATATATCTGCACGTTCTGGACTAGGCTTCGACCGATAAAAGTCTCGCATGCTGGAGGCCATAGTACCCAGTCGTTCCTTGATCTAGTTTCAATCCAATCTACAAACAAGACCCAATGTTCTTACAGTTGCCACAGAAAAATTGCGATCTTTTAACTGATCAAATACAGAATCTTTTGGAGTAATATGTGCTATACAAGTTGAATGACTATCAAGAATAGTTTCCTTCTTTGGTTCATCCATAGAAGTTTCTTTGGAAGAGCCACGATTCATTGCATCATATACAAAACTGGTATTGGTCAAATGAAAAGTTTCATCCAACAATCCTGCAAAGCTAGATTGGGTTACTAATGGAGTAATCAGGTCCACACTTCGGTCAAATATAATCATCAATAAATTACTACTGTCTTGACCCTTTCAATAGTGTAAGAGAAGAAGAATTCGAGAAGAAGATAAAAGGTACCTCAATATGAGAGGATATGGACGCTCCTCTACCTCGAGGCCTATTTGAAAAAATAATCATACAACTTCTTCGGTGACTAATTTCAGTCATACCTAGGCGTTTTTGTTCTTTTTTCATTATAATATCGTGATAAATACTTTGAAAGTCTGCAACTATTTTTACCTATTCCTCGTATATGTTGGAATGGTCCCAACACTTCCTCCAACTCTATCAAGGACTGTGCCAAGTGAAGAATGTTATTATAATCACCATCGATAGTCATATCTCTAAAACTATGAGGTTGATCCAATGTCAACAGATCTCTTTCGACAGCAGCAAACCCCTTTTTTCCCACGTCAATCTAATAGAGTTTTAAGAAATAATCAACGTACCAACGGTAACTCTGTAAACTCTATGAAAGGATCTAATCCAGCTTGTTCAAAATAAAATTCGAAAACTGAGCTTTTTCTGGGTATCAAAACACATAAGAAACGAAAAGTGTCCTCGTTCGCAGACACAGGATGGGTGCTCCTCGTTGAAGAGAGAATGCTCACGACTAAGTCTTTCATTACTAAACACAATTCAACAAACTTGACATAAATTACCCTCACTAATTTGTTTAGCAGCGTCCACTCTCCCTGTTCGGACAATAAACACAAACTGCTTGATCGACATCTGTTGCAAAGCATCCGATAAAGAATCTTCCGGTATTTGTTTCAATCTTTTGGAAAAAACTCCCAAATTCTCAAAACTTTGAACACCGTGCTCTTTTAAAAAAGTATTGTCCGTCCACAAGTCTAACATCCTGGGGAGTCCTAACCTATATCGTTGACAGTTACATCACTTTACACTTGTTTCACCCATATGGCGCATATACCTATTATCATATAAGGCGTGTTCAAAGAGCAATATTTTTGGTCCAGGTAATATAGATAAGGTTTCTGCAAGTTTACTTTGTCCTATATTTTTTAGATAGACGTAAAGATCCAAAGTTTCTGATAACATTTCCAACGTGAATTTCTACAAAGTGAAAAGAATCACTTTCAACTTTATAGTTTGGATGATTATGATTCTTTCTGGTCAAAGGAATATAAACTTGTCAATACAATAAGAACTTACAGGATACTCTATATTGGAAAGGAGAATGGAATAGAATGAACGATTCCCGATATCTCAAGTTGAATGATACTCGTGTCGTCTCGTATGGGTTGTTTGAATGAAACGAATAGACAAGTTGTCAAACGTTTTATTCTTTTCTCTGTTCTCTTATTGACTCTTCCTCTTTTTATATTTCTTTATATACAACGAGGGGGAGGAAGTTTTCTGTTGAAATATTTGGGTTGGAGAAATAGCTTGCAAACGAGTGCTTTTTTGGCAATAGTTATCGTTCAAATAGTGCTAATATCCTATGTTATACTTGCAGTGAGAGAAGAATGGAATACTTGTAACCAAACAAGTCAGTTGCACAAGGACGATTAGGAAAACTGGGTATATACAAAGTGCAAGTGGATAATACAAGTAAAGAGAGAGAGAAAGAGAGAAAATTTAATTGTTTTTCTCTCATTCGTCGAAAAAAGCATGTCTACAGAGATGAACACTTGCCAATCGATTCTTAGTTTTTCAAACAATAACTTTGTATCTGTGTTACTTTCTTCAGCAAAGAAACCTTTAAAAAGTCAAAATATTCTATTTGGAAAGCGAAAATGGGGTACTTCAACGTTGAAGAAGAAGAAGAATCGACAGGGACAAGGTTTCGTGCCTTCTGTACAGAGAAAAGACACAAACCTCACAACTTTTCAACCACTGACTGCCACTGTAGCTCCTCCTAAAAGTAGTCGCCACGTTGCTTCTTCAGTTAGTAACTCTGTCCAACACCCTATGACACTGACTGAGAAGATATTGTCAAAGGCAGCCAACAGACCTTGTGTGAAGCCAGGAGAGAATATTTGGGTTAACGTAGACGTTCTAATGACACACGACGTTTGTGGTCCAGGTACAATAGGAATCTTCAAAAGGGAATTTGGAGAAAACGCAAAAGTATGGGATCCCGAAAAAGTGATCATCATTCCTGACCACTACATCTTTACGGCAGACCAAAGAGCTAATAGGAACGTCGATATACTTCGTGAATTTGCAAGAGAGCAAAATATCAAATATTTTTACGATATCAAAGACAGACAAAACTTTTTAAATAACCCAGACTACAAAGGTGTATGTCACATTGCATTAGCGCAAGAAGGACACACCAGACCTGGTGAAGTGTTATTTGGAACAGACTCGCATACTTGTAATGCAGGAGCTTTTGGAATGTTTGCTACAGGTATTGGAAATACAGATGCTGGGTTTATTTTGGGTACAGGAAAGCTTCTTATCAAGGTTCCAGCAACTATGAAGTTTGTGTTTCATGGAGATATGCCGGATTATCTACTGGCAAAAGATTTGATACTTCAAATTATAGGAGATATTTCAGTATCTGGTGCAACGTATCGTACTTTGGAATTTTCTGGAGATATCATATCTCAACTATCGATGGAGGAAAGACAAACGTTGTGCAACATGGCTATTGAAGCTGGAGGAAAGAATGCAGTCATTCCGTGTGACCAAACTACTTCTGAATATCTCAAGGGTAGGACGCAGCGTTCCTATGAAGTATTTCAGACTGATTCAAGTGCCGACTTGTATTCCCATAGAGAATACATTACACATCAACTGGAGCCAGTAGTAGCAAAACCTCATTCTCCAGATAATCGAGATCTTGCAAAGAACTGCAGCGATGTTAAAGTTGATCGGGTATATATTGGTTCCTGCACTGGAGGAAAGACCGAAGACTTTATTGCTGCTGCACGAATATTCAAGGACAGAAAAGTAAAGATCCCCACTTTTCTAGTTCCTGCAACGAGACAAGTATATGATGACATTTATCGTCTTTCCATAGGAGGACAAACACTGGCTCAGATATTTGAACAAGCGGGCTGTATTGGACCTGCGCCTCCTTCATGTGCGGCATGTTTAGGTGGACCTAAAGATACATTTGCACGCATCAACGAACCTCTAGTGTGTGTATCCACTACCAATAGAAACTTTCCTGGTCGTATGGGGTCCAAAGATGGCCAAGTATATCTCGCTTCTCCATATACGGCAGCAGCAACTGCATTGACAGGATATGTGACGGATCCTCGTCAAGTTTATGATTTTGGTACCGAACACCGTTCAGCATACTCACTAGTTGACTCTGCGTAAAAATGGTGAAGGGGGATTGGATTAAAATAAAAGAACATAATCGATGAAAAGCGTCTTGTTTCTATCCAATCATCATCGTCCAAAAATGGAGATTGTATAAACCCAATCCCAAAGCAAGTTGCACATGTCTTTTATTCAAACCAACTGTCTTATACCCAAACGATTGGGGTTCAAAACCTGTTGCTCTCGACAGAAACATAAGGTAACTTGATATATCTGATAAACTTTCTGGGTGCTTACATACGACACCTCATCTTGCAGTTGCTAAAAGTGTTGCGTCAAAGCAGTTGTCATCCCAGTTCTATAGTAACTTGGCATTGTAGTGAGCAAGGTAACGTCCTTCACAATAGGCCAACATCACACCACTCAACTCTTCGTTTTCCTAGTACCCTCTGGCAATGTCGCCGTGACCAGACCGCTTACCATTCCTTTACAAGATGATACCCAGTTGACCTTTATGTTTTCTTATGCTGATATGTTACAGTTGGTTGAAAAGTTGAATCAGTTGGTGCTTTCCTTTCGCAACGCTGCTGAAGCAACAGCACAACGAAAGAAAACCGTGCAACCGACGTTTGAATATTATTGTCAACGCAATGGTCTATTCATTCACATGGAATGCAATCCAAACCTTTTTACCAGTGCTTTTCAAGCGAAAGTATATATCCGAGTATATGATGACAAAATAAGGGTACATTCACAAGCCAGTTTGACCACTTTGATGGATGTGTTGAGAAAATGGAAAAGAGAATAAACTGATGAATGATTTCGATGACATGTCTTGTACACCTTCACTTGTTCAATTGGAAACCAACTTGGGTACTTTGGTCGTTGAACTTTATTGGAAACAGTAGGTGGAGAGTCTTCTTCCTTTAACGGCAACTGATATCGATGCCGTGCGTGCTTCTTTCACTTATAGCGCACCCAAAACTTGTCACAACTTTGCACAGTTAGTACAACGACAGTATTACGACGATGTTGCGTTCCATCGCGTCGTTCACGACTTTATTGTACAAGGAGGTGACCCTACCGGAACAGGTAGAGGTGGAACAGTAAGTGAGCATATCTCCATCCACAGTATTTTCATTTCTAGTCCATTTACGGTGGTGTATTTGAAGACGAGATAACCGATGACTTGCGACACACAGGAGCAGGGATCTTATCCATGGCTAATGCAGGTCCCAATACCAACGGGAGTCAATTCTTTCTTACCTTAGCGCCTACACCCCATCTGGATGGTATGTTGAGATGGTAGTTGAATTGACTGAAACTCAGGGCACAAAAGGAAAACACACTATTTTTGGTAGAGTCAAGAGGGGAATACAAGTGTTGAAAAGAATAGGCAACGTCGAAACCGACGCATATGACCGGCCTTTACAAACAGTGAAGATAATCAAAGCATATCCTGTGTGACTTTCAACTAATTATCTTGTTTATTTCTGCAGTGAGAAACCTTACGAGTTTTAGCCACCCGTGAATAAAGTTGTTGACGAGCTTCCAATTTGAGTTTCTGTAACTGACTGGTAGCCTTCTTTTTGATCATCCAACTGTCGGCATTCACTCTCCATTTGCGCCTCCTCTCTCGACCATCTTTTGATAACTGTGCACTGTTTCTATTGGTCACCATTTTGGCCACTCTATGTTGTTTCTTTTCCAAAGTAGCTATTTCATATCGTTGTTGTAACTTTGTTCTTGCTTGATGCAAACACTGTTTGCGTTTTTCCTCCTCTTCTCGATACCTTTGACGACTATTCCAAGAGTTATCCATATGAAAATCGCGTTTTAATAACGCCGCCCATAAAACTTCAAACACTGCTTCCCTCCCTGGATTATTGTCTTCCAATCGTTGCAAATCTTTTGCTCCACAAAGACAACCCACTTTATATAAGAGTTCATCCGGCACATCTCCAAGAGCACCCACTTTACCAGTGTTCCGGGCTATCCAATTCAAACACACACTTCTCAAAGAAGGACAAGGTTTGTCACCATTTTTTACTGTAGTTGGTTTCCAACCACTTTTCATATTACCAAAAGGCACACCAACCGATATAGCATTGACACAAATTTTCCACTTTCATGGCTTCCACAATCAATCGATCCACTTGGGAAGATACCGTCCAACCTACTTGTTGACGATCATCAAAGTCTTTGCCAGTTAATTTATTGTGTACTCGACGAATGACTGCTAATGCTCTTCGGTTGACAGCTTCATTCATGTTTTCAATGGCTTCCGAACCTTGAAGACGTTCCATATCTCGATGACGAATTTCCACTGGAGTTTCTCCTGGACGTAAAGAAAAACCACGACGAGAGTTGGTATTCCACATGGAGTCTTCTTCTTCTTCTGTTCCCACTTTCTCTCCTTGGATACGAGCAATATCTGATAAACTAAAACCATAAGGACCTTGTAACAAATGCTTATTCTTGGAAAGCAAATGTGCATTGCCCTGATCTCCTTCCTCTTCCACTATAAAACGAGCACGACTAGTGTTATCTGCCATAGAAAATGCAAATGTTTTCATGGAACGACCACTCTTCGTCTTTTCCAAACCATTCACACCTTTACCTGATGACTCTTGAGAATAGCCTACATGGCGTCCAACAATAATATCTTCTGCAGTACCCAATAAACGCCAATTGATCAAGGGATCATGTACAAACGCTTCTAACATCGCCATCAAAGAGTCCTTATTATCTCGAAGGACACTCATCACACTTTCACATGTATGTCGGAAATAACCTTCAATTCCACAAACTTCCATTGCATTGACCAACATTCTGGTCAATCTAAAGGGAATCTTTTCAGGAAATTTTTCTCTCAACATAGCAACTTCAAAACAATCTCCAAAATCAATATGAATGACGCGCCCAGTATTTCGTTCCAACATCAGATTGCTAGGATGGCGATCTCCTAAACCTAACACGTAACCTACCATCGACATGGTTGCCAAAGAACGGGTATAAGTAGTTCGCTTATCTAACCACATCTCTGAATTCCTACTCTTCAACCAAAGCACTCGACTAAGGTCTGCACCAGTGGTGTTGGATAGAGCGTATTCAAAAACTTCCACTTTTTGTATCAAAGTCAAGTTATCATAATCTGGAGCCATTTGTAACATCAAACGATGCTCCACATTCAAAAGAATCTTTCTTTGTTCTCTAAACTCTCTTATTAAACTATGCAATGTATCACAACCAGGAACCCAACCAATTAGACCCGTGTTTGGACTCAAAGGAACTACTGAGAATCGCTTGATCATCAAAGCTTTCGAGTTGGTTGAAGCATTTTGAGAAAGCAACTCATTTACCAAACCAAATAGCTGCATGACACGCTCATCTTGTCGCAAGTCTTCGTGACCTTTCAATAAAAAGGCATGTTCTCTTCCATCACTTCCATACACAATCAGTCTTCTCGGACGTTGTTTTGAATTGATAACTTGTACAGTAGGACTGAAACCAGCTATCCGTACGATAGATACTTGATTGCTTTCAAAGCTTGGTGAATAAGTACCAGGAATAGCCAACTCCAAATTACTAGCACGCAACAATTTAGGTGAGACATGAGCAAGATCCAAACTGGTCATAGACGGCAACTGCTTATTGATCCTTCTGAAGACATGATAATAAAGATCCCAAGCCTGATTCATATCCGATTCTTTACCACTTGCTTTGAAACGTCGGCACCATTCCGCTGCTTCTGCCAAATCTCTTCCAAATTCCTTAATAAAGGCAGCTTCTCTAGCAGTTTCAGGACCCAATTCCAGCATAGCATGCAAAGGTTCAAGTACTTCCAACATTCCTTCCACATTATGCTCTCCGAAATACAATCGACTGGCTTCTTCTAAACCTTCATGCCACATTTCATGCCAAAGGATAGCAACTCGAACCAACTCTTTAGAAACAGTTTCAGCTTGTTCTACCAAAGTAGCAGAATGTAGTCTTAGGGCATTCAAAATTTCCTCTGCTGCTTCTCGACGAACTTTGTTGGTAGATTTAGCTGCCACATGCAATGGATATACCAAAGCTTGTGGATGGGCACGACCTATACGAACCATAAGAGAACGAACAGTAGAACGAACAGCTTGATTGGGAGAATGCAATCTTGCAAAGAGTTGAGGAATAACATCCAACCACAAGTCTACTTCTGCCGCAGCTATGCCAGCGTTGATGGAAGCACTCACTTCCGTCATTCCTCCGTAACGGAACCACAGTGTCAACAAACGAAGAATATCTTGTAGACGAATTGCTGTTTCAGAACAAAGCGATAATGTTCGAAAGAATCCATTGATTGCTTGAATAACCAGCTCTTTCGGTTCATCACGAAATGAGTCAGAACGATAGAAATGCGAACTTGTTCCAAGGAGATGTTTCTTTTTGCGTTTGGATAAAACTTCTCCATGAGAAGAAACCAATTCTGCGTTCAAAGAAGCCCAAACGTGCCAAGTTTTGTACCAATTGGGATTCATTTCCGTTGCTTTCTTAGCAAACTGAAGAATAGAATCAGCTGAAATATTATGCAACGACATTTCAGGAATATCCACTTGTGCTTCATCTGAACTGCTGTTATCAGAGTCGAAAAATTCTGTAACTGATTGTGAACGAGAACGCAAAGGTGTCATTTCGTCTTGTAAATTTTTACCCCATTTAGCAAGTTTTAGATAAAGACGAGCAGCAAGATGATCTTCTTCGTCTTCTTCTCGTTTGGGTTGTCGAGAAACATGCGATGCCGCTAATTGTTTGAGATAAGAAAATGCTTTCATCTTTCTACCTGCCACATATACATGTTTTAAAAGTGCAAAAGCAATCTCTGGATGAGCATCTTTTAATGCTTCATTGAGATCCCAAGAATCAACATCATCACTATGCAATGCTTCGTTTGGACTCAATAACCATCTTAATGACTCTGCCGACATAGGAAGACGTCCAGACTTGCGACAAAGACTCGTAAATTTGATCCACTCTTCCATCGAATCAAAAGGATGAAAAACCAAACATCGGACTCTCAAAATTCGATACCAATAGAAATAGCTAGATTGTATACCTTGCAATCTGGCTTTCCATAAAGATGCCAATTGGTTGCGATATGCTATCGTAGGATTTTTCAAATACTTGATGGACTCCTCAATTTCTACCAATCTTTCCGCATTTACAATATCCAAATAAGCTCTTGAATATCCTTCCGCTGCTCTAGCTCTTAAACGACCATCCAATATTCTTCTTCCGTGCTTAACAAACTCCAAAGCCTCATCATATTGTTTTTGGTGGACTGCTAATAAAGCATTGTATAGTGCCCATTTAAAGCTATTCTTCTGAAGATATTTTACTCGTTCTTCAAACTCATCCCAAAGATCAAGATTAAAGGCAACCGATGCTGCACCTTCATAAGATAATACATATCTCTTTTCAGTATCCACACTTTGCCAAAGTTCTTGACAAAGGGACTCCATCCTTCTCCATTCTCCTAGTTCATTGAGACAGCGAATCATTCCTAACTTGCGATCCCATTCTGACAGTACAGCAAAAGGTTCTTCATATGCATCATCGGGTGAAGGTTGCGGTTGTAAAGATAAAACAGGTTTCTGAAAAGATAACAATCTTTCAGGTTCAGAAGAGGATTTTTCTTCTTCGTTTGTCGACATGGCATTACTTCCTTTCTCATAAGCTATCAACGCTTCGTCCCATCTCTGAAGTTTCTCAAACCACTCTTCACGTCTTCGAATACCAAAACGATATTCAGCATCTTTCAAAGCTCCTACCGCTGACTCTTGTTGTAATAAATTATTATAAATGGAAATCAGTCCATGTTCTCCTGCTACGGCTGATTTCGCAGTTTGAGGTTGAGTGACTTGCGCATATTCCGCTTCCTTATATCTTAATGCTTTGGCATAAGCTCCACAACGATAGGCCATAGTTGCTAAACGTCTTACATCAATAGGCAGTGGCTTTTCATCATGTTCCATAAACTCTGCCAATGACAATAATGTTTGTAAGGCATCTAATGGTAAACTTGGAGAAGAAAGTGCAGCCAACAGAGTTTCCACCAAACTTGCCTGATAGTTGGGTGCAAGTTCGGTCCAACAACTTAGAAAGGCTGCATTGAACAAATCTTGCATCAAAGGAGTATATACTTCAGCAAGGCGAGCACAAGAACGGATGGAAGGAGAACCACTTTCTCTAAACAGTCCATTACTAAATTTGTTCAGCCATTCTTCCCAATCTTCGGCAGTCGTTCTTCTTCCAAGGTTCCAAGCATTCTTTAACGAGCGTTGATTGACATGATGTCTTCTCTTCTCTAGATTTCCCCCAGAGGAGGCTGGTCCAGTGCTGCCTTCCAAAGAAGTCAAGGAAGAAGAAGAACCACTTCGGTTCAAAGAAGATAAGGAGGATATGCGGTTCAAAGATGCTTGTCTCAAGTTGCTAGTCACTTTGCCTTGTTCTGTGAACATGGAAACATCCACGCGATTCTTTCTCAAGTGTTGCAATAATAACGCATCAATAGGGCTACTCAATGAGTAAAGTACATGAACTATTGTATCCAAAAACAAACTAAATACGTGAGTATTTCTTTCGGCTATTAATCCAAATATTTTGGTTATCAACAAAGAAACATCCTTTGCATCTGGCTGTTCCAACGCATTTAGCAACGAATGGATAACTTGGCTTGCCACTTCACGAATAGGAACGCGAGTAATCAATTTGGTTAATATTCCCAGTGTTTCTAGTCTGGCACTTGTCGAAGCTGAACCATCACAAGCCATTTTGGATACAATGGGAATCAACATAAACGCATAATCTTCGATGTGGTTTCCCATTACATCCAACAAGTGCAAAACAGGAAGTGCATTTTCACGATTCGCTGAAGTATCCGTGTACAAGGTAGCCACAATACAAGGCAATATTGTCGGTAAATGTACAGCAAATTCGTCCATCAATGCCAAACAAGTTCTTTCAACCTAACAAGTTACATATATCAATATATTGCGTTTTAGTCAATTGAAGATTACGTACGAGAATAACAATGGTTCTCAATTCAGATGACAAAGGTTCACGTTCCCAGTAATATCTGCAAATGGATATAATATCCCATGAATAAGGCCTCACATGTTGTCTAGCTACATGAACAACTTCTGCTAAAGCCTTGAATACATATTCACGAAGATTAGGATCGTTACTGGCAGTATTAGTACTAGTCAAAGTACTCGTAGTAACATATGGCAAAGAACCACGAGGAGGTGACCCAACTGAACTACCTGATATACCTATACCACTCAGAGACTCCAAACTATCGCAACTTCCATATTTCCCTCCAGACCTTGAACCAAGACCACGTCTCAAGTCACCCATACTAGAAGATGTTTTCAGGTTCGAATTCATTTCTCTCATAATTCCCATTCCAGGTGGCCTCAACGTCCACAATAACTTGGATAAAGTAAATGGTAATATTTCATTGCACTTAGGACCCAGAGATTGTACAATACATGTGATGGCATTCACTGCTTCACGATGATGGTGCGACAACTTGGAGTCTGATATTACTCGATGTAATGCATCCAAAGCAGCAGATGGAAAATATTCCTCATTAGCAGTATAAGGGTGATTCAGTCGACTGACCAATGTTTCACTACTCAGTGCCATATTAATGATTCGTTGCGAGAAAAGTCTATCCTTATTTTCATTGCCAAAGTAGTTTCTAGGAGCAACGGAATGACTAACTTTAGGAGAAAGCGGCATTTCCCATGTAGTGCCTAATATACCACCTTCCAAAGGTGAAATAGCATAGGAATTGTAGTCTTCACATGCACCAGGATATACAATCGATCTTTCTGCTATGTAACTTGGGCCAACTGGACTAGATTCCTTCCATAAATGTTCTGTCTGATTGAAATCAAATGAAACTCCATATTTGTACTCTTTTGGATCAATGGCACCTAAAGTACCAAGTAACTGTTCTACTCCCTGACGAACCTGACTATCTGTCTCTGTACGAATAGCATGCAATAAAGAAGGTAATAGGCTTGGAAAATTATTATAAGGACTTATCACACACGAAGTATTTTGCACTATCAACGTAAATGCATTCAAAGCTGCAGTTTTGGTTTTTGGTTCACTAGTCTGATCTTGAACAGCTCCCACCAAAAGATTAAGCAATTCTGGAAGCATCCTTTTCAAATCTTCTAAATTCGGGCCTACATTGGATGCGACATTTCCAACGGCAGCGTACATGACAGTCTCTGCTTCCTCACCACCCGAATCCCAAACAAAACTCAAGTTGCTTCCAAATAATGTTTCTCTTAAACGAATAATAAGAACCCTTAAAATAGGAACCACATAAGGCCATACAATTCTTGGAGCATCTCGAACCATTATAGATAACAAAACTGCGGCAGCATCTCTGGAAGAACGTAAAGCAAATGTCTTCCCTTCACAACGTAATGTAATCAACAGTTGTGCCAATCGGCGCCTGATAACTGGAAATACAAGGGCAGGATTTAAAAAGGAAAGATTACCACAAAGTGAAATGGCGACTCGTTTCACACTCAGGCTTTCATCGTAGAGACAAACCAATAATTTGTTTAGTAAATGGGGTTGAGCAAGATACTTGGAAAATCGGGGGTCTTTCAACCCCTCCAAGGCTGCCAATCTAATTTGTTCGTCTCTATCGGCAACTGAACTAATTAAAACTCGAGAAATGAGAGATGCAATTTCTTTCACCAAATTATTGCTATAAACTCTTCGAAGTTTTTGTTGACGAAATAAAAATTGTTGTTCCAATGCGTAAACTGAAGATGCAGCCAATAGTCGACAACATGCCGATACTGCTAAACGTCTCCAAGAAGGTAAACTCGAATTCATGTAATCAAAAATGTTTTCCCTCACAAAGGATGAAAGAAATCTTCCTCTAAAGTCAAAGTTAGCTACTGTTTCCAACGCTCTTTCTATAAGAATTGAAGAATGATTGAATTCCTGCAAACTTCCACTTTCCATCGATACGAGATCTTTGGCACTGGTGCGTGAATATTTTTTCCTCATATTTGCTTTGGATGCTGGTTCATTACCAAAAGGTGAACCTCTTGAAAGAATCAAGGAAACAGAATCCAAAAGTCGCTCCTGTATTTGAGGTAATAACTCTGGAATTTTCTTTCCTATAGAATTGAGAGCTTTCACCATTGCTGAGGATAAGCCATGTGCAAACATGTGATCCAATAGGTCATGAAAATGATTCGTATAACTAAAAGTACGAAATTCTAGAGTTTCTGCTAACATTCTTATACATGAAAATACATCCTAAATAACGCAAGTGAATATATGAAAATTTCCTTTTATGGCAAGTGACAAACCTTTGCATTTCTCTGTAGTTCCTTTCTGACATCCTTCTTCGGCAGTATATCTTCAATCATGCAAAACACTTGATTGACAAAAGGAGAAATGTATTCAGAACCTATAGCTTCTGCTAACTGTCCATAAGCAACTAAGTGCTGTGCAGGTAATCTTTCATTTTCTAAGTAAAGTTTATGGAAGGAAACCAAGACTTGATGACTTCTCCTCAGATAATCACTTGTTGAATGACAAAATGTTGTTGGGTCTAAAGAAGCCAAAAGCGGTAAACAAATAACGACTTCAGTACGTATGAATATGTCTTGCGTGGATTGATAATATAACACAACTTCACATATTTCCTCAAAACGTCCATGAAGACGTTCGCGAGATATTTCATCTCGAAGTAACTCTGCAAGACATAACAAACTGCCATGAATCTTTTCCGTCTTGATATCTGTTGAGGGCTTCTCCTGACTAGAAAGTTTTCTTATTTCTATTGTATCGAACTCGCTCTTTTCTTCCTTTGTTATTGGAGACAAAGTGTCGATGGAAACTTGCAAAAGCTTTCCTACTAAAGTAGCCATTTCTGCTGCATCTCTTCTTACTACAGTTTGAATAAATGCTCTCAAAGCCAATGCTGCATAAAAACGAACTTGTTGTTTGGGATCCCATAAAGCAGACCATATCAGACGTACAAAGGAAGTTCTCTGACCATAAAAGAAAGCTGGAGCATTTTCGGCAATTTCCTTCAAAACAAAGACTGCAGATAACCTAGCCAAAGAAAACCGAGCATCACTGTGATCTCGAAAACTAAGGCGTTCAAAGGCACGTGAAACTTCTGATTCAACACAACGATAGGCCAAAGCACCACCAGTCCTTGCCAAGTGTCCCAATGCCTTACTAGAAACTCTTAAAAGTTCCAGTTCATCCGCCACATGTTTTGAAACTGTGCTACTCTCTAAAGAAACCATATCCACGTCTTCTTCTTGAGCTTCAAAAATAAATGGTTGGGAAGCGAATAGCTTCTCTACCGCCATGGCTGAAGGAAGACAACGTTCTACATTTTGTAACACACTCCGAAGGCCGTTGTGTGTTCTTTGAATCTTTTCACGATAAGACTCGCCCCTTAACTCCATCAAAACATCAAGACACACCACTGCAGCTATTCTTTCACGTACGTCTGATGAATTGACTAGATTGTTAAGTTGTGTAGTAAGCTCTTCTGCCAAGTTTACATGGAGAGAACTGGCTTTCGAGGAATTTCCCAAAGGAACTACTGTCTCTCTCCATTTCTGTTCTAAAGTTTCCTTAAACCGTCTAGCGGCTTCGACACGAGCACTACGAGTTTCCCTGCTTGTATTGAGTAGTGGTTCCAAAAAGTATCTTTTCAACTTACGAATTGTAAACCTGTTTTAAAAGGGAAACCACTTGAGACTGCCATCTGCCACTTATGTCTTGAACAGGCAACATGACTAGAGAAACATCTTACAACAGAAACTCTCCTGACATTCCCAAAATTAGGGTTTGAGTTCTTAATTGTCAATGGAAGACGCTCAGTTTGTTCAGTTGGTTTTGTATGCAAGTTATGTGCTCTTCTTTGTTTTGTTCCTATATCTATATGCTAGCGCACCTTATCAACTAAGGTATCAAGTTGAAAAGTAAGGTAACATAAACAAAAGTCTTCTCCACGAGGTTTCTAAAGAAGAAGATAGGAACAGTTGAGAAAGTTTACCAGTAAGAAACCGACCCAAGCTACCAAATAAAACTATCGACTATATATGTTGTTGGAAACCAACAAGGGACAATAACTTAAACATCGACTACGACGTTATCTAAAACACATCTGGTGTTAATCCGACTCCAGCAACACAGCTCTTTCTTCTCCTCTACTTTTTTCTAAATCAACCAAAAACCTTTTTAGATCCACTTCCAAAGAAGCAAGGCCACCAACAACGCTACAGCAAAGTGACGCACAACGGGAAGCAACTTGCCCAAGAGAGAGGAGACTTGATTCACTTTCGGGAAACCCAAAGTGATAAAGACCTGCAATAATTCCTCCAAGGTACGCGTCACCAGCGCCGGTAGTATCTACAACGGGCTTTTTACTCAGGCTTGGAACAAAAACTGAACCAAAGTTACTAGTCAAAATAGAGCCTTGACTACCCATAGTTACAATAATCAACTTTGCTGAATCCAGTTTGGCAAACAGACAATTAGAAAGTTGTAAGATGGACTCTTCACTTTCCAATTCTGAAGCATAAGATGCTGAAGGGCATAAATATCGAAACAGACTCTTGGACTCCGAAAGAGAAAATTTCACGACAGAAGCAATATTTAGACAATCCATGAACTCCGATTCACTTCCAAGAGCAGTAGTATTCCCATGACGACAAGCAGCACTTAATGAGACATCCACATCAAGCACACTTGCTATTCCTTTCTCTGAGGCAAGCTTCAATAAGTACAAAACACCAGATAAAGGTACCTAAATACACTTGAGGTACTGAGAATGCGAATACTAATGACATACAACCTGTGAAATTTCACTAGTGAAAATGCACGCCTTGTCCAGACTAGAACTAAAATGCTCTTTCATAAAATCGGCGTCCATCAAACTGGTAGCCCCTGGTGTCATGAGGATGCTACGTTCTCCCTTTGAATCATAGAATACAACACTGGATGAAGATTTATAAAGGGAAGAAACAACTATGCAATTTGTAGATATTTCAAACTGCTCACAAGCTTCTCGGATTAACCGACCATGAGAGTCTGTTCCTTGGGCTGCCAAAAGGCCACAAGGAACACCAAAACGAGAGGCCCAAGATAAATGATTTAAAGTTACACCACCAACACAGATATCGGAACAAGAGAGAGTTGGCAATTCTGTTTTTATATCAATATCGTGCGATAAAATAACCTTGCTTGATTGGAGGGGTAACTGGCTCACACGGACAAAAAGATCCACAACATTGCTACCGCAGCCTATCACCAAACCTTGTTTTGCACAACTAATATCTACACTAAATCTTCGAAAGCCCTGCAAAAGTAACCAATTTCTCCTAGTTTCCACTAAAAGCGTCTTCCAAACTCGGCAATGTAAGAAACAAGACATCGCAAAGTATCGATTTCATAACTCACCATTCGTCGATAATGGTGCAAGGCTTGGTCAAGAAGAATACGCACAACGTATTGTCGAAAAAGACCAAAAAGGCCACAAAAAATCATGGTAGGCGTTTAAAGTACGCAATTGAAGAACAAATTCATTTTCTTGTTCGTAGAACATAAGAAGAAGAAGTCAGCCGGTGGGTCGTCGTCATTTTCACAACTGGACAAGGCAGGTAGAATCACTGTTGCGAAGTACAGCTTTCTTATTGTTTTAATAGACTGTTACAAAGTACATAAATAACCGAGCAAATAAGAAACTTTTGGAAAGGGCTGTTAAAATGGGGGAGAAGTTTACGTTTGTGAACAAGTAATTTGTGATAGTTATTTGAAACGTACTTGATGGATCTCAGAAGACTTGGAAACCTCTGTATAGTCCGTCATTTGTTGATATTTCATCAATGGAATAAAGAAATATGCATGCATATTATTAGTTATTAGTAAACTATGACTATCGATCTGCTTTCTTGAGCTCTTCCGGAGTTTGTGCAAACCTGTAAATGCAACTTTGTCCCGTATTCTAAAAGTCAGCACACGGAAATGTTGTCTTTACAATTTAATTGTTTTAAAAAATATTAATATCATTAATGTTTATTGCTGTAATTTCCAGTGTTACTCGTCCCATGGCTGTAAAAAAAGTGGCTTGAAGCTCATTTTGAGATAGAAAATAGAACTTGAAGCATAATATATTTTAAAATTAATTTTTATCATAATTTTGTTCTTCTGGAAAACAAGAATTAACGACATCTTCGATCCATTCTCTCGTACATATAGCAGAAACAATGTGATCACAACAGAAAAAGTAGAAAACTTCGTAAGTCGGTACAAAGAAAACAATTTCTTTGAGATTTATACAGCAACAAAAATTTTCAAGGCAAGACTAAAGTAATAATTACGTTATGGAATACTAATTCAATTAATAAGTTAGCCAAATTGTTTGATTAGAATTTAAAAAAACGATTAAATTGACTTTTCAAATGAATTTTAAATCGTTAAAAATTTTGATTAACAAAAACGAATTAATTTGCAATGGTTTACTTTTGAATGTGTTTTCATTTGATCGTGTTATTAATGGAGAGATGCCTTTTGTTTGACAAACAGACGAAAATATTACAATTCGAACACCTTGAAATTTAAATGCGTGTCAGCTTTTAAGAAAACATAGTTTCGCTGACTTACCAATGTTTTTCCATTTAAAAGGCCTACCAGTGCATGGTTTGTAGGCTTGTGAATTGCTACAGCGCAGGGCAGACTATTTACGTCAACAAGTATTTTGCGTTCCGCACAACGACTACCTTTCTTCACACACTCAAGAATGTCAACCAACCTCAAATTGGAGGAGAATGGATCCGGAAAGATAATATTAGCACCGTTTCGGTCACAACCAAAAAAACATTGCAGACGATGCGCTCTTTTGACACGCAACGCCAAAGAAAATAGCATATCATCGTCTTGTAACTCCACAGGCGTTTGTGTAAAGAAACTGTCTTCATTAAATACAGTCTCCTCAATTCCATAAATTCGTGGTCTTTTCGGTTTCCCTGCAATGGGTACACTTCTTTCCATACTTGTGCTTGCTGGACTACCTTGGATAAAAGCTGTCTTGTTTCGTTGCGTATCTATTCCCATCACCAATCCATCGCGGTTCTTCACAATCAGTAAAGATGGAAAAAATGGATCCTTGAAGATGTCATCGATAGCAGAACAACACTGATTCGACACGTTTCCAGGGGTTTCATTATTTTTGCCTATCAGGTTTTCATGATTCCATATACGCAAGGGAGAAGCATATGAAGATTCTGTCATTCGGAGGTCAAACTGAGCCATTTCACCAGATTGATACCCCATATACACAAAATGGTCATCCAACAATATAGCAGTCGCTAGATGCCATTGAGAGATTCGACCACGGAGCACCATGCAAGCACTGGAAACTTGTCTACTCCGTATATCATATATTCTTCCAAAACCGTCGTTGCAGGCGCAAGCGAGACAAGAAGCATGATGGTATGCTTGACTCCCAAAGCACATGCTTTGACATCCAACCGCGAGGCTTTCGTTTTGACCAATCACTTGAGTTGGTTCCGTTTCGGAACATCTTTCTAGATCAAATAACCAAGCCACATGACAGTTGCGAAAACCACAAGCCAACAAGTTATGCGCTACAGGTGAGAATTTGGAAACGGAATGCTTTCGCTGTCTCGTATCTAACCGCAACCGTAGTGTGTCAGCTGTCGTTGCTCGCATCGTTGACTTGTTTCCACAATCATCATAGTGATAACGTTGCAACAGAAACGGAACAAACTCGTGAATCTCGATGTTCCTTTCGCTGTAAGCTAACGCAAAGATGGCATCTTGGGCATCAAATTCGATGCTTGAAACGTGACGATGAGGTTGATGGTCGACAATGAAATGGTCCAAAAAGCGTTCTTTCCTTATTTTTTGTACTAGCTTGGTTAGTTGCGCTTGGGAAAGCTGAAACTGTCCACGTCGATGCAAACCATCCACTAAACTGTGACATGGGTTGTGGACTATTTTTGGACTACGCAGTTGTACTTGGTGGTCATTGCATCGAGTCGTTGTCGGTACCTGTTTCCATAAAAAGGACTGGATATCGGTTTGTTGCCATCCATCCTTTCCCATATCACATATATATATATATACAAGTAAGATCGATCGATCATCCAAAGAGACAGAACGGCCTTACCCTCATGTAGACATCCCAAAGAGAAAGAGAAAGAGAGAGAGAAAGAGAAGATGTCGTGTCTCTCTTTGATATGTATGAGGATTGAGATTCTCCTATTGTCCGTTCAACAACAACAACAAGATCATCATGAACCGTATGGATATCGTCCAACATATTCTACAAGATATACAAACACAAGGACTCATCAACAAGATTAAAAAACAAATAGAAACGAAAGTTTGGTTTTCTTTGTTTAAGGAGGAGGTAGGAGAGTCCACCACTCTCGCTGAGTTGAAATACAATATCTTAATGGATTGTACATAGGAAGTCTTTCAAGATACATCGGAAGACTATTGGCACCAGTGGAATTCTAACACAATGCTAAGTCTGGCGGTTGTTTTGGAGTTTCTTCATCATCGAAAGTTTTATTATACTGAAAGCATCTTTAGAGATGAAATTATTGAACAATGGAGGAAAGCAGAGTCAAGTCGATGTAACCGGGAAATAGTTGTATTAGAAGCAATGCTACAAGGAGATGAGGCTGCCTCATTTGCTTTAAGAAGAATCCTGTCCTTATCCAAGAATATCAACAACAACTGTTGTTTAGAACAAGTCATTGAAAAAAGGATGCATCGAGAAGAAACTTTTCACAACGGTCGCCCTATTCGAAGAAGCCATTCTTGGACTCAATAAGCTTTCCATCATTCTTCTTTAGAGAAAATCTTGTAAGGATTCAATATACCATGAGGATCTAAAAGTTGTTTCATTTGCTTCATCAAATCGATGACTTGCTTGTCTTTCGACATGGACAAATATTTCGACTTGACTCTACCTACACCATGTTCGGCACTTATGCTACCACCATGCGCACGAGTCCACTCATAAACATAAGGTTCGATCAGATTGGATAGGGATTCGTTGGAATCTGAACTAGATATATTTAGGTGCAAGTTGCAGTCACCAATGTGACCCCAACTAACAACCTGGCATGTATAGTCTGCCAATCTTGACCTCATTTCAGAAACCAAATCGTAAAAATGTTCCAAAGGAATGGACAAGTCGTATTTGAAAATGTACTTTCCTGAACGGTTCACCGCCTCTGGCATGCTTTCTCTCAAAGTCCAAAGCTGGTTCATCTGAGATTGATCTTGAGCTAGAACAGCATCACTTATCCAATCGGCGGAGTAACAAGATTCCAAAAACTTTTCTAATTTTTCCATATCGTGGTTTTCATTGCTGCCCGATGTCTCTATGAGCACGTAAAATGGAAAAGTACTGGAAAAGGGATCTCTCACGTGAGATAATAGTTTTGTTGCTAATTGCACGGCGTTTCGATCCATAAACTCGAAAGCTGAGAGAATTTCGCCCACTTCATCTTTACATCTCACCAACAATTCGGTTACTTTGTCAAAGCTCTCCACACCTAATAATGCTGTATGCACTGAACGACACTTTTTAGGACAGCATATGGAGGCTGCAGTGATAACACCGAGCGTTCCTTCAGAACCAATAAATAAATGTGGCAAATGATATCCCGTGTTATCTTTTCTTAAACTTGATAACATATTTAATACTTTTCCGTTGGACAAGACAACTTCTAAGCCCAAAGTGGAACCGTGCAATGAACCATATCGAAGAAAGCGAGTACCTCCTGCGTTGGTTGCCAAATTGCCACCGATTTGACAACTTCCTTTGGCACCTAAATCCAAAGGAAAAGTGTAACCTTGTTCATTTACAAAGTTACTAAGGGTTTCCAAAACCACACCAGCTTCACAAGTTACTATTCCGCTTTTGCTATCAAAGTCTCTTATTCGATTCATGTTTCCAAGATTGAGAACGATTTCATCAAAAACTGGAACACTACCTCCTACAAGACCCGTATTACCTCCTTGTGGAACGATGGGAAGTTTCTTTTCGTAACAAAACTGAAGAATCTATTGCCACAAAAGACAAAGTGAGAGAAGAAGAAGATGATGAGAAGGGCAAGAATGTTTACCTGTGAAACTTGATCGGTACAACTCGGTTTCAACGCCAAAGAAGTATTTCCTTTATACTTTCCAATCCAGTCAGTATTGAACGGTTCCAAAGCTTCCTTCTCTTCCACTACTCCACGAGGTGTGACAATTCCTTTCAAATAGGAAATATCTTCAGAAGAGAGTTTTGAAAATGCAGCACTACTTGAAGGATGAGTATACGCCGTTTGTGAAATGGTTCTCAGTTGGTTAAGATATCCCAATTGACGGGTCTTGAAAAAAACGGTTGTCCAACCAAACACCATTTCTTCTTTCCACTCCGTATGCCAAAAGAAATAACCAACCAATCCTTCCTCTTTTATCCTTCGGGGATTCTTATTGGCGTTACTGACTGGATTGGTTGTTATTGGTTCTTTAGACATAACGAAGCTTCGATGACTATCCAATCCAACCCACGAGTCTATTTAGATGTTGCTGTGGAACAAGATAAACCGAAAACGATGGTATTCCAACTTTTTGCTGATCTCGTTCCGAAAACTGTAGAAAACTTTCGTGCACTTTGTACCGGGGAAAAGGGCTATGACGCAAATGGTGTTCGGTTATGTTATAAAAATACGAAAATACTGAAAATTATTCCGGGATTTGCTATACATTGTGGTGACATTGAGAACAACGATGGCACTGGGGGCGTGTCTATTTATGGAGCCCAGTTTGAAGATGAGAAGTTTGCTTTGAAACACGTGAGGGCTGGACTATTATCTATGGTTAGCAGTGGACCGAATAGTAAGAGAGCAATAAAGAAAGGATTGAAAGATAAGCTGATATTATATAGGCAACCAGTCACAATTCTACATTTTGTTGAATCCAGCACCTCAGTTGGATGGGAAACAAGTAGTATTTGGTTGTATAGAGGAAGGTCTACAAGTCCTGCGTTGGTTGGAGAAACTTGAGATTGCAGATCAAGATAGGTAGGATTATGGTCTTTGTTTATGAGTTGCACATTCATTCTTCTAGACCTTTGAGACCAGTCACTATTGTAAGCTGCGGTGAACTTGGTAAATCTAAGCGAAGTGAACCGCTTCCCAATAGTAAACAAAGTATGGAACAACAAAAGACTACACAAGGAGAAAAAGGGGAAAGCAGGGAAAGACGAAGAAGAAGAAAGCGTTCAAGCAGTTCACCATCCGATTCAGCCAGTGACAATGGAAAGTTAGATTCCTATTCAGAAGAGAGTGAAAGACATCGCAAGCGTACAAGTAGACGAGGAGCCAGTCGAGATAAGAATAGAAAAAGTCGTCACGAACGAGGAAACTCCAGTCCTTCCGTGTCTCCTCCAGGCAGTCATCGAAATGGTTCCAGGCGTTCTTCTCCTCCTTATGCAAGACATAAAGAGACTCGGCCTTCACCTAAAAACCTAATGTACAAAGAAGAGGAAGAGGCAGCTTTCGTTATGTCTCCGAAGCTGAAATGGAATCAGGAATGGATGCTTTGCCACGCTTTGCAGCAAGTAATAATATCAGCAATATCCATTGATTCCTATTCGATACCACTTAGAATCCACTGGGTGACTTGTTTCACAAAATGCAATTGATACCAATTAGCCACATGATGAATAAGTTTGGTTTCTTGGATGATTGCAGTTGCTGGGATAGTTGTTTCATAAACCTGAGCAATATCACGTATGTATCGTAGTCTGCCGCGTTTCAAATAATGGGTACCGGCAATCTTCCAATCTTGTATTTGGTAAAGTAACAGCAAGTTTTCAACTCGTTTGACTAGTTTGCGTTCTATTTCAAATAAAGGAATTAGGGAACCACAATGAATACATTGTATTTGATTTATGTTTCTGCTTTTCGTCAGTTTGGGATCTCGAGCCAAATCTAGCGGAACAGCAGATCCACAAGCACTACAAAAGATATCCGTCAGCTTTAAAATCTGAGAAAGGTTCCAATTGTTTGCTTCTTCCGAAAATTCGCTTATTCCAAGTAGCAAACAGAGGTCTCGTTTCATGGCATAACTGTCTTCTGAAAGAAACGGGCACATTGAGAGAACATGAGTTAGACTAGAAACGAACCTGGGATTTTTCAACAAGAATTGCCAATGAACACTAAAAATACTTACAATACAATAGGTTGATAAGAGCCAATCAGCCTACCCGGATGAGGTGGTACTCCATTCATGTGATAAGAATCCGCGGAGTCATTTACTAAATTGTACAACTCTTGTCTCAAATTAGAAACAAAAGAAGCAAGCGGAATATTGTTGTTGTTCTTCTTTTCTTCGGTGGAATCCACACAAACAAGTGAGCCACTGTGCAAATTTTCCAATAACTGTTCCAAAATTCTATTCCATCTCAAAGTCAAGTCCGTAGTAAAATGATCAGCCAAATCCCATTGCATTCGAGAAGCTGGCCTTTCGGACTCTATATAACCTTTTAACGCTTCACCTCGCAAAATATGTATCTCATCAACCACTGGGATACTACCATAGTTGAAGGAATCAACTAAAATGAGACATCGATGAACGAAAAGAATGGGAGCAAAACGTAAATAGTGAAAGAGCTGGTTTTCACGAATTGTGTTGGCTAAGAAACCGCAATATCGCATGGCATCCATTGCATGACTCCGTTTGGTTGCTATAATCATTCTATGATACGTCGCTAGTGGAACGATGGCACCCAGTTGCTTCAAAGAATTGACCAAAATAACAAGTACCTAGACATAGTTTGTGAGTCTCATTGGAAACGTTCTTAAAATGTAATACCTTGTGCATTTGATGTTGAACAAAACTAACAAGCAACGGTTCATACATTAAGCTTGTTTCCTTAAGAATCCAGCGAAGAAGGTGATTCTGAAGTGTTTCTGTTATAAAGCTCTTGTTCACATTGGAAAACAGTCTCAACAACGTTTGACGTAACACAGAGAAGGCAGGAAGAATTTTTTCGTAGCCAACGGCTTCTTCATTTGAAGAAGAATCCAGCTCCTTATCAAAATTTTGAAAAAGATCTGTAACAAAAGGAATCTCGGAACCTTCCATTTCTGATAATATATCCTGTGAAAGAATAGTACAAAGAGCAACATTCTGTAGCTCGAATTCAACACAAATATTTTCATAAAGTCCAGGAAGCAGATACTCCTTTTCTTCAACACTTGGTTCTCGAAGCTCAAGTAGGTCATGGAGCTGGTACTATATCAATTTTTAAACAAAACATCAATGAACAGAATGTCCTACTTACTTCGGACTCATGACCACCCAAGTCCGGAACAGCTCTATCGGACATCCACAAAATAAAGTTGTTCTTTCTCAAATCCTGGGCCCAATTCATATCAAGACACTGTGAATAAGGATCTTTCATGGAGATGTTTCCGACAGGAATCTGAGAAATCCTAGCAAACGAGAGTAGATGTCTAGCTTGTAAGATGATATGTTCGTTTCTCCGTAAGAATTGCTTCACTACTAGCACCTAAATGGATGTATCATTTCTTTGTTACTGACGTCAAATGCAACCCACGCTTACCTCCCAGCCGATCACTGGAAACTGGCTGTCTTCCCACATATAATCTACACAACTCACTGGAGTGACATTAGTACAACGAAAGTACTTGGATAATGCCCAAGGCGGAAGACTTGATTGAACGAATAAAATGCATAAAAGACTTGAAGAGGATTTCAAACTTTCACTTGCTTGCATAGACAACGTTTTGAGAGCTTCTTGATAGCCTTTAAATACGGACGACTCAACTTGCCAACTACTAGTCTCAACCTCTTGTAGAAATGCCGCAGAACAACTTTCTTCTAAGAGTCGATGCAGTTCGATATGAGGGCATTGCTGTCCTATCGAAATGAAGCAGAGCCAAATTTTGTTCAAATAGGGAACGGTCAAAGCAATCAGACCCCTTTCTTTGGTAATCGACAAACATACGTACAAAAATGCCTAACGATACCTTTCAATAAAACTATGGAATGAGAAGCCAGTAATACCTTTTCTTCGGGGTTGGATAAGTGGCCAAGGTATTCTTGTTTGCTAGATATCGGCTCTATCTGTTGAATGTCTACCTTATCTCCCAGAATCATGTGCCCAAAAGTTGCAGAGTCTTTAACCTTGCAAACGTTTCCAAGTCGTTGACAAATATTTGTAAGAAGTGGGACTTGAGTTTCATATATTCCTTCCACTTCTGACAGAGGAACCAAGTCGTTCAGTTCATTTTGCTGACGTAGAAAAGCGCTTTCTTCTACTTCCACTTGATACAAATAACAGGGTTTTCGATATCTTGGAAGACGCACATTGAATATTTGTGGTCCAATAGCTCTACTTGATGGTTGTCTGCAGTTCACATACAAAGTTCTTTTAGAAGATATAAAACAAGAAAACGGCTATGTCATTGTTTAAGAATTGAATACGAAAAGTTGGTGAACTAACATACCTTTTCGAGAGGCTTGTCTGTTCGAGTATCTTGAGGAAATCGAGGAAGTATCCAAATTTGAAATTCTCCAGGTGTTTCTGTAGCTTGAATAGATAAAATGTGCAGTTCGGTCTGTAGTTGGAACTCTTCAGATGCGACTGTTGGATCAGGTGCTATGAATCTTCGAATATCTTTGCGCTGTCGTTGGCGAGATGGAGGTAGGACATCTTTGTCGTACCTGCTTTCGAAGTTTTCATGTTGTCTTTTTTGTACTCGCTTCACTACCTTGTTTCTTCTTTCCAGCCTCCAAATGTTCCGCATGTACACAAGCCAACTATAAAAGCTTTTCTGAATATTTGGTTTATCTTCTGCCCTCAAATTATCATTCTGAGCCATTTCTTCCGAAGCCGATACATTCTCTATCTGTTTCGTTCTCTGGGAAAGTGATAGCATTCTTACGACAGAAATATCCTCTAAATCTGGCATGGATTCTTTTTGAAAGCCAGAGTTTTCATTCGACTTTGCGAAGAAGTCGGCGACCATTGACTGTTTTGCTCGACATGAAATATCTCTTAGTTTTGCTGAAAGCCATTCTGGATGAGCAACCCTTAATTATAATAATTCGGTTACAAGGTGTCTTTAATTACAGTTCATTCCATACCTTGGTACAGGATTTTCGACGGACTGAAAAGCTGCTGGAATCGTAATAATCTTTTGAATAGTTGATGCTAACCTTTCTTTGTAATACTGCCAATCCAAAAATTCTCGAAGTTGTATAGCTTCGCTATCTGTTTCCTTTAGCCATTTTTTCAGAAAAGATTCTCGGATAGACTGTTCTGCGGAGAAGATTTGAATGGGAATAGCACGTTCGGTAACCTAAGCAAGTAAATTCAGAAGACGGGTGAAACACAAGGTTCACATTATACCTGTGCATTTTCTGGCTTTCTAGCTATCACATATTTACAAGCAAGGCCCTTATCTCGAACCTATTGAAAATCCTTAGGTTTTAATGTTTGTCACGTGGACATTCTTTCACAGACCATTTGAGGACCCAAAAACTCAGCTAGTCTCTTTGCAGTAGTGATAGCAAGGCTCTTCTGTTTCAATTTTAGATATTCTCCCAAGGACTTGCTCATAGTATTTTGTTCTGCCAATAGTTCAATGATCTCTTGTTCGCTACAAGAAGCTCCTTGCGTTTCAAGCACTTCGAGCCAATTGTTTGCGGCTTCTCCTACTTTCTGATAGCATTCCTACTGTTCTTGAGAAAATGATGATGGAAGAATACAATATAGATTACCTCTAAAGTCTCCCCTAAGAGAAAACGTTGAAACAAGTCTGACTGAAAAATTTTAATGAGCTTCAGCTCTCCTCGTCTTTTCATTTCAAATCCTTTCAATTCGGCCATACTTCCATCCATATGAAACACAGCATATCTTTTCTTGATGCTCTTGCCTTCCTCTTTTGAAGCTGGTAAGATCATGGCTCGATAGGGACCATCAAACTTTCCACAAACTTCAGAGCGAAACAGATACTGGCCATATTGTCAAACTTACTTCAAATTCAATACTGCACACTGTCTCCCTTTCAAATTCTTTTCTTTCCGTGTTAACCAAAGATTGATACTGGGGATTGCTAAATTGCTGGAATATTCCGTAGTTCAATATTTCACATATGAAACTACTCTCATATGTCACTTGGTCATCTAAGACAATGGTAAAGTTGGAGTTGAAGCAAAATAATTTCAACAAAGAACTCACGAGTTTGAAAAACTATCTTTTCAGGGAAACTCTTTGGAAGTGCACACCAAATACCATCAGTATCTAACTCCAAAGCTATTCCAACACCATCTACAACACTGCGAGCATAGCGAATGATGTTTGCGCCTATTTGAGTTACAACTCCAGCCATTTCCATGGAGTACCTATTTTCATCTAGAAATACGATCTTTGGTACAGTCAATGATTCTTACCATCTCGCAGCTTTTCTCATTACATAACCATAGAACGAGTTGAGGATACATTTATGAGCTAATTGTAAACTTTCGTATAGAACACACATTTTTTTCGCTTCTTCAATACTTTTCCAATCCTTGTTCCCTTGAGCATCTTGCAGCTTTCTTTTCCATTGTTTCAATAATTTTTTGTATTCATAGCGCCGATCTCGAAATGCTCTTACGGTATTAACGTAAAAGGGATGTTCTCTCTGACAGACTGTAGCTTCTCGTTCCTAAAAATAGATTCAAAAATTGCAAACACAAATAGATTCCCAAGTTGCGCACTTCAGTATAGCTGTCCAAAGTCTTTTTATAGATCTTTTGACAATATTGCTTTAGTCGCCTGCGGAATTCCTCAGAACTTCTGACATTTTCTACTTGATTGCCATTTGGATTGGATAAAATGTCTCTTCTTATCTGGTTAGTTTCGCCGTGAGTTGCTGGAAAATATTCTCCTTTCCAAGTCCACCTAGCCCATTTTTGAAACACAATACAACAAGTCAAAACTCAACATTACTTTAAATTTCTTTTACATTGTGAATCTTCCAACTCGTTGAAAGCACAAGATGCACACTGATGCTTGGAAACGATTGCATGAGGTTGCAGTCGATTGGTCAGAATAACGTTTGGATACATAGCACCTACATCTAAATGATAGATAACCGGAAAGTCATTGAAAGCATGTGTATGTTTTAAAGCCTTCAGAGACTCGGTTAGAGACGACTATTTAAAAGGTCATTACGAACACTAGTTGCAGTCAAGAAATGAGTCTTACTGATAGTTGAACATAATTGGTCACCTTGGATGGATCAACTTTCAATCTATTCATTGCGTGCTGCAATATTTCATCCAGTCTGCGAGTGAGATCACCCAATACTTCCTCGGAAAGCGAGAACCGAACTAAGAGAATTAATTTTGAGCCCTATTTCGAGGCTGAAAGACGAACCTGATAAGTCGCTTCGAAATACGCCTGCTTGTAGTGCCTCCACGTGCCCTCCGATGTAGGTTTCATTTTCTAAAAGATGACCATCATAATACTTTTCCAATGTAGTTTGATGTTTATTAGGACATAAAATATCCTGTTGGTAAGCTTCTTTCATTAGTAAATTCTCGCACAAGGTTCCAGAACCTCTGCGCAGGACGTCTTCTGGTGGAAGTGGAACAATGTTACAAAGAGAAAATATAAACGGGTGGACGTATCTCATGTACAAGTAATACGTACAAACTGCGTCAGAAACTGAATAGGATGCTAACAGTTGAGGATTACTTCTTGCTGCAGGCATCATTTCTTCTGGATCAAGTTCAAGAGGATCGTAACTAATATGAATATTTTTTCAGAGAAAATTGCGGTTCCGAACTCGTACACATACCCAAGTAGTGATCGAGTAACTGCTTTAAGACCACGGGAACCCTGTGGTAGATATGAATCTCGATTCACCCAGTGCATACAGTCCAAATGAATCGTTGCGCGACCGCGAGTTTCCCTTTGATTGCATGATATTCCTATTTCCTTTTCTATGTCGATATCATAATATCTGGCTCTTTCAAAAACAAATGGCCAGTCAAACATATCTCCGTTATATGTCACAAAAATTTGTGGAGTATGTAACTGTATCTCATCTAGGAATCGTAGTAATAACGACCTTTCATCATTTTCATTGAAAACTGTAAAGTCTCCTGGAAACTACCAAATCTCAACCCAATTACAACAATATATATAATACATACCTCATCTTTAGGACTATAAGTGAAATCGTCAATATTTGCAGCAACAATTTCTCTATTCACACCTAGATATCCTTTTCCATCTATCATCCAAGATATCATCATAACTTGATCACCAGTTTTTGCATCAGGAAATTTGAGAGGAGCTTTTGTTGTCTCAATATCAAATGCCAAAACAACGGGCTGTGGCCTTTCTACTATTTCTGATAGAGGATGCAAAACTGCATTGGATTTGGAGTCGACTCGGACATTGTACCAAAGACCAACATGTATATTTTGACTAATCATAGTTCTTGAAATGGGAGATATATCATATTCAAATATTTCGAGAATAGAATGAAATCCGTCGCTTCTCCTAAAAATTGTTAAAGTTACGTACATTATGGTAAGTCAGGATCTGTTCGTACGTTAATTTTTCTTCATTCTCTTTCGTTTCTTCCAATAACAAATTCCTACTTGTGCTGAACTCTTCCAATCTACGAAGAACGAAGCTTGATACTTCATTGAGCTCTGACATAGTTCGAAATTCGATAGCCAATAAAGATCTCTTTGTCATGCTTGCAACGTGATTTGGAACTGACTGATCGTGAAGAGCTACTTGCTTTATAGCATAGAGTTTATCACGAAAATACTTTTTCAAGGCGAACTCTACTTCTTCCTCAGAGCCTTCTTTCACTTTGAGGTAAAAATATGGTCTACATATCATGGTGGCACGAAAATGATTCCCATCAGCACCGATAAAGAAGAGGTCTACAGCCTTTAAGGGTTTTAGGAGTTTATCGGGACAGCATAGGAAACCTTTACCTGTGTAACCCTCTTATTTGTTGGGTCCTCAACAGTGGTAGCTACTGCGTTAAACAGCCATCCAACTTTGGACCCTGTTAGAGATAACAAGGGCTCAAATCCACTATCTCTGTCGAGCTTATCTAAAGAGATTTGTCAATACTTTTTTCAGAATAGATAACTCGACGAAACTTGCCTTGCTTTCTTCGCCTTTCTTTTACTTGTTGTTGATACAAAGACGAATCTTCTTCTTCAGATGCAGCAGTTTCGAGTATATTTCGTTTCCTTTGAGACTGTGAAAGCCGTGAACATCTTCATAACGGAGCTTGACTCGTTCCTTACCTGCATTCAAATTTAGCGCCAAACAAATGTGGGAAAGAGTAGACCAATTTACTTGAATGAAACAAAGCCAGTCTGTTAAATACTATTGCATTACAAACGACATAAGATAAAATGGACGTAAAACAATATAAAGCTTTGGAAGAAGAAAGTTGAGAACGTTTTCCATTTGCCAATTATCCAAACAAGTGTTTTGCAGATCTCCATATATAGAGAATGTGTTGAATGTGAAGAACAAATTAAACACAGGTGTTGATGTTTGCAAGAGATTCCCTTTAAAAATAGTACTGAGAAACAAGGCTCTCTTTTGCTTTCAGTTTAAAATAGTAAGAGTTCTGTCGCACTATGGTAAAACAAAATTTCTTTCTAAACGAAAGCATCGTCAAACATACTCTTCGTTGGAATCTTTTGTAATAATACTAGGTGACAAATGCAGGTTATTTCGACTTCTACATCCTCCTATAGAATTCAGATGTTTTATGGACTCATCTTTAAGATTTGAGAAACAAAGTTGTAAAAAATGGCGGGATTTGGAGAAGGTCCCAATTTGTCCTTTTGATGAGCTATTGTTGACAACATAATAGTAAACAAAACCCAACAAGTTTATGAATATTTTAAAAATCAAATGACTGACAGGTATGGAGCTTTAACCAAGAAGCACTATAACAAGTACTCAAGTAATCTCGCAGGGTGAAGAATATCGACAGAGGCGTGAAAACAGAAAGCATAGAGGAATCTTCAGAAACTCTCTTCCTCAGCAAGCAACAGATAACTCATGAGCATCAATTTTCCAAAGCACTTCTTGTAAGTCAACTAGGGAGGATAGTTTTTGCGTTGAATATAGTTTAGGAAAAGTCTTTGGATGGCTTGGTTACCCTTCTTTCACAGACGCAGTCTTCTTGCATAGCTGAAAATCTTACACCCTCGCAACTTCGTGCAGATGACTCTCCAAAACTTACATCGACACTAGCTATTTGCGTATACGAGCAACCAGGAAACAAGAGGAAAGCAAAGGCGAGAGAAATCTTGGAGTGGGAACTTGCATATGCATCAGCCCGTCAAAGACTGACTGCTCACGTCAGAGCACTGTTAAATTTGTGCGTTCTGTCTCGAATGGAGAATATAGAGTTTGACAAGGATCTTGCTTTTCAAACCATTCAAGAGAAACTAGAACTGTTAAAAGCTAGACTACAGAGTGCAGGCGTCGGGGTTGAGAAAAAAAGAGTTCTCCTTGCTCAGAATTTACTAGAAGCGGAATATTTGATTGAAAAAGGTCTTTTTTTCAATTCTAGAAATAAGCAAGAAGAGGCCTTGGCTTGTTTTAAGCAAGCGTTACAACCTGCCTTTGTAGGAGCAGAAATGGGATTTAGGAAATGGTTGCTGGCAAGTCTGAAATGGACAGCTGTCGGTGAAATGAAGGCAAAACATTGGCTTCAGGGCGCTGTTTACTTCACAGATTATTGTGGAAGATGTTTATTTCACATTCGAGAAGTTGTCCTACAACAGAGCACACCTGCTGTATATTCCGATTCCAAAAATCATGTAGAAAAGTCAAATGTAGAACCAAGAAGTCAACTCAAGTACTTTATACCTGGGAATTTCGTGGAATCGTTTTTGAACTTATGTGATTGTCTGTTTCATTTAAGGCTTTACGAGGCTGCGAGTATTTGTCTAAACTATATTTCATCTGTTGTCCTTTCGGTAGACGATGAGGAAATAACGGGCCGTCATTTTGAACTGAAAATGTAGTTTCTAGCTAAATGTATTTAAAACTTTGTCTAACTGCAAGTCTAGGAACGTTAATGATAGTATCAATAGAGAAAAGAGAAAGGCACTGGTTTCCGAGGATGAGGACTGGGACTCTGAATTTGGCTCTCTGGACGCTGAAGAATTACATCCGCGCTTCTCCAACTTGTTTGGTGATAAGTTTACTCAACTGAATTCTGAAAAAGACCATAGGTTGACTCTACTGAAAGAGCAGATGGAGGTTCGAAGTTCATTCCTAAAAAATTCTGCATTTATAAAGTATCCGAAGCCAACAGTTCTCTATAGCTTAAGACTTGCAGATGGCCGTATGCAGTTGCATGAGAAAGAATACGAATCTTGGCTTTTACACTATTCCTTTGTTGATGACAGTAAATATAAAGAAGGTCAGCAAAATCTAGAAGTATGGAGCGATTCAAACAAGAGCATTCCCACTTCTAATGTGATCTTGGATCGCCTTAAGAGACTGGATCAGGTCACATTGGAATGGGCTGAGATGTACTTTCTATTGATTTGGGACACTTTCAGGGAGAAAAAGTTCTCTCTGATGTTTAAATATGCAGATAATTATTTTAGTGCATTACATGGTGCCAATTCCGTTTTGAGCATTGATGAAAGAAAGGATGACAAAAAGTACGAGAAGCTGTTTCAAATGAGCATGGAAATTGAAAAAATAGTAAGAACTAGTATAAAGTATTCATCAACCAACACATCTATGACTACCATGAAAAAGAATCTACATATTATAGAATGTACTTTTCCAGAGATGATTTTGAGGATCAAATTGTACAAAGTGCAATGTAGAGGCCATAATTGTTTAGAAAACGAAAATTCTACTGATTTTCTTGAAGTTACCAAAAATTTATTGGAGATTCAAAGAGCTTGTTGTAACATAGATAATGAATCTTGGCTATCCTTCGAAACTTGGGACTCGATAAACTTTGATAGTGTGGCTTTTTCAACAAAAGACCTCGACGTACAAGTTGATGCCATAGCATCTTTATATTTTTTTCTTTGTGAACGGTCCCCGTTAACCGGAAAGCCACTGATTCATGCAGGCAGAAATGAAGGAGCGATAATCCCGAGAAGAAAGGATTTCCAGGGTCTTATGAAGAAACTCAAGTTGCAATACGAATCTATTCCAAGCGCAAGTCACATCAAAGCAAAGACCGCTTTTGTATTGGCTCATTATGGTTTTCATTCCACGGGAGATAAAGCAACAGCTGAAAGACAGCTCTTTGAAGCACTTGTGATATGGAAACAGTACTCAAATGATCATTTGACATATCCAGTACCGCTCCTGACGGGAGAATTTGTACAAGAAGTACTTAACTTTTTGGCAAATATTCTTTTGCAAAATGGAAAGGCTATCTATAGCTTAGCTGCCAGTACAGCGGAACATGTTGTCGACTTTTTTATGTCGAAATCTCAGAGTATACCTGTATTGCTTCGATGTGTAAGAATTTCAAAGACAGCTGGACTGTATCCTATTGCGATCGGATATTTATTACAAATATTGGTAAGTATGGATGAAGAATTGTCATTGGAATGCTGAATAAATATCTTATAGGAAACCTACCTTGTTCCAAGGGCTAAACTGGAATTCATTTCTTACTTGTTACAGACCATAGATTTAGCTGTGGAGTTTGGTTACTTTTCTTGTGCTTTAGAACTTGTAGAGTGTGGAGTGAACTACATTCAGGAGTCGATAAATACAAGTGAACAAAATGCAATAAGAATGAACGAATCCAAAGCCAAAAATCTGGAGAAACGGCTGTCAAGTTGTTCTTCTAACTGGAGAACTAGAAGTTTTGAGGAATTGAGAATAAGAAGTGGCATCTTATTAACTGCAACTGGCCATTTTGAAGCAGCACAAAAGTCATTTCGTTCCTTGTCACTTCAGTCACGAGACAACCGCATAACTTTATTATGTCGACTTTATTTGACTGAAATTGATGGCATGTTAAACCGTCATACAGAATGTCTTAGCTTCTGTGAACAATTTGAGCGAATGACATCGCTTACTGTTGGTCAACTTTTTGAAAATGTTCGACTCAGCTTTCATCTATCTTTGTGGGATCTTGACTTGACAATATCTGAAGTAGCAGTCTTTATAAAAATCCGTTGCTTGTTGAGAAAACAACAGTTCATTGAAGCACTGAGGAATACCGACTTTGCGTTTATAAAGTTTCATCGAGGGCAGCTCCGTCATTTGGGTCGTCTTTATTATTTGAGGGGAAAAATCTTAACTCAAATGATGATACATTTGAAAGACAATGTTGTTTGTCAGTCGTCCAATTGTTTTACTACTTGGTGAGTTGTCTTCATTTTGCATTTTCCAAATTTTCATTTCTCATACTCGAACATTAGTTTTATAACGAAAACAGAAAGGCTTGTTGGCCCACGTACCATTCAGATTAGTAGTCAGGGAGCCCAATCCATGGAAAGAAGATTAGAATGGAGATTTTCAATACAGAGCAAAGAAGATTTGGTCTCGCAAGCAGTAGATTCTTTGTTCCGGTCGATTGGTTATTTCAAAAAGACTGGCCAAGACTTTCTTGTAGCTAAAGCACAACTCTATATAGGAAAGCTAATAAATGCATATCTTTCAACGCAACTACGAGTGGAAGGCACTTTCAAATGGAGCTTTTTGAAGGAAAATGTGCGAAATTACTTCAAGTATTTTTCAAAGATTGAAAATTTGGAAGACATTCAGGCAGATAGATTATTGATTAGCGCATGCAAGATTTGGAAGCATATTTATTCCTTGAATGAACTGTTGAATGGCTACATCACATTAATAGAATATTATTGTTTGACAGGTTATGATTCTGGAGCTTCTTATTTGTTCTCTGAATGTTGGTTACTGTTGTCAGATTTGTTTCTAACGGACTTGAACATACAAAGTTGTATACAGCTTGAAACTAGTCGATCCATCGAGTTTGTTATAAAGAAGTTGTCAAAGATGGCGTGGATTTTGGTTACTTTTTTCTCGGAAGAAGAAATTCAACATTATCTTTTAGTGTTTGATGCTTTGAACAATTTGAAATCGAGATGCTATCAGATGGACAGTCCTTCTTTGAATTGTCCAAAGGATGACTCTGACGTGGTTCAGAGTTGTAATAACGGTCACTCTGCTTTGACGACATCGGACAAGAATTCCGAGGATCATTCGAAGAAAGAAACTATTGAACAACATTCAGTTGTTGGTAACAAAAGTACGCATCATCTGTACCTTTTCATATAGTTACATGTTCTATCTTTTGCTAGGTTCTGGCATAACAAGTAATATCCACGGTTGCTATCCTTTCTACAAAAATATAGATAAGCGTTTGAATAACATATGGTCATTTGCGGCCTCCGGGAATGAACAAGTTCAGTTCACCTTTTTGGAAGGTTCTAAAGGACGTCACTCTATCTTTCAAGAAGGAAGCCGTACTATTTATGAGTTGGGAGAAGGCACTAAAAAACTTTTTTTGAATCCTCAAGGTCAAATTCAGAGGATACGACATAGAGTCCAACAACTGTATCCAATAGATATCTCCAATTTTATAGAGGAAATTTTTTCGCTAAACTCGAAATATTCTACTTACCCAATAATGGAACTCAAGCAGCTTTACGATACTTCATGGTCGATCTTTTATCATTTGAAGATGCTGAAATATCAACATCTTCGAGGCAAACTGAAAAACATGGAAGACTGGAGTCGATTGAATTGGAGAGGTTGGATGGAATGGTTGAGTATTTCAAGGGGCATTCGACAAGAAAGTCATTGTGTAAACAACATTCCTAAGGAGTTGGCCTTCAAATCATTATTTATTGATTACTTTGACCAATGTCTCCTTATTTATGCCCCATTTAGGCAGATACAATATTCAATACCGCTTTATCGACGTTTCAAAGGCGGGGAAACTGATTCCTCTATTCAACAAGAAGGAACATTACCACTTCCATTTGAAGTTGAAAAACTCCTTAAAGAACTCATGTTGAACGAGGACAATTATGTATTAAGAGATGTTTTGCCATTTCAAATTTCAATGTGTTTTGGTCGAAGGAAACAATCCAAGTCAAGCCAAGTTACATCTAAGCACATAATATCATCCAGTGCATTACACTCACTACTACATAATGATAGCAAGTTATTCAGAGATACGCAATTCACTCTGGTAAGTACTATCGATACCTTTTCTTGCCGATTCCTATTTTTTTGTTTAGTTTGTGGATCCAGATATTGCCTTTATCCCTTGGGAGTTTATCCTTGATATTGATGCGATTCGAAGTGAGAGTTTGAGTCGCTTGAGTTATTTCTGGTATCGAGGACAAAACAATAGCACACCGTGTAGTATATCTAAAGTATTTTGGTTTGACGAAAAGGATGGAGGATCCAAGAACGATTTTTTTATAACAAAAAAGGGTTCATCTCAAAGGGGAAAAGAAAGACTAGAAACAATTGTAGACTTTTATTGGAAACGTTTGATAATGGATCATGCAACAAGAGAGGAATGGAGACCTTGGCAAGGACCCATTCCCATGTCTTATGAACGATCCTCTTCATGGTTGGAGAGATGGAAAGATGGAAGAGTTGAAACTCCCCATTTATTGGAAGCCAATGCTATCGATTTATTGCGTTGTTTTCAGTTGAAAAATGATGCTGTCCATATTCCATGTTTTATCTTTACTTTCATGGACGGCTTGCCAAGACCTTGGACGACATTGGGAACATTTCTGGAATGCTTACCACAAGCTGTCTCCTTATTTGTTCCGACAAAATATATGGAAACTTTCTTACAGGAGCATTTTCCATCGATAGAACATGCAAAGTAAGTTCCCAAGCACTTCATTGAACATTTATTGAATTCTTTGATAGCAAACCGCTTTCCATGTGGATAAAGCAACTTCAGCAAGAAACTGCACAACACTGCATTCCCATTTTCATTTATGTCAAAACAGATACCGCAATAAAATATATGCGTTGAATGTTCTTATCAAGTTGTGAGAAGACGATGGCATCTTACTCCAATCACGTTATTTTAGACATAATGAGTGGATAGCTCAACATCACTTTTCACTCGTAGGTTCCTTTTCCATAGCAACAGGTGGAGGCATACTGGAACCTCCAATCCCCAACCGCAAGAAACCCATTACCAAAGCACAAACCGTTCCAGTTGCACCAATCACCCACTTGATAACCTACAACCAACGTCATCAAGTGTCTTCTTTACGTGAAACTTACTCTGTTCTCTATGCGCTCCATTTCTGTATGAATATGTGCAACGGAAGTTTGTAACTTCATCTCCAACAGTTGAAGATCCGACTTGAGCACTTGGAAATCGGCTTTTTCCAGGATTTGCAGTTCCGATCGGAGTGTGGCAAAGTCATTCTTCGACGCAAGGGAGTCGATACCGTTCCTCATACTTTCGTGAGTAACACCGACGAGAATATCGGATAACACTTGGGCTTGCTTTCGAGGAAATCCACTGGATTCCAAGACTTGGACCAACTTGTAGGTATCGAAGGATACTTTGTATGCTTCGTTTTGCAAGTGTCTGCGTAGATGGGGAAGGGATGACCACTTTGGAAATAACCATCCACGCAAAGTAGAACGCAACAAGCCTATTGCCATATTATGACCCACCACCAATAATAATCAATTAAAATCCAATAATCCATTCTTATCAAAAATCAACTGGTGGTATTTATTACGCACATTTGCCTTTACAAAAGTGAATGATTCTGTAAGCAGCTTGTTCCATGTTGCTTTTACTTGTGGTAAGTGCTATTCGAATATAATTTTTAATACCAAAAGCTTGCCCTGGAACGACACCAACCGCTTGTTCTTGTAACAAATGGTCTACAAATTCGACATCATCCGAGATAGTGGTTAGCATGTTTGGGTCCAGTTTCACAAACAGAAACAATCCTGCTTCAGGGATAGAAACATCGAGTCCTTGAATGTGTGCTGATTGAATGATCGACTGAAACGTAAAGGCATTTTGTCGAATAAGTCGAGTAACTTGCTGTCGTTGTAGGTTGGCATTTTCTAGCATAGTTGGTAATACTGCTTGAGTAAGGGAACAAGGAAATATCAATCGCATGGATAACCTTTTCATTACTGCACGAATATCTTGCAAAGAATCAGACTTGTCACCTATAACACACCATCCAATTCTCCAACCTGGAGCGACATAAAGTTTACTAATACTTGATATCTTCAAAACGGATATTTCACGGGCAAAAGAAAGAAACGAAATAAATTTGGACTCCTCATCAAGAATAATCTCTTCGTAAACTTCATCCGCAATAATAGGCAACCTTAATTCTTTGGCAACGTGGACAACAGCATTCATTTCATCTGAGGACAGTATATGACCACAAGGATTGTGCGGATTGTTAACTACAATGGCTTTGGTACGTTCATTCTTTGCTTTCCGAATGGAATCCAACTGTATGCTAAAATGGTTGGTGGGATCTAACTGATAATAGCGACATTCGATATTCAGGGCATTTGCAATAGAGCGAAACAAGGGAAATCCTGGCTCTGGAAGAAGCAAACTATCTCCTGCATTGCAAAGTGAAGCAAATACCAAGTCAAGGGCTCCTGCTGCTCCAGAACAGATAAACACATCTTCAGCCTTTAGTGGAACAGAACTATGGTTAGCATAATAACGTGCAACTGCTGCTCTGGCTTGTGGTAAACCACCAGACGGACAATACGAGTTATAGTTGGATGAATGAATAACTTCTACCAACTTGTCTCTTACAACTGTTGGTGGGTACACATTCTCCAGGCCAGTGGGATCCCCACCGGCAAGAGCAATCACAGATTTTGATACACCAGAAACAGAAGAAACTTTTTCAACATATTTCCGAACACCATTATCTTCAGGACTGGTTCGACTAGAACCTTGGACCATAAAAGTATTAGCCTTATCGTCGTCTATCAATGAACGAGTCATAAGTTTCACAAACAACCAATTTGGTCTGTGGACAGCCTACAAGACATTTTCAATTAACCACAATCTTCAACAAATTCCATGGCGTGATTTCCTTTCCAACATGGAATATTCGTAAAGTGCGCATATTCGCCACCTAAATTCCATAAAATACTTTTCCATCTATAGTTTTGTAACCATTTGATATCTTCTTCCTTCTTTGTAGTGTCACTGGGATCTTTCCGTGGCAGTTGTTCTGGAAAATGGACAGTAGGTGAGGAAAAATGAAACAACTTATCAATATCATTCCCGTTCGTAAGGAACCAAGAATGTTGTTTCAGTTCTCCTTCGAGTTGATCAGAACTCCATGAAGAACATCCCGCTAAAAGCAAAAAGTCTTCAAAGTGTGCCTTTCCTTTTCGAATTGAATCTATAATAGCAGAAGAACGACCACCCATATAAATACCGTGGCCAACAGCAACAGCACCTTCCATTTCGGGAAACGGATGTAAAACAAACAAAGTATTCGTAGCAACAGGGCCACCCCAATATACTGGCTGAGGTGATAGTGGATATACTTGTTCGTTTTCATCGTCCTTTCTTCCAAGAGTGTTATCTGCTAGTTCCACGTTCAGCTCTCCTCGCAACTTGGAAACGCCGCTACTCAATAGAACCGAAGGCTCGAATACTCCAACTTTACTACCATTCAAACAAAACCCTTTCGCACCTGTTTGGGGATAATATTCGTGAATGAGAATCAAAGATCTAGCAAAAGCACCGGGTAAAAGGGGATGGGACACCAAAAGTGCGCCTTTCTGTATCTCATCAATTAGGTCCAGGTTTAAAGAAGGATACTCTCCTTGTTTCAATGGAAAACTGCCTCCTGCTAACCCTAACTCAGAATGTGCCATATTTTCGAAATGTTGAAGGATTCGAAGACCCTTGAAGCCCAAGTCAACTAGGGAAGACTGAAGCTTATCTGAGTAGACAAAAGCTGAGTACTCCCGAAAACGAAGCCGGAAAGCTTCTTTCAAGGTATTTTGCCACTAGATAGATTGTTGTCAAACAAATAGGTCAATCCATGTACTTTATGCTCAACTTACCGAACAAAATGGCTTGTAAAAGGTACCTCCCTGAAGAAGGTCCTCCACAACAGAGTATAAAAATGATTGTTTTAAGCGTTCTATAGAGTCCTCAGGTTGTTTGGTATGACTTGGCAGCCAACGTTGTCTCAAAAAGTCTGATAGATTCACGTTTTAGATAGCCAACACTACAAAACAAGAGTACCTCACCATACTGCTCTCTTGGTTTGGAAGCTATGAGAGCTTTCCACGCGGGGTTCTTATCAAAACGTCTAGCAGAACTAAGGAGTGCTCTGTATAAGACAATAACAAGTTGCCTGTTTTGATCAGAAACCAAACCACCACCTGAAGCCATATTTGCTCTAATGAGACCAGCAAATGCGATTTCTTTTCTATTTATTTCAACCAGAGTCATTCACAAACACAATCGTTTCGTGTTTCAAAAACACTAGGCAACTTTTATTCTTCTAAGTTATGCGTCGCTCTTTGTAGGTGCGCCTGGAGGCAATTTACCGGATTTCTGAAAAGATTGATAGTGCTTCCGGAGTTGTTCGCGTTTTCGCTTACCCGCAAAGTCCTGTTCTAGTCGACCTATTACTTCCCTTTCGGTCAAGTAAGGATTGGCTCCTAAAGCTTTGTTAATACTGTCAAGAAATAGTTTATCATCTTCCTCGTTCCAGTTTTGTCTAGGACGCTTGTTTTTTTGCGAAGCCTCTTGGCCATTCTCTGCAAGACTTGTAACGTGATCTCCGTTGGAATGTCCTTGCCCTTCTTGCTGCCTTTGTTGTGTCGAGACAATATCATTTTGTGAAGAAGACACAGTACGAAGTTGAGATTGTTGTGAACTTTCGGTGGTATTATTATCGTCACTTGCTTCTGAAACCATAGCATGCTCTTCTGAATCGTGTTTTCTCTTTTTCTTTTCAGAAGAGTGCTTGTGTTTCTTTTTCTTAGAATCTTTTTTATGTTTCTCCTTCGATTCGCTATGCTTTCGGTGACTATCCAGATGTTTGTCTTTTTTCTTCTTCTTCTTATCGCTCTTTCTAGATGACTCCACATTTCCGTGATCGATACTCTGTACATCTTTCATAGGTGTGACAGCAGGTTCCGAAACAGGCGATGGTTTGACTTGTTCCGCCGTCTTATTAGCAACGGCGGGCTCACTAGTCAAAGACTCTTTTCGTTCTATGGCTGGAGTTGTCTGTTGCATAGCCTTTGTTGGGCTAGTGGTCATCTTTTCACGCTGCGGAGAAGAAGCCAATTTTTCAACTGCGCCAGAATGGGTCTGTTGTTGTCGTTGTTGCGCTGACGCAGAAGCCTTTTGTTCAGTTGAGATACTTTTTTCAGGTGTCTTGGTACTTTTTGATTGAGCATTCAAAGGTGATGGCTGCTCATGTGGAGTTTGTGAAGAAGCATGCTGTTGGGAAAGGTTTTCTGAAAACCCTAAAAACACTTGACCCAGGTCTTTGAATACAGTTCCCAGCCGTTGAATGCAACGGCCAAGAGCCTAGCACACAATAAGTGAAAGACTACAAAACATATCCGAGACTACTCACTTCTTCATTCATGAATACTGACAAGTCCAACGACGGTTACCGATAAAATCCACAAAGAAATTGGGCATTTTTAGAAAACTCAACGAGAACCGTGTAAAATAATTGTTGGCTCTCCCAATATGTGCTGAAAGGAGCTTGCGTGACATCAATTTTGTCAAGTGCAACAGACAACATGTGAAGAGTACTTTCAAGGGCATTTTGATCAGAACAACATATTTACTTTTTTATCCGCTTGCAGATTCTAGCTGGTTTTGCTTCTTCTCCATAGCTTCTAGTTTGCTAAGTAACTCTTCACAAAGGGTACCCAACTGCTCATTTTCCTTAAACTTGGTTCTAAGTTGACTTTCCAGTTTCTGAATTGTGGCATCTTTTTCGTTCCTTAAGTTTTCACTCCCTCTTGTAGACTTCAAGTGTTCTAACTCTTGTGATTGGTCATATACCCGCACTTTCAGTCTCTGATTTTGTTCATTCATTTCTCTCCAAGCAAGTTGAAGTGACTCCAACTGCTTCTTCGTGTCATAAAACTCACTCTCGACACTATCGTGTTGGGTCTTCCAGTTTTGTAAGGTCTCAAGTTCGGCTTGTAATTGCAAACACAACGAACACTTCTCTTCGTACTGAAGCTTCCAATTATTTGCCTGCTCTTCCCAATTTTTTACTTTTCTCTAAGCAAATGTAAGAAAAAACAAGACTAAACAGAAACTATATTCAATCACCTTTTCTTCTGATACGACTTCTTGTAACTTTTCCTTTTCTTCAAATGCCTTTTGTTTTTCTTGCATGCATTTTATAACCTCCGTACTCTTTTCCTCTAGCATCTTCTTCTCGAAAGCCATCTCATCTTGCAGATCATGAAACGCTTTCGATTGTTTCAAATATTCATCTCTGTATAAACATACCTGCTTAAATGCCTGAGATAGCTTCATTTCCGCATCTGATCGCAAGGAATTATAGTCTTTCTCTACTTTCCATAGCTCAGTTTGAAGACTTTCTAACATTTCTTCCTGTTTACGAATCTTTTCATCTTTCTTATTCATTTGTTCTATGGTAATAGTCTGTTCACTCTGGTTCGAAGAATTTTTGTTTTGTTGCGCTTCCTTCATTGCCATCAATTCAGCTGTCAACTTCCTCTTTTCAGTCTCAAGAGTAACCAAACGAACATTCATTTGACTCTGGCTTTGTGAGATGGTCTTTCGAAGTGTCGCTTCATACTGCTGAACGATATGTTCTAATTCAATCTTTGCACGAAATTCGTTTTGATATTTCTTCAACAGATTTTGATATTCCTCGATCACTATACCAGCTTCTTCTAGAGCCTTTTTTGTGACTGTCTCTCGAAGAGCTTTCAACTCATTATTGTATGCTGCCTTGTTCAGATCCAAGTCTTCTTTGTTATTTTCCTTGTTCGAATTAGCTTCATTTGATTGGATCTCATTCTCCATGTGCCGTTCTTTCAATGTGAGGTCGGAAAACTCTTTCTCTGGAAATTCATTATCAAGGCAGCCAATGTTTGACATTCGAGTTACAATCTCGGCATGCTTTCTGACGGAGCTGGCAAATTCTTCAATTACCTCTGCTTGATTATGTGTTATCCAAGCGAAATCATCGGAATCAAGATTCTTTTTTGCTGATCGAGGTAACTTTGACTCATCTCTTTGACGATATTTGGATGAAGGTGGCGTATGAAAGACATCTTGTGAGTCTTCTGAATAGGCTTCACCTTCTTTTTTGGATTTGATCATATTTTGAGAAGTCTTCGATGGTGTTTCGTCAGAAAAGGCAAATGTGCCAACGACAGATTCCTTTGAATCTTTGATGTCGGATGAGACCTTTTGCATCTTCAAGTGGAGAGGTCTCCATGTTGAGAGCAAATTAGCAACTCTTCTAGCCAATAGTATATCGTTTGAATCTTCCAACTCTGATGCCCTTTTCAATATGATATTCAACTGTTCGGCATGTCGATGTGATTTTGGGAAGTTTGCTATCCACTCAACATACTTTTTGGATTCCTCATCTTGAAGGACAGAATAAGACATATCAGGAATGAGTAACGATAGAAACTTCAATGCCCATTTCGCCAATGAATATTGATCACTAGAAGCATCTTCGAATGCAGTAGGAACCAATCTTTGCCTCCATATATGAAAGATTTCATCGAATTCATAATCTTCTTTTATTAGCAATCGCGATATTTGACATAGAGTTTGATAGCTCTCTTGCTTGAGCTCCAAAGGACATTCCGCTCCTAGAAACTTCTTCCTCATTGCTGTGGCCAAGCGAGGCAGACATACAACAATGTCTTGTGTAATTGACCATTCTTCATTTTTGCCAATTTCAGACTTGCTTTCATGCTCTCTGTTTATACATGAGTTACGAACAGCTACTAGTGCTTTCTGCATTATCTCCATACTGGTAACGGTAGGCTCTGAGTATTCTTCAATCAGTTCTTGTAGGCTCGTCGTAATATCAGAGCTGCTTATATCCACTTTTGTGTCCATAAACGAGAAAATCCCAGAAGCTTGTAGTTGAGGGTTAGAAACATTCGTTCGTTCCTCAGATGGATTCATATCGCTTCAGTTCAGGCTGTTTTTGTTTTGGTTGTAAGGAGCTTTGAAAACACAAATTTAAAAATGACAAGAATTGGCGCCTTGGGACAAGAGATGATGTGAAAAATCATTCCAAAAGATTTCGAATTTTTGAAAAGCTCTCACAAAGTAAGTGTATTATCTACAAGTGAAATATCAAAAATATCCAAATATTATTTATGCAAAGACATCTCCTTATAGCTGGCACTTTTACGTACAAAAAAACCCAACACTCCTCCTCTCACTAAAATATATCCCTCTGCATATTGTGGAATAAAGGACCCTGCAGAACCGGTTTCTCGCAACAAGGCTTCGTTTTCACCTTGCTACAGCATAAGCAAAACTGTTTACTACGACAAGAATTATCAAGAGACTTTCCGAACTTGCCAAATCTCTTCCTTCTAGGGTAATTTTCTGTTCTTGTTACTACGAGGACCTTCCAAAATTTCCCCGTTGGACGTACTCCTCTCTGCAACAGTTGTTGTAGTGACACAAACACTCATAATATAACTTGAAACTTACTTTTGTTACCCACAGTATCTGGGGTCAGTTTAGTTGCTGGGGAAGAAGGAGTAGATGACGCCCGAATGTGAATAGGAGTGCTTCTGTTGGAAGAAGGAGACTGCCCAGAATACACTGTGTTTGTCTTTTGTGCAACTTTCTGCGAAGATCTGAAAGGACGCAAGTGTACTACTGAGAGGTCTACCTTTTCCAGTCTCCAATAAGTTTCTTCTTGAATAAGAATATAGTTCTCGCCAGATGTTGCTTCGTTTCTTCTCAATTGGCCTTCATTCTGTGCCAACCTTCCAGAAAGTGAAGCAGGTGTAGGTGAGGGTTCTCCATTTCCTCCCTGCTTGTAGAAGTTAAGAGCAACAGTTCCACTTGGCTCCCAACTCAAACAACCTTGTGAACAGTCCTGTACGGAAGCAGGACAAAATTCATCTGTTTCAAAGATGAATAAAGTTCAGAGTTGCAATACACGTATGACTTACATCTCAAAATACAAGAAGAGACATTGTCTCCTCCTTTTATACTGTGGACAAAGCTCTTTCCTAAAACCAGCTCTTCACATTTCTCCCAAGAAGATGCCATCATCATCAGAAATGCTTTGTACCAAATTCTTTGGTCAGTGGCTCCTCTTTTTATGTTGAATGCGTATTATCCACTTCAAGAGGACTTACAGTTGTGCTCGACTAGAAAGTTTTTGAAAACTTGCTGCAACGGTTTGTCCCTATGTTTCAGTTTTATTCCAGAAAAAATATCGTTGAGGAGAGACTTCAAGTTGTCACTTGGTTTTCAGCAGCGCCTTGTGTCGAGAAAGCAGCATAAGTTGGACTCTTTGAATACATCAAGTAGAAGAGTGTTTTGTTGTGTTGAAAAGCCGCCACTGAAAAGGCTTTCGTTTCCTTGGAGCCTTGCTTTGTTGACTTTGTCTTTGTTGTGGCCACGTTCACGAATAGCTTCTGCTTCGACCTTCGAAGCCTTCCATTTAGAGTCGAACTACCCTTATGCAGTAGAATTCCACAAATCTTCTCTAATTAAAAATCCTTCGAGTAATTGTCGCCGTATAGCACTAGTTGTACAAAGGAAGGAAAAGAAATCAAAGTCTGTCAAGGAGGCATCCGATGCGCTGTTTTTGAAAAATCGATCATCTTTATTCAGTGAGCTATTTCGTGTTGGTTCCTTTTGGAAAGTTCTTTCCATCCATATCCCTTCCACAGTATCAGATACTTTGGTGTTACTGTTGGCTACTATTATCGTTGTTCCGATTATGAGGAAACTCAATACATCCCCTATTTTAGGGTTTTTAATTGCTGGATTGGTCTTGGGTCCTAATGGCTTTCATCTTGTTCGTGACGTCGTAGCAAGTAGGACACTTGCAGAATGGGGAGTGGTATTCTTTCTTTTCGAAATGGGTTTGGAGTTGAGTTTAGATAGATTACGCAAACTGCAAAAGGACGTGTTTGAACTTGGCTTATCTCAGTTTTTGATTTGTGGTGCTGCTTTTGCTATTAGTGCGATGATAGCAGGCCTACCTTTGGAAACTTGTGCCGTTATCGGTGGAGGTTTAGCGTTATCATCTTCCGCTTTCGTTCTTCAACTATTATCTGAAAGAGGTGAAATAGGAACAAGATTTGGGCGTGCATCATTCGGTATTTTATTGTTACAAGACATTGCTGTAGTGCCCCTGTTAGTGGTTATTCCTCTTCTCGCTACCAAGTCTGGAGGCCCTAAAGTGTTGGTTTCTGCGTTGATGGTAGCAGCCATGAAAGCGTCTGTAGCCTTAGCTGTTATATTCGCAACTGGAAGGTTATTTCTTGAAAAAGTATTTCGTACTGTTGCTGCAGCCAAATCTCCAGAAGCTTTTGTTGGAGTTATCTTATTTACTGTATTATCGACATCTGCAGTCACAGAAGGCTTAGGGTTATCCGATACTTTGGGAGCTTTTCTTGCTGGTGTGTTGTTGGCTGAGACAAAATATCGTCACCAAATTGAAGCAGATATTGCACCTTTCCGAGGTCTACTCTTAGGCCTTTTCTTTATAACTGTTGGTTTTAGCATAGATTTGAAATTAGCTTTGGCGAATCTACCCGTTGTTTCATCGTTGGTAAGCATTGATTTTGATAAGTGTTTTCATCATTCGTCACATTGTTATTAGGTTTTAGGTTTGCTTACGATGAAAGCTGGTATAATCACAGTTTTAGCCAGATTATTTGGTCTTTCTTTTTCAAATGCGATAAGAACTGGTTTATTGGTAGCACAAGGTGGTGAATTTGCCTTTGTTACTTTTGGTGCTGCACAAAGAGCAGGTTTGCTTCCTGCAGATCTTTCACAGTTGCTGTTATTGGTAGTAGCGCTTTCCATGGCAACCACTCCACTTTTGTCTTCCATTGGTTCCCAATTAGCGTCACGAATTGAAAGACGCCGTGGTTTGATTGGAGCTAGAAGCGAAGATATTGCTGATGCTCGAGATTTTGTTATTGTGGCAGGTTTTGGTAGAGTAGGACAATCGATTTGCGAAATGCTGAATGCCAGATTGATACGATATGTAGCATTTGATATGAGTCCTTCGAGAGTTATCGAAGCAAGAAACAAAGGACTGCCTGTATTTTTTGGAGATGCATGTCGTCCCGAAGTGCTTGAAGCAGCAGGTGTTTCAAGGGCGAAGGCAGTGGTCATCACTTTGGATGATCCTGTAGCAGCATCTCGAGCTGTACAATCTTTACGAAGAGAATATCCTGATTTACAAATCTTTGTACGAGCCAGAGATACGAAACATCAACAGACGTTACAACTCGCAGGTGCTACTGCTATTGTCCCTGAGTTGTTGGAGTCCAGCTTATTATTGGGTGGTGCAGTGTTACTAGCCTATGGAACTCCAATAGAAGAAGTGAACGCATTGATTGACGAAGCTAGAAAGAAAACTTTTAAAGAAGCTGGTTTATCTATTGGAACCAGTGCACTTAACCCCCGAAGTCCGTTTTCTCCTTCATCTGAAACGAAAACGAAAAAAACAACTTCCAGTTCTTTGATATCTTCGTTGGATGAAACGAATGATAACAGTAGCTCTTCTTTGAACGAGAGCAAAATGATAACGAGTAACTTACTTGAAGAGTCTCATGTTGTATCCACAACTCCTTCTGTGGATAAAATGGAAATGGCAGCAGTGGAAGAAGATGATACAAGTCACTCCGCATCTCTTCCTTCATCACAAGAGAAGAATATTTCTACAAACCTTGCACAGGAAAAGGAAGTCCATTTTCCAATCAAGGAGGAACCATCGACTAGTAGTAATGGGAGCCAGCAAGACGATTCTTCTTTGGAAAAGATTGTAGGACAACATAAAAAGTCGGAAGATCCTATTATTTCGACAACTGAGTCATTGGATGATTCAGTACGATGAATATGAAACAATAAAATAATTCTTTTTTCCGTAGGCAACCGACAGAGTGAATAGAAATGGGTCATCCTATGACTTTTTTTAGAGTGGGGTAGGATAAGATGTTGTGGAAAACGGTACTACTCCGTGCAAGCCGACACTGGAGAAATGTAGTGTGGTTGGAGTCTTTTCAAAGCAAAGTATATTATTCAAAGTGTAGAAATCTTTCAACTGATGTGCGTTTTTATGGAAACAACTATTTGCCGTCCGTTGCTGTTCGTCGGTCTTTGTACAATTTGCCAGTGGATAGAGTTGGTGGTAGTAGTAGAGCTATTTTATTTTGTGAAAATATGCATCACAACAGCATAAAGTCAGAACAACAAGCACAAGGCAACCAAGACTTGACTTCTTTTCAAGTAGTCGACAAAGAAGACACTTCTCCTTCCTCCGGTGGTCATGACGCACACTCCAACACAGGTTCTTGGACTGATAACTCCTCGGGTGTGGATAATGTTGCCAATTCCTGGGCTACTGCGACGCAAGAAACTGTTGCAAGTGATGTTGCCACTCCTTCTTCGGCAGTGACGAGCAATTGGTACGATCCAGTAATATCTTATCTGACGTATCTTCATGACTCTACTGATATGCCGTGGTGGGGATTGATTGTAACGTGTACTGTTGTGGTACGTTTTGTGATGTTGCCCTTCACTTTAATAGCCATGCGCAATGCCGCTATCATGAATACCATTCAACCTAGACTAAAGGAGATTCAAGATTTGATGTTTGATGCGAAAAGCAGAGGCAAACTCGATCAAGCCAAACAATATCAACAGGAATATATGAAAGTGATCAAAGAAAATGATATCAATCCGTTTCGTTCCATGTTGGGTCCGTTGGTACAAACACCGGTTTTCTTAGCTTTCTTTTTCGGACTGCGTAAAATGGCAGAAACCATCCCAAGTTTTCAAACAGGAGGAACTAGTTGGTTTGAAGACTTGTCTAAACCTGATCCACTGTTCTTGATGCCCACTTTGTGCGCTGGAATATTTCTTCTCAACTTGCAACTATCTTTAACAACCGGTGCAACTCCTACTAACAAACAGTGGATCAACGTGTTTCGATTATTTGGATTGGCAATCATCCCTTTAACAGCCAAGATGCCTTGTGCCATATTTTTGTTACTGGATTCCCAGTAACTTGTTTTCGTTTTTACAAAATTTGGTGTTCAGTATTACCAGTGTCCGTGCATTGTTGAGACTTCCACCCTTACCATATAAGAAAAGCGCAACTAGTCACGAAGCGGAATCTAGTATTGTACAGGATTCCAAGTCGAGTAGCCAAAGGAAAACAGAAACAAGCCAGTCTTCTGCGTTTCAAAAAGCTGCACCCGTGACAGGGAAAAAATCTCTCAAACTTTATGACAAGGCTCCTAGGCATAGAAGTTTTAGTATTTTGTTGTATCGACAACAAAGTCAATTATGGACACAAGTTGCAAATCATAAAGCAAGCATATAGCTGTGCCATGCATCACATTGGATGTCCATGGAAGAAGATTCACAATATGCCTGGGTACCTTCTTACAAAGCACAAGATAGTAAGACTTGTTCCAGTATACCTTGGGAAGCTCTCAGTAAAGGAGATACAAATAGTGTCACGCAGTGGTTGACCCAATTGAAGGACACTAGAGAACTAACGAACAAAGACGAGGACGGCCGAACACTATTACACTGGGCTTGTGCTCGAAGAGAATGGAATCAGTGGGTTCCCTTGTTACTTGAGGCAGGCTCACCTATCGCCACTAGTGACGACGGAGGTTTTTCTCCGCTACACTCTAGTTGTAGTTGTGGTAACACTCAAGTGGTTCAGTGGTTGTTGAGTGCTTCTCAAGCCCTAGGCAATTCGTTGGATATGGTGAATGTCAAAACCGACGACTCGCAGCTGACTCCACTGCACTGTGCAGCAAGTAAGAATAACTTGGAAATATGCAAATTGTTGATAGAATACGGTGCATTGGTCAACGCAGTAGATGTACACGGTTATACCCCTCTTATGAGAGCAGCACAAAAGGGAAACGATGAGTGTTTGGCTTTTCTGTTAAGTAGGGGTGCAATCGTTAACGTACGCAATCGACAAGGAGACACAGCTTTACATTTGGCTTGTGAAATGGGATATCGTAGTACTGTGCAAATATTGTTAGCAACCAAAGGTATAGATAGCTCTATTCGAAACGAAGAAGGATACACAGCACGAGATTTACTTGCACCTGAGTTACAAGGTTGGTGGCCAGAATAAAATGAGACGAGTATAGGTCAAATGATTCCTAAGAATGAGAAAGAATAAAAACAGCAAGGCAAAGGATAAAAATAAGATAATTGGACGTGCTGCTTCCTTTGTTGTATTCTTATTGAATGTTGTCGTTGATGGAGAAATCGATGACTTGAATATGTTCGTCAACGTTTGACGGTCAGGTTTCCGTTGGCATTCCTTTAAAAGTATATAATGCTCCTTTTGGAAGTCATCATTATACATTTTCCATACTTCCCATGGCGAAGGATACTTTCTAAGCAATACTCCTTGAATGGGATACAAAGTTCCCGTTTTATAAAGTGGTCTCAAATAAAATACATCTTCGAAAGTTTCAATGAACTCCATTCTTTCCTTTCTTCCTCGAACTTGCATAATTCCATCAGTACTAGGAACATCTTTTAAAGATGGGTTGATCAATAGGATGGGTTTGTTGCTATATTTTTGAGTCAATTGGAAAAGTTGCTCTGTTATCGGAGTAGATACTGCATTGGTTGGTGTGATGACGATACAATAGTCTTGGTCAATGTCTTTTTGTGTCAAACACTCTCCCAATGTGCTAATAGAAACGTGTGTCTGTAACTTGCCATCCCAACTTGCACGAGATATTTGATAGTCTTCGTTCAGATATCGCAATAAACCAGCGACGGCCAGTGGAATACCTCCTGAAACCGATGGCCCTTGCACCACTATTCTTACTCGTTTTTGTTTCTCCAATACCAATAGCCTCACTAGTCCCCATACCAATCTCAACAGAAATCTTCTGTCATAGATATCCAACTCTGGATTCAAGTCAGGAAGCAATAGAGTAACTGATTTTCTCAAAGCAGAAGAAGCATCGTGCCTGTTGACAGCTTCAACTACAAGGTTGATATAATATTCTTGTTCTTGGAGGCTTTTTGGATATCGAGACATTTGAGGAAGAACAGATGGTTCTTTGTTTACTGGAGAGGCAGTACAGTGCGGACCACTTTTGTTTCCAGTGTAGTGACAAGCAGTGTTTCTTCTATAAGCTCTTCGCAATATATCCTTTTTCGTTTTGAGATATTTCCAACTTGCATTGTTAAATGAAGAAAAGCAGCAACGACAAGGAGATGAAATCCATACAAAGGAAATCATTTTGTGCCTAGTTAAATCGATTCCGTAGAGACAATGCTGCTTCATGGAAAACCACAATTACCCGATTCACATAAAAAGAAGAGATCAACATAACTTTTCTCTCTATATCTGTACAAGAATATTTGTATGGATACAGGTAGCGGAAGGAATTATGGTTGTACTGTCATCTTCAGAACCCTTGAAAACAATAAATAGTGAATATTTCTAATCTGAAGTACCCAAAATACTTGTATCAGGATGTAACGATACAAACTCCAAACCACAGCGTGACAACTTTCGACGAATTCTGTCTTGATAAGACAAGTCAACGGGAGCACGGTTCAAAATCGTTGCCATTCTGCGACGCACATTTTCAGCAAACAGCCTGCCATTTGTCTTTTCTTCTTCAGATGGAACATATCTTGGCAAAAAGTTTACACGCAATATATAATATGGCTCTGATAGAATACGTAAAAAATGAAAAAAAGACAACCCTACAAAAGCTGGATCGGCATCGCCAAAAGAATATTGCAGTACTATTGGTTGAATGGTACGTTTCTGTACAAACGGCCCTGTATGAAAACGTAAGAGACAATCTCCATTCGAAGTTGTTCCTTCTGGAAACATGACAAGTGCTGAAGGAGCCATCCAGGAAGAAAAGGAGATATTCAACAGGTCAATTCTCTCCAAACGTAAAGCAATTAGGGAAGTGGCACTTGGACTTGTTCTATTCTCTCTATCCACAAATATGCATTCCATTATTTCTGCTATAAATCCTACAAAAGGTATATTTTTAACGCCTTGTTTTGCAACAAATGGTGGCGCAAACGCTGATAGAAAATATAAAATATCATAGAAAGAAACATGATTGGAAACCACGATGCAATCAGGAGGAACAACAGTGCGGCTTTCGTCACTTATCCAAACAAAACCAACAATTAACAACAAAAGACGAGCGCCACGACGAATAAGAAAAGAAATACAAGCCCTAACCATAACATTAACCTCCTACTGTTTTCCAATAGGGGTACCTTTTACAATCATCTCATACCTTCTGAAACCTACCAAGGGATGATATGCTAAATCCTTACGACTGACACCTAAAGCCAGAATTCGAATCAAAATCCAGACAAATACCAACAGCAAAAAACAAAATAATAGGCGCAATGGTACCAACACAAGTCCGACGAGAACCTTCCATAGACAGTGGGCAAGAAACCACGTCATAAAATGAAACAACTCACTTTGATTAGGCCCAACAGTCGCCAAGGTCTATCTCTTCGGACAAAAGGATTTCGAACCAAAAGCTTACTTTTGGTATGCTCACTGTGGTTTTGCACAATCGAGTCGTCCGTATAATACATGGCCATTGATTCGAGTTCTCCGCTCATCTCAAATCGATGACTTTGAGTCGATTTGGAATAGTCAACTACAATGAGAATGAACAACAACGTTTCTGAGGGAGAAACTTGTTGAGATATGAGAATTGGCCACCATTCTTAGATTGTGCCAAAACAACTTGATTCATTAGATACTCCCCTTTAGTTAATCAGGCCATATAGATGGCTCTCATTGTATTCCATTGTTTGTACTGAAGAATTTCTTATTTGGCAATATGCACTCGGCATAGGCTTTATATATATATATATATATGGCTAAAGAACATGCCATTTTTTCTAAAGACATGAATCCAGATTGTTTCTACAGAGGAAATCCTCGACATTCATCTTGGTAAAGAACTGTTCTAGGACACTTGCTAAAGATAGATCTCTTTGAAACTTGAATTGAATGTATTTTATAGATTGTTTCTCTTTTTGGCCTTCATCAACAAGGCCTACCTTAGCCCATCATATTTGGCGCCCATTTAAAATCTTCATTTCAAAAATCAAATTCTTTTCTATTTGATGTTGAGAAACGTCCCAACTAAAAACTATTCCAAGCAATGTTGTGTTTCTGAGAAGCAACCACTGCTATCATAGTAAGTCAACAACATTTATAAGCTACCTGGCTCATAGTATAAAAACACAGTGCATCCTCCTTGCTTCCCTCTTCTCACAACAGAGAGGACTCTGCTGTTACGATATCTCCATTAAAAGAAGACAACATACACACTGTATTGAATACTGAAATACCCAAAGAGAATTGGCATAGAAATGACTTATTATTAGAGAGTTTGAAAGAACTGAAGCAAGGTGAGAACCTTAAATTTCTTCTACAGTATTTCGTTCCAACTATTTTAAAGATTTAGAATCCATAAAGAAGGAACACATGGAAAAAGACCAACATATTCAGCAGTTGAGAAATGAATTGTCTCATAAACAGATGCAACTAGAAGAAGTATGGCAAAAGCTAGAAATGTCCAACCTGAACAATGCTAGACAAGGAAATGAGACAGCTGAACTGCAACATGAGGAGATCCATCAACAAATACTATCCATTCGAAATACTTTTGCCCAGCAATTGAAAACAATAGAGAATATAGAAGCAAAGCGTATTTCTAGTGGTGAAGATTCGAACAGAATGATGGACTATTTGTCACGTCAAGTGGATCCGTATGTTAGTATATTGGAGAGTTTCGACAAAGTATGTCACTCAAATGGCCATCCTATCACTTTAGAAGTGATAAGAGATATTTTATCCAAAGTATTTTTAGCGATGAAACAGAATCTTGACTATCTTGAATATCTTCAAAGCACCTACGAGAAGTATCCAGAAATAGTTGATCGTTACGAAGTAACTGTTTATGAAAAGGATTCTATTATTGAGTGTCAGCGTGCTATTATCGCAGTCAAAACAGAACAAATAGAAAAGCTCCAACAGAAATTGGAACAAATAACATTGAATGGTGCCTCAGCAAGTGACTCGGAAACAACGAAGAACAACTCTATACAAACGAGACAAAGACATTTTGCACTTGTTCATGGTCTAATGAATGTCGTGGATAATATCCTATCGAGACTATTCGGAGATCGCTCATTCCATATGGAAAACAACAGGCCTTCATCGGAGTAAAAATGTTTTTGTAATTTCTCTCCAGTGGAAGCGACACAGCTTTTGTATTGCTTTGGATATAGTGACCTGTCATTTTTTCTTTATTACAATAAAGAATATATGAAAAGACTACTCAGTCTTTTATCTACTACTTTAGCAGCTGCTGGTATCGCAGGTGTTTACTTTGGTGGAAAGCGTTTTATTTGGAGTGAAGGAAAGAAAAGGTAGGTTCAATTCACTGCTTGTTCCAACTTCAAGTTTCTTCACCAATACTTTCCATTTTCTCACATTCGCAATTATTTTCAAGTAAAGAAAATAGCGTGTTTTGATGATCCTCTCTGGCTCAACCGAACAAACCATCTGTGGTAACAAGATCTTGTGATCTGGTTATTTTGAAAAAGCCAAATGAAACTTGAAGTGGAACAAAGCTTAGTAATATTGGATAATGAATGCTAACCCATTATTTTATTATTATTATTTTCATCAAAAGTATGGCAGCCAAAGACTATCGTTATGTCGTTTTGGGTGGTGGTGTAGCTGGTAAGAACAACTGATACTTTTTAGAAAAGTCTCAATTATTCCTGTTTAAGCGGGTTATGCTGCTCGTGCCTTTGTAGAGAAAGGACTAGGCAAAGGTGAACTTGCTATTATTTCAGAAGAATCCGTCGCTCCATATGAAAGACCTGCACTTTCAAAAGGTTTCCTTATGGGAAACCCTCCTGCAAGACTTCCAGGTTTTCACACCTGTGTGGTATGCTTCTATAATTTTGGTTTCTGTATTTGTCTTAGTCGTTTGTAGGGTTCAGGTGGAGAACGCTTGTCACCAGAATGGTACACTGAACACGGTATCGACTTGTTACTTTCCAAGACAGTAACACAAGTCGATCCTGCAACAAAGACCTTGAAGCTTGTTTCAGGAGAGACTGTCCAATATGATAAGTTGTTTGTTGCAACGGGCTCTTCAGCAGTAACATTCAGTGATCTTGGGTTTTCTGGTGCAGACTATAGAGGCATTTATTGTCTCCGCAACATACAAGATGCTCAGAAACTTTACGATGCTATTCAAGCACACAAAGGAAAGGAAGCTGTTGTGATTGGCGGTGGATATATTGGAATGGAAGTGGCTGCAGCTCTTGTACAAAATCAAGTCTCCTGTACAATGGTTTTTCCCGAAGCACATATGATGGAGCGACTTTTTACTCCAGAGATTGCCCAATTTTATGAAGACTTTTATCGAAGACAAGGAGTAAAGATCCTTAAGGGGCCTTCTTGTAAGTCATTTGTTGGAAATGAGAACGGTCATGTGACTGGAGTGGTTTTGACGAATGGTACAGAACTCAAAAGTGAATTGGTGGTCGTTGGTATTGGTGCAAAGCCAAATACGAAACTTTTGGAACCTTTTTTGAAAATGGAACAACGAGGTTTCTTAGTGAATGGCCAACTACAGACGAGTGACTCCAACATTTTTGCTATTGGTGATGTTGCTACATTTCCTTTGAAAATGTATGACAATCGTCTCGCAAGAGTGGAACATGTTGGAAATGCCAGACAAATGGCTATGCATGCAGTTGATGTTGTTTTTGGTTCGCAAAAGGCTTACGATTATTTGCCCTTTTTCTATTCAAGAGTCTTTGATAAAAGTTGGAAGTTTTATGGAGATACTCCAAAGGATGCCACTTGTTTAGTATTTGGAGAAATGAATCCAAAGTTATTTGCTGTTTGGGTAAGAACAAATGGTCAAGTCGTTGGAACTTTTACAGAAAGTGCTACACCGGAGGAAGAAAAGAAGATCGAACGGATTGCTAGAGAGCGTCCCACCGTAGATATTTCCAAGTTGAAAGCTTGTCATACTGCGGAAGAAGGTCTGAATTTTTTTTCCTAATGGACCATCGATCCTTTCCATCTTTTATGTAAAGGAATTTTGGTGATGTCGTATGTGAATGTGTGTGCGTCTAAAAGAGAGATAGAGAGAAGTTATCTCTCATATAGTTGGTGTTTGTGTTTCATAAAAACGTGTGTTCGATTGATTCAGCTTCTGATAAGCAACTATCGCCAATCCACCAAACTTGAATCTCGTTTGGGTAACTTGACAGAATTGTTTCCAATGTGTTTAACGACACTCTTAATAAGCATCCCAACTCATCTGTACAATGGCGTCCATCCAACAGTTTTTGTAATAACTTTGCATCTATTCTGACATTTGAACTGTCTTCAGTTTCAACTTCCCTTTCTAATAATGAGGCAATATCAGGTAAACAAGAATGTCTCATGCATATGGGATATTCGTATACTCTCCGAATAATACCTGTCAACATACCAAATGCAATCCACTTTCTAATGTCAATAGTCTTTAACATCTCCCAATGGGATTTCACCAGTTGTTCAACACTCTCCATTCTGCTTAAAGAATTGTATAAAGAATAATATGAAGGTACATGATGGGTAACATTCGAATTTCCAGTTGACAAACTACAAGGCAGAGTATCTAAAAGAACGAGTGAACTTTTTGATGAGGCAAAGGATTCTGTTATCTGAACCCCAGATTGCTTTCGAGTTGAACTGAACAAAGGACTTTGTCTATTCGTAGAACCAATTCTTCCAAATAAGGACTGGGAGTTGCACTGAACCAAACGATCACATTGTTCCCAAAAATGAATGTCCTCTTTGACAAAGTGTAGTTTGCTAGTAGGTTCATATCTGTTTTGGAACCGAAAAATGTCAATACATCTTATCATATCAGCATCTAACAATACACCAATACTGCGAAACACTGTTTCTCGGTCAAGTATAGTGAGAGATGCGATTTGGTCGATACAGTTGACACCATTGATATGAACACTTACTTGACTCACATTTGGGTCTATTTGGGAAGCAAACTGTCCAACTAACATCGGTGCACGGATTGCTACTGGAACGTGATCCAGTCTCAAGTGCTGACTGTTATTGACAAGACCAGATAACTCTTGACTATTACTGGGAGCACGTGAAAGAACCTTCAAATAGCACGCATGACTAGCATCAAACACTAGAAAGTGACAACCTTTTTCAAAAAGTTGATTGACCATTTTGGTTAACTTTGTTCTTAAGGTCGTTCTTGACTGCCAATCTTGTCTGGAAAGAAGACCTCTTTCCTTTTCCAATGAAAGCAATTCATTCGAAAGTTTCAAAACAACGGGAACCATATCACGTACGAGAAAAGGGTGTTCTTGAGGTAAAGACTCCAATAAGAAACCAATATTGAACAAATAGGCGTTACGTTCGTATTGGCTGCCTTCTACTTGAGTAGGTTTTCCAATAAAGGTAACACCATCTATTTGCACAGAAACTATCTGACCATACAGAGAACGCTTTGGAATCAAGAATTCGTAAACTTTTTCGAAAACTTCGATAGGTACCGGCTTCACTGAATAAGGTTGTATACAAATATTATTACGTGGACCTGCTACGTTATCAAACTCTGCAAGGAACACTGAAGATATCTTTCGGTAAGTAGGAGACGACGACTTGGACATTCACCACAAGTTGGGAATGATTGTTAAGAGCTATCCGTATTCATCATTAAATATGGTATTTTCGTGTTGATGTAATGAGCAAACGGAAAAGAATCCTTGAAAGACAGAAAGAATGGTTGGCTCAAGTGTCGATGACAAGAAAAATACGTTTTGGTCAGCTGTTCGTAGAAAAATGGGAACTGCGCGGGAATCTGCCTTTGGATTGTTCGAATGCTCAAAACAACAGAACGACGACTCGCTTGGAAATATGCTCACACTCCCGGGAAGACTGACTTGGGAATCATTTATTCTACACAGGATGAAACTACTCTCATTCTTACTTGTGGCTCAGATGCTACCGTGAGAGCTTTCGAATGGAGATATGAGGAAGCAAAAGAAAAAAGCTTTCCTCGAAGGTTTCAAATAACCTATCCTCACAGGGAAGACGTATGCTCCATGAATCGTTTCAAGAAGGAACAATTGAAATTATAAATCTTGTTTAGATTCTTGCGCTTTCAGTCTGTAGTCTTGTTTCTAAGCTGGTGACTGGTGATAAAGAAGGCTATCTTCGTCTGTTCCATTTGAAAGAAAATTCTGCAGAATTGGAGTGCGTTTTGACTAGAACAAGCGGATCTATTTGGTGTTGTGCATTTTCTTGTAGTGGTAGCTATGTATTTGTTGCTGGAGAAGAGCCTGGAATAGTTCGAGTAAGCCTAGAATATCTCGAACTCGTATTATGAATATCTCATCTTTCTACGTTTAGATTATAGATGTGGCCGATAAAACGGTGGTTATTGCATCTGAAAATGCTCCCGTGCAAGCTATAAAAGACTTGGCAGTAGATCCACTGGGAGACTATTTCGTAAGTGTTGGAGAAAGAGGCGCAGTTGGCATATGGTCGTTGAATCAGAACACTTGCATTTTAACTATACACAATCATGCTACTTGTGCCTCCTGGAAACCTGATGGTAGCTTACTGGTTTTGGCAACAAGCACAAAGGAAATAGGTAGGCTTATTGAAAGTTTTCGATGCATGATGAGGACTTATGGGTAATAGTATTCTTGGAAAGAGAGTCATGGAAAGTTAAAAGAAGCTTTTCCAGTATAGTTGATACTGTTCCTGTCAAGATAACATGTTTAACTTGGAGGTCACAAAGTAATGATATCCTGTGTGGTTCTGAAGACGGGAGAATATTTTTGCTTCATTATGGAAAAGATATCGAAATAGTTGCTCATTGGTGTGGGGATGAAAACTTGATAGAGAAGATTGTCTGGCATCCAAAGTGGAACAGTTTTGTATCAGTGGATGCTGCAGGACAATTGGTTAGGGTGACGGAGGTTCCTGTTGCCAACGTTTCTGATGATCACAAAACAAAGGAAGAGTTGAATGATGAACCGACGAGTGTTAATGATGACTCTATTGAAGAACAAGAGCAGGAGGACATCTCCTGTGCCGATGAAGTTTCATCTCATAGCAATGTTGATGAAGAAACTGAGGAAACGATGCTTGAAGAAAATAGTGTAATTAGCAAAGAGCGTGCACCTCGGCATTTCATGGTATCTTCAACTCCTTTTGATGGATCCTATTCTATTCTTTGTTGGAATAGAACAGGTAGACTAGTATCTAGAGATGTACAGTCGCATCATGTTGTAGAAATTGAATTTTCGGACTCCTCATTGAAGCCTCTACGTTTTACTGATCACTATGGTTTGCTTTATCTGTATTTTCTTTGTTTACGGATGACTTGTGTTCTAGGATTCTCTTTAGGATGTTTGAATTCCGCTGCTGTGATATTGGCTTCCAAAAGTGATCTTGAAAGTCGCAATGTCATTTTCTATCGCTCTCTGTCATCCTCCTGGACTTCCAATTCGCATTGGACAGTTGCTTTGGATGATTTAGAAATTCCACTTTTGTTGGCTCTTGGCGTCCATTGGGCTGCAGTCTTTACTAGCAGAGAGCGTCTTCGAATATTTTCCTCTAGTGGAATTCAAACTGACTTACTCAAGCTGGAACAACGTGTGTTGACTATATTGGGTTCAGAGAACGATAAGCTATGTATTGTATATGATAATAGAATGAATGATAAATGTGAATTCGAATTTTTTCAGGTAAGAAAGAATTATAACTGAAACAGAACTTTAACTTGTATGTTAAGATATCGCCATTTGGAATGGTGACAAGTCGCTCTTCTCGAATGTCCCTTCCTTGTAAGCCATCTTATCTACAGTGGATAGGATTCAGAGAAACAGAAACTTCATTTGAAGAATTGTTGGCCTTTTCAAAGACACAAGAATTGTATATGTTTCTTCCTTATCACGGAAATACTTGGGTAGGTGTAGTTATGTGAGAATGAAACAAACTTTACTAAGCAATATAGACCGTTGTTGTTGATAATGCTTTGGAGAATATTTCACCTGGGTCATCATTCTTCTGGCCTTGTTATTGTTACAATAACAGTTTATTTGGTATCGTTTGTAAGGACAATGCGGCACCTCCCATAACCTTATCATCACCTCCCTTGACTTTTATTTCATTGAGCGTGTCATTGTTACCTTTTACTGAATCAAGTCTTGCACTGGAACAACAATATCTTTGGGAAGCACTTATGTTGTCGAAACTAATGGCAAATGGTTATTCTGCGGGTAACAATATGGGAGAGAGAAGAAAGAAATTAGATAAAATTTTGATACGACTATTCGAAGATTCTTGCGTAACCAATCACGTTGCTCGGGCTTTTGACTTTGCGAGCAGATTGTATTCATACAAGGCTTACAAAATTGCCTGTCAGGTGGCCAACCACCACAGATTGGGTGCTCTAGCTCAAAAGGTGGAGTCTTTAATGGATCAATGTCCTGAAATTCAAGAAAAGAATCTGGGAAATTGCTCAGCCGACTCTGTTGGACAAGTAGCAACAACACAGAACGATGAGAATAGGGTGCCAGTTGCGAGTTCCAGCATAAGAACAGGAATAACCGAGTCTGTCACAGTTACAGAACAGGATTGTGTCGAGAAGACATCTCAATCAGCTGCTTCTTTGGGTATTCAATCTAGGATTCAAGAAAGGAAACGTAAACTAGAGGATGGCCAACGAACTACGGTCATTTGAAGACATCGAACAGTTCAATTCATTTTTTTCAATTTTCTGAAATAAAATGTTTTCTGCCAAGACATTATTGAGAATAACTTGTTCTTTTAGATTTCACAGTTCTTTTTGGTTTAGAAGTTCTTCTTTTTGTAACCAAGTCAAAGACCAGAACAGTGGAAAAGAAGACAAAGAACAAGTTATATTTGATAGTGTGGTGAACAGAGCTTTTCGTCACGTGTATTTCCGAACACTGCCTTTGAGGAGACAACCAGAATTGAAAGGAAAAGAAAAAGAAATTTGTGAAAGTATTGAGACAGAAGCAAGACAGTATGAATTGCCTGGTGTTCAACTTATTTATGTGTTGACAAAGAGTTAGACTGTGTTGGAAGCATAGAGAACGAGTTGTCGATGACCGAAGTGCCGCTCATATGTAAGTTGGCTAATTGTTTGTTTTTTTCCAATGAAACAAATATTATTAGACATTTAAGTTCCATGGCGCTATCTTCTTACAAGTAAGGAATGCTTTTAGTTGTTGTCACTTCGAAGAGCACTAAGTATAAAGGAACACAGAACCTTACTTCCTTTGTTGGATTCTGATGAAGAAAGAGTACTCAACATAGTAGGAAGAGGATTCGGTTTGGCAGACGTGAGTTCCTCTTCCAAATCTGGTTTACAATGGTACTTTGATCCTTTTGAGAAATTCTCAGACTTATGCTTCAGTTAGGATCCTCCAGTTTATGTTACTGGTTTCTTTGAATAAGTTGCGAACCTTGAAGCGTATGGCTGAGAATATTGAACGGGATTTTGGAAAAGGTTTCGATATTGTTCAAGAAAGTGAAGTGGATTCCAACAACAAGTTGGTTGCTCACCAAATGGTTGTTCGTCGTTGTTTGTATCACGACTTTTTTGTTGCAGAAGGATATCCTCAAGTGACTCGTCTTTTTTGTGCGTTGGATCGTTCCTACTTTGGAGAGGTGAAGGAAAAACGCCACGGTGATATTTCTTGAGTTCTTTTTTGAATGTTGTTATGACAGGTGAAGTTAGGTGTTCGATTTACTTTGAGTCAAACACTTGTAGACTCTGATTCCTGTATTTTTCGACTAGAAAAAACTCGTAGATGAATAACTTCTTTAGGACAAACCAAAAAAATTTCACATCAATAAGAGATACGACATTGAGAGAAGATTGTTTCTTGATTATTCACTCAGATGAGAATATTTTGTCTTAGTTTTGTTTCTTCTGTAGGAACCTTGAAAGAGCAAGTTTTTGATAAAAGATTTAGGCTTTCAGTATGTAAGCATTCTACTTTGAGAAGACATATTTGTCGACAAGCGTGTCAGATGGCCTTAAAAACCTTCCTTCCTTCAGACTTTGAAATTCGTCGTTTAGTTGGAAAACAAAGTTTATTACGAATAGTCGAGTGGGAATATTATCAAAAGAAGAATCCAACGGAACCTGCAGTTACGGTAGAACCTGGATCTCTAGCTTGTCGTCTTTATGAGGCCATTTTATATCCGAATACGAAGCAAGAGACGGAGGTACTGTTGAAAGAATATCATAAAGAAGCTTTAGAGATGGGTTATAATGAAAAGAGTGTCTTTGAAACGTTAGAAGAGGACTATGGTGTGGATATCACTTCTGAACAACTTCCTTTATCGAGGTTCTTGGGAAGTCTTGAAGCACCAGATACTTTTGAGACCGAATATTTTCGTGAACAGTGGCAAAGAGCACTTCCATATATAGAGCCTCCGAAAGCCGGTCACTTATTTCTAGTTTTCTGTTGGGAAGGCTTATCTACTGTTGCCTCTTATCCTGTGAATAGAAACAATCGTGCTTGGTTATCCACCATATTTCTGGAATCAAAATTTCAACGCCGTTGTCAGTTTGTTAAGAAAATCATGTCGTCAAGTTTAGAAGCTCTTGAGTTTCTTCACCGTTATCGCATTGTACATCTTTCACTGGGTCCACAGTCCTTATTGTTGAACACTACAAGGGAAGATCAAGTGCATGCATTGAAAGTTAGACTTCGTGACTTTGGCTTTTCGAGACGACTCTCTTCGCTGGATGATGATGTGAGTAATAGTGACATGAACGATAGTCGTTGTCTTTTAAAAGTATTTCATAGTCCATTAGAAGGGCTTATGCTGCTGGAGCTTCAAATCCAAGAGCGATAAGTAATTACTATTATGCTCAAGATATTGTGTTGTTGGGTTATGTATTTCTAATGTTAACTTTCTGTTCTTTTGCGGATAGTGTAATTTACCAAAAGATGGGTTATGATGGTTTGAAAAGGTACACAAGTTTATCTTCGAGATAATTGAGTACTATAGGAAATTTAGGCTAGTTGAGGATTTGTTTCAATTCGACTTTGATCGCCTGAGGTCTTATCTTATACAAGACGATTCAGTAAGAGATGTTGTACGGTTCTTAGATCAAGGCAATGGCAGTGGTTGGGTGTTTGCTAGGAATATGCTGATTCTGAAACGTCAACTTCGTCACGAACAAGATGAACTGATAGCTACAGAACTGAAGAATTCTTCTTTTTTATTGAAGTGAACTCTTTCCGAGATACAGAAAGATGCTTCTGGAAGAGATTTCAGTAGCATTTCAAGATTAAAGCCCGTCCCCTCCATCATGGCCCATTTTATCTCATTGTTGTGCACAACGGAACTGGTTTACACCCGTTGAGCTATTCTTGCTGTAGTTAGCCTCGTAGTTTCGAAAAGTAAACAAATATTGTTAGCATGGGAGTGAAAGTTGGAATCAATGGCTTTGGTAGAATTGGAAGGCTTGTTCTAAGAGCGGCATTGGAGAAAAAGTCGGTTGATGTGGTAGCCATCAATGACCCCTTTATTGACTTGGACTATATGGTCTACATGTTCAAATATGACTCTGTACACGGACACTATCCAGGGACTGTGATAGCTAAAAATGGAAAACTTGTTGTGGATGGGCACGAAATGGCGGTGTTCGCTTTCCGTGATCCTAGTGAGATTCCTTGGTCTTCTACTGGAGCAGAATATATTGTGGAATCTACAGGAGTATTTACTGCTGCTGATAAAGCCAGAGCACATATGAAAGGAGGTGCTAAGAAAGTCATCATTTCTGCACCCTCAAACGATGCTCCTATGTTTGTGATGGGTGTCAACGAAGACAAGTATACTCCAGATAATACTATAGTATCCAATGCCTCCTGTACTACCAATTGTCTTGCACCTTTAACCAAAGTTATTAATGATAAATACGGAATCTTGGAAGGACTAATGACAACAGTTCATGCAACGACAGCAACACAGAAGACTGTTGATGGACCTTCCCACAAGGACTGGAGAGGAGGCAGAGGAATTTTGAATAACATCATTCCCTCTTCAACTGGAGCAGCAAAAGCAGTCGGTAAAGTTATTCCTGAACTCAATGGAAAGCTGACAGGTATGGCTTTCCGTGTTCCATGTCCCGATGTTTCCGTTGTTGATGTTACATTTCGTTTGAAGACACCCACTACTTATGATGATATAAAGGCAACTATGAAAGCAGCTTCAGAAAGTAAAGCATTGAAGGTAACTTGTGTCGATAGTTTCGGAATGGCGAATTCTAAAGTATTTTGACAATCTGAATAGGGTATTTTGGGATATACAGAAGATATGGTGGTTTCTACAGACTTTGTTCATAACAGTCATTCTTCCATATTCGATGCCAACGCTGGAATTATGTTATCGGAAACCTTTGTGAAATTAATTTCTTGGTATGATAATGAATGGGGCTATTCCAATCGCGTTGTAGATTTGGTACAACATATGGCAAAAGTAGATGGTGCAGCCTAAATAAGTTTGCATTCTTTTCTTTGTTGTTTCGTGGAATATTTTGTGTTTTCTTCTTGTTCGCTTTTTGTGTTTTACATATAAAATTTGACTTTTGTGAAGATTTCGAAACTTGGATTTCGATATGTGTGGCATTTTTGGATACGTCAACTATAAAACTCCAAAGAAAAGACAAGAAATCATTCAAATCTTGTTAAAAGGTACCTTTTTTTTATTATGTGAATATGGGAGTTGGAAACTATCTGAAATAGGACTACAAAGGCTAGAATATCGAGGGTATGATAGTGCAGGTTTGGCCTATGATGGTGAAGTATGCTTATTGTTTCCTCCTCTTGAATTATACAAGTTATTTTGATTCTTGGGATAGGAAGAAGGAGCACCTGTAGTAGTTCGTGAAGTAGGTACCGTAGCTTGCTTAGAAAAGGCTGTCAATGCAGAACTGATAGGTAAACCTTTGAGGTGAGATTGCAGTTTCTAAGAAGAGCACTTGAATTGACGCAAATTGCAGTGTTCGTGAACGCGTGTTTAATAGTCATGTTGGGATTGCACACACTCGCTGGGCGACACACGGCGCACCTTCTGTTAAAAATAGTCATCCACACTCGTCAGACCCTACTCACGAGTTCTTGGTGGTGCACAATGGAATTATAACCAACTATAATCCTCTCAAGGCAATGCTCTTGTCAAAAGTAAAACATTTCATTGTATTGTTTATTGATTTTGACGTGGATAATAGGGTTACGTATTTGAAACAGATACTGATACAGAAGTTGTAGCAAAACTACTCAAATACTTTCATGATTCTATTCGTGAAGATGGAGAACCTCCTACTTTTGCGAGGCTGATGATGTATGTAGTTCATGCCATTGAAGGAGCTTTCGCACTTCTTGTCAAATCAAGACACTATCCTAATGAATTGGTTGCATCGAAACGAGGTTCTCCACTTGTTATTGGCATAAAAAGTGAAACGACATTTGACAAGGAAACTTTTGAAGTGGAGGCATCAGCACCGCTTCTTCCTGATTCCGACTCGAGAGTAAGTATCAGTTCTTTACCAGTCCACAACTGGGGAATGACTCTTATCTGGAAGGACTTTTTATTGGAAAACGGTCGAATATCAAATGATGTTGCAAGTCTTGAATATCGTTCTTCTACAAACGATAGCAACTCATCTGGCGCCTTTTTTTCTTCATTTTCAAGACCTTCAAAAGGGCTTCGCTTTGTTTTAAGGAAAGAAGCAGCTAATAAGATTGAATTTTTCTTTTCTTCTGATCCAAGTGCCATAATAGAACATACTAACAAAGTATTTTATCCTGAAGATAATGATGTAGTTTATGTCAAAGATGGAGATATGGAAGTGTTTTGTTATTCGAATGAAGACCCTTCAATAGCACGAAATAGGCTTTTGTCCACAATCGACCTGGAACTCGAAGAAATCATGAAAGGACGGTTTGAACATTTTATGCTCAAGGAAATTTACGAACAGGTAGTTGAAAATCCATCTTAAAATAGTATTGACATATTTTGCAATAGCCAGAAAGTGTACAGCAAACTATGCGTGGTCGTATTCATAAACTAAGCAATGGGCAGTATGAAGTACAACTTGGAGGAATCCGTGATAGGTTTTATGATATTTTGAGAAGTAATCGTATGATATTTGTAGCTTGTGGTACATCATATCATGCTTGTTTAGCCTGTAGACAAGTGAGTAATTTCTTTTGTGTTCATCATAGCCAAATATGAATATTTGTATTTAGATTATCGAGGAATTGACAGAGTTGCCAGTATCAGTAGAGCTTGCCAGTGATTTTCTTGATCGTCGTTGTCCGATATTTAGAAGTGATGTTTGCATTTTTGTGAGTCAGAGTGGAGAAACAGCAGAAACACTGGAAGCCTTGCGTTATGCGAAAAGTCACAATGCATTGACTGTAGGCGTAGTTAATGTTGTGGGAAGTTCTATTGCTCGTTTGACAGATTGTGGTGTTCACATCAATGCTGGATGTGAGATTGGTGTAGCAAGTACTAAAGTGTATACAAGTCAAATAGTGGTCTTGATAATGATTGCTTTGCAGTTATCAGCAGATTCTCGCTCAAAAGTAAGTAGAAGTTGGCATCCGAATGTGTTCATTCTTATATTTTTATAGCTGCAAAGAAGAGAGGAGATATTTCAAGCTCTTATTTCTTTACCTTCAAAAATAGAGACAACTCTCCAGTTGGATTCGCAGATGAAGAAGATTGCCCACAGTTTGGAGTCTCGTTCTTCCATATTATTGTTTGGTAGAGGGTTAGTTGTCTCTATTGGTTTTTATAGCAATCAATGCTGATGTTTCCATTCATAGATATCAATATGCCACTTGTCTAGAAGCTGCTCTCAAAATTAAGGAAGTGTCCTATATGCATACCGAAGGTATTCATGCCGGTAAGCAGATATTTAACATTTTTTAGATTAAACTCAACTGTGCTACGAACTTTAATAGGTGAGTTAAAACATGGCCCATTGGCACTCGTAGATCAGGATATGCCGGTCATACTTTTCGTAACCAGAGATTCTACCGCTCGAAAGGTGCAGAATGCCCTTCAGCAGGTCCTTTTATATCTCATTTTATGAATTTCTGTTCTCAATTGCCACTCTAGGTTATAGCTCGAGGTGGCTTTCGAAGTATGATAGTTGTATGTACTGAAAAAGATGAGGAGACAAAAAGATTGAAAAGCGAGGTAGAGCTTGTTCAAGTTCCTGAAACTGTTGACTGTTTACAAAATTTGCTCAATATCATTCCATTCCAAGTAAGTTGGGACTAGTTAGGAAAAGATGATAAACTAAATAAGATTGAAAGCTTCTGAGTTACCACTTAGCAGTACAGCGAGGTCATAATGTAGATCAGCCGAGAAATTTGGCCAAATCAGTTACCGTCGAATAAGCCTTGGAGAGAGATAAAATCTATTTATAATTCTTTATCTTTTTATGTGGACCAGAAGAATAAGCTTGTTGTGGTCTTGTCCGATATTCGTTCAGCAAAACATACCTGTTACATTTATTAAACGTGTTGGTTTTATTCGTTGCTTACAAGTGTACCCTTACAACGTGAAAACTTGTGCAAGAGTGCCCTCTGTTGTGTGGAAGCAAAGCCCTTTGGTTACTTTCATGTCGTCCAGGTTAGACAGTAAAAGTGTTCACTGGTTCCTCCTGAAACTTTTTTTTACAAAGTAACGATACTGTTGTAGAGCGAGTGGAACAAAAACTTCGCGAGGTGGGTGGATAAAGGAGTGCACGTAAACGCTCTAATTAAGCTACAGGCTCTAAGTCCAAAATTTCTTCAAGTAACCCCTGCTTTTGACGATCCAAACGGAAGCCACGTCAGGTAAGTTTAGAAACAGTAGTTTTCGTACAAAACTTAACGTTTTAAGTATTCGAGTGGTTTCCGAAAAATTTGAAAATCTAACATCCCTCAAACGTCATCAACTGGTGTACAAAGCAATATGGGATGAGCTACAGGTTGGTTGGGTTTTTTCAGAACGATCAAGATGACTCTGAATATGTTATTATAAAAGGGTCCTGTTCACGCAGTCGACAGCATTGACGCAAAAACTCCTAAAGAAGTAGAGCAACCGTGAACAATATAAAGCTGCCAACAATTGCTGCTACTAGTTTCGAGTGATATTGATTTGTCTGAAAAGCGGCTTATCTAACCCACTTTTCTTTTGGACGAAGTTGTTTGTGTTTTGCCCAGAATAAACCGCAAGCGTTGCAAAGCCGTCTAGCACCAGGAGGTCCGGCACGCCAACCAGGTGATTTGACGGTTCCACAGTTCATACAAAACACATCGCTCCCACTACTTTCAAGTTTATGAGCACGGACTTGCACTTCATGGGCTGTTTTAGTCAGACGCGTATCATTTGTACAGCTTTCATCCATCTTGCTTGGCTCCTTGCTCATAGAAAACTGAGACTGTATATTGCCAAGAAGATGACTCGATAATTCGGTTGTGGGACGACGATCCCGTACTTCCTTATTATCATTTATTCCAGTCACGTTCTCTGTTCGTGCCTCTCTTGGTGATAACGAAAATTTTTCCGTAAAATATTTGGTGCCAATAATTAACTCCGACAAAAAGTTTAGTGGTACACTAGGCAATGCATAAATATTTACGAAAACTAAACTCTAGAGAAAACCTTACCCGAATTCCACTTGAAGTGAAACCAGCTGCTGCAACTCATTTAACGTAACGCCATACGGCATGCTGAAATCGATATTTGATATATCGAAATGGATAAGATCTTGGGTTAACTTTTCATCTTTCACATAAGGAACCAACGTCTCTAGCCTGTCACCGATGATATCTAAGGATGAAGAATAGTTATTTCTGTTGACTTCGGACGCATTGTTGCTGGAACCTTCCATGTTGTTTCTAGAGGATACAACGGTACTCTCATCAGCATTGTCATAGACTGAGCTGAACATGTCTCTAAAGAAATGTTTCAAAGTAGGATGTAATTGATGTGTGAAATTTTCTAGCGATTCACGATAATCTTCAAACTAAGAATGGTTTTAGTCATTATCAAAATCAGTTCTGAATATAACACACCCCAATAGAAGATTTTCCAGAAAAAGATTCGAAAGGACAACTCAAGGAAGGTGGAAGGTCGCTGACACATTCAGGTTCGGGTAAAACATCGACGTGTTCCTTTTTCAATATATCTCTCCTTCTTTGTCTTCCAACAGGTTCGTAACTATTTGCAGAAGCTTCTTCCGTATTGCAAAGATAAGAATTCGCAAGCCTTTCTATTCGACTATAAAAATCCTTTTCTTGTTGAGTAGAGTCATTCATATAAGGGCCCTATTGCACTGGGTCAGAAAATTATTCGTTCATAGCTATTCGACCTCACTCACTTGTATAACATCTGTATGAGCATTCCAAGAAGTCGCTTTCCCTTCTCTTTGTGACTTTACACACTCTAAGGTATCTGTCAAAGTACCCGTACTGTCAACACGTTTGCTTTCCAACGAACGTTTCAGACTACAAGAACGTCTCATAGCGCCATGCAACGCTCTAGCTTCGCCCTCAAGATCGTTCTTGCGTAAGAACAAGCAGAGGTCAGAAAAAACACGGTTTGAAAACTTCTGCAACTTCAAAGCACACTGATAAAACTGTGTGTTTGGACCGTTGTAAGTACAGCAATTCTTCCAAATTAAGTCAACATCTTGCCATAATTCTTCAAATGAAGCATAAGAGTATGCTTCAAGTTTTGCTTGTACAGTTCCAAGGTCCATAGGCTGCTTTATCACGTCAAGGTAGTCCGTTACATATGTGGTGTCCACCGGCTGGGCAAAAAACCGAAGACTATCCTTCCTTTGTATCCTCTTTATCACCTCTACACCCTTGCTCTTAATAGTTTCTTTCAGTGGCTGCTCTCTAAAGGAAGATTGCTTCTTGAGTTTTGTTTGAGTTGTCTTGTTGAGTCTTGGCGCCATTCCACTTGTCCAATCGTTAACACTTCCGAGACAATGCTAAGAGAGAATGTCGAGTGATGAACTTGTAGAGACCGCTGGCATCCTTTTTATTAATGCAACTTTGCAGAAGAGAGGAGCAACTTCAGAAGACTGTAATAGAAGACGTTCAATTGACCTTCCTTATCAAGTATCTGAGTCAATACGAAAAAGTTTGGAGAAGAGGTTGTCGTCACCGTTTTGTGTTTTTCTCTTGTATGGTTCGGGAGGCGGTGGACACAAAGCTAGTGTAGATGCAGTTAGTTATCTTTGCGAGGTAATGAAACCTGTCATTGCCGTTGATTGAGCTTTCTCACTTTACAAGGTCAAATATCCTCATTGGAAGGTAGTGGCACTCAATGTCTCGGAACTTGCAGGTTGCGAGTTTGGTGACCGGGTCTATAACTTTATTCTACAACAAGACTTGGCTGGAGTTGTTGGTGTTTTATACAGTGTTGCACAGACATTTGGGCCCCTACTATCTGATAAGTTTACTGGTCGTCTGAAGCGAGAGTGGAAAAATTATCCAAAGCCGAATGTAATCCTTTCATTTGTTCCATTTTTGAACGTTTCTATTATAGAAAGTGCTCCGTATTCCAAGCATATTACTGTCATGACAGATTTTACTCATACGGAAGCTCATCCTTGGTTGCAAGACCAAAGACAAACTGTTTTTTGTGGCACAAGTGAAGCATATGAACAAGCAGTGACGAAGGGTTTTGCAAAGTCGAATCTTAAGTTATTATCTGGTATGGTGGTACATCCTCGTTTCTATCCTGAGTTTGTATCTGACGATAAGATGTCTCTGTTGGATTATTTAAGTGTGTTTGGTCTTGATATGTCTTTTCCAACATTTATGATCATCTTTGGTGCCTTTCCGCCTTACGAATCAACCATGCGTCTTATTTCTCTCTTAAGCCTTCGAGGAACAACTGAAAGAAGTATTAGAAACGATATTATTGAATTGAATAGAGCTGGTTTTGATCAACCATTTTTGGAAGCGATGTTGAAAACGATGGAAAGAGTGAACGTGCTTTGTGTTTGTGGCAAGAACAAGCGTTTATTGGAGTCAATACGAAAGAAATTTCTGAAAGATGAGGGATTTCTTGTTCATGCCATAGGGTTTACACATGAGATTCCATTATTGATGCGAATGTCGGAGTTGATCATTAGTAAACCTGGACCAGGAGTTGTTGCAGAAGCTTTGGTTTCCAGAAAACCTCTTTTGTTGGTAGCAGAAGAGAGAAATCTTATGGAACAAGAACGAGCAGTGGCGGCATGGGTTCGTCGTCATGGAGTCGGCAAAGTAGTCGGTAGTCTCGAGTCGGCATCGACAGTATCTTATGAAGAAATTATGCACTTGAAAGAGAACGTTGAACGTCTTCCAGAAAATCGGGCAGTTTTTGAAGTTGTGGAAGAATTGGAGAAGATTTCAAAGGACATCTCTTGACTCTGCAATTTTCAATTTTGGGGAATTTTTGAAGATGTTGTTGAGCTTTATTCAGTCGCCTTCAGTTTTCGCCAGAGTACATAGTGTCAAAAGAAAATTGTCGTTTGTTAAGATTTTTAAGACAAAAGACAAACACAAAATAAATAAGATACCCTATTTGATGGTTTCAACAAACAAGTTTCTCTCCAGAAGAGAGATCGTAGCAGCCCATATCATTCTTTTGAGTATTTTCTTGTCCATAAGCTTTCTTCCAGTGGGTGCCAGTTCGGAAAGGAAGGTATTGGAAGGTCAAGTAAGAGTGATAGATGGAGACACTATTCGTTTTTTGAACGGACCTAGAGTCAGATTGAATCACATTGATGCTCCAGAGTTGAAGCAAACTTGTCTTCTCCAGGGAGTTGGCAAAATATATCATTGTGGGAAGACTAGCAAAGAGACTCTAGAAGGTATCATAGGGAACCATAAGATTTACTGTGAATCTGACAAACTTGACGTATACGGACGTTGGTTGGGCACCTGTTGGACTCTGGATATGGGGCAGAAGGGCATTAATATCAACCAACGAATGGTTCAACTTGGTGAAGCAGTCACCTATAAGGGTGCTACGACATATCGAGTAGATGAGGAGGCTGCGAAAGTCGCCAAAAAAGGGTATGTGGTTTGTTTATTGTGTGGGAAGTGTCATAGCTGATAGGGTTAGTATATGGAGTAGCAGCTTTCAATGGCCTTGGGAGTTCCGCAAAACAAAACGAGCAGAACTTTAAACTGCTTTATTTTCCAATACAGAAGTCTCGAAAGATAACGTCCAAAAGTTGCTCGGTTTCCACGTGACCCGTAATTTTGCCTATTTCGTTCATGGCTTGTCGAAGTTCTTCGACTGCTAAGACAATACTAGCAGGAGTCTTTGGAAATTCACCTAGTAACTGGTCAGACTATGCAAAAACTTTGAAGACTTCATAATTATTTACCAAATCGCTCAAGCGCTGCTAATGCTTCTTTTAGACAGTTTCGATGTCGTTGTCTAGTTATTAGTAGCTCAATAGCAGTCTCGTTTCTGTCATCCTGAAAATCGACTGTTTCGAACCATTTACTAATGAAAGAGTGGAGAGTTTCGATGAGATGAGGAATTCCATCGCCCGTCATACAGGAAATTTTCAAGACTGGAATGTTTCTCTTTAACAAGCTATTCAACCACGAATGCTCGTCTTTAAATATTTGTTCCAACCGTCGAAACTCCAAACCATTATGTTCAATAAGATCCCATTTGTTCAAAACAAAAATAACGTTTTCATCCAATAAATCAGGATATCTTTCCAAAAAATTGTCCGAACATTGATTTGCATCTTGGACAATAATTTTGATATTGGCATCTGATGCTTTCTCCAATGCCCTTCGAATTCCTTCTCTTTCAACAATATCCACATCCTCATCCTCACGAATTCCCGCAGTATCGCTGCAGACAACCTGAAAAAATCAATTTATGAAATGATTATTGCCTATTACATACTTTCACGCCATTTAATTGTAAAGGGACTTGCACGATATATCTCTTGTAGTGCCAGGAATACTTGTTACAATAGCGATATCTCTACCAGCTAAAATATTTAAAAGACTACTTTTACCAGCATTTGGAGAGCCAATGATAGCTACTTTGATGCCGTCGTGAACCATTTCTCCTAGAAAATAAGTTTATCATTTACAGAATGTGAACTGCCTTTCATCTATTTTTCATACCTATACTCTTTCCTTCAATAGCTCGACGAATTTCTATTTTTATCTTCTCACAACTAGGAAATGCCTTTTCAAATATGTCATCTGGTAGTTCTGCTTCTTCGCCGTAATCCAAAAGACCTTCCAAATGTGCTAAAGTTTTCATAAGTTGGTCTCTCCACGCATAAAGTCTATTTGACAAAGCTCCATCTAAATTCTTGAGTGCCTGCTGAACTTGAAGAGTTGTTTCAGAATGGATAAGATCAGCTAAAGCTTCAATTTTAACGAGATCCTATCTTATAAAAAGATGAAAAAAACAACGGAAAAATAGCAGATATACCATCTTTCCATTCTCGAACGCACGTCTTGTAAACTCCCCAGGTTGCGCCAAACGAGCCAATTGAGTATCCTCCAGAACCTTTAAGACTGAAGCAACAATTGCAGGACTTCCATGCAAATAGAGTTCTACCATATCTTCACCTGTATAACTGTTCGGAGAACGAAAATAAGTAATCATTGCATCATCAAGGTGAGCGCCCTTTCAAAAGTTAAAAGACCATATAAATCATAGTGAAAATGGTAAATCTACCGTAAAAGGATCCACAATTCTCTTTCTTATCAACTTCCGCGGGACGAAGTCAAAGGATTCCGTTGATTTGGAAAGTCGTTCCAATAACTGCAAGGACAGCGCTCCACTAACTCGCACAACAGCCAAGGCAGCTCGACCTGGCGGCGTCGATAGAGCAAAAATAGTATCTTGTATATTGTTTTGTGCTCTTCTTCTACTCTCACTGGAAGCGCAAGCTCTGTGATTTTTCTCAGAGTCAAAGTGACTGCAAGGTGGCATCATTTTTGGCAAACAACGATGTCTCGTTCTCCAACCGGAAGAAAGAGAAAAATAGTTTCTCCTCATTGTGTAAGTTTTTTTTATAAAATTTTTCCCCCATATATCTATCAGGTCTCTTTGGAACTTCATAACGTGCAACGAAGATACCCATAGAAGCCATGACAAGTGTTTCCGGTAACCCATAATTTCAGAGCCAAAGATGAGATGTCCTCGAAATGTGGCATGAATATGATTTCAGAAATGTTAACAGGAATCAAGCAATTGATATGCATGTTTCAAAATGAACACATAGTATAAAGGGTAGGTTTATAAGAAAATCTTCTTCCTTGAGACTTGTGCTCTGCTGCAGGTGAAAGGAATTGCGAATATGCAGAAATGTGAATGATGTTATCTAAAAGCTTATATAAACATAGATTCAATTCTTTCAAAAGCCAATAAAGAATCGTATCAAGGACAAGAAATTGTCTCATAAATATAGAAACTCCTCCAAAAGTCATTGTACAAATAACTCTTCATCTTGAAGCATCTTGGTTGAATAACAGTCAAGACTACAAAAACTCCTGTTGTTCATTTCCAGACTTGGCTTCATTTTAAATAGGATCTTTCTACCACAGTTTGCACAACGTGCTGTTTCCCAAAATGACGATAAGATAAACTCTACAGTTCCTACACTATCCTCTGGTGGAGCTTCATTCACGCATAAAAAATTCAAGCTATTCCAAGGAAGAGAGGTCATTTTATGGATAAAATACTGGACGAACGTACCTTCTTCTTGTACTCTTTAGGAATACCGTAATTTCCTCATTTTCAATTGAAGTGGAAAGCTGAGGTAAGCTTTTTGCTCTTCTCATGACTTATTCTTCTCCGTTACTGCAAGTTTCGTCGACCAAGAATAATATTCGCAATCAGTCAAACTCCTTGCCAAATCCGATTCAAAGCGCCGGATTTGATCGTCGTAATCACAAAAGAAACTTCGAAATGTCCAATAGAATTAGTGAGATTTGCTGCATTTTGTATGGAGGAGCGGACAATACACGAAAGGACCATTATTACGGCATTTCTTTGCCACGAGCTTCGCTATTGTTAAAAATATACATAAGAAAATGTGTGCATACATACGCCATCAGAATATAAACAGCACCAAGACTTGTAACTTGTCACTGAAAACTGCGAAGAAATATTAGAATACTTGGAGAGCACCCCAAAGTTTCAAAGTTTTAGCTCTTCTGCAAAAGGGCAAAAGGCATGCAAGAGAAGATCGCTTAAATAATAAACAATAGCAACTTGGGTATATATAGGAAAGTAAGAAAGATAGTTATGACGCTATAGGTTTCTATGGCAAATCGTAAAGTAGTATATGCTATAATCAACGTCGGTGTCTCATCTGACAATATATTTCTGCCGTCCAATAAACCCTAAATAAACCCATAATATCCGTTAAAAAGCCTTTAAGAAACTGCTAGAACGAAGACAAATAGCAATAACTCAATCTTTTGGGCCATGACATGGTTCTTCGTAGCGCTTGTCATTGCGCTTCAGCCTTGAGAACATTTCATATCCACTGATTTATTAAGAGACAACAACAGCAACTTCTCGTTTACCTTCTCATTTAATCTACGAATTGTGCGTTCTAAATGGAACGTTTCAAGTGCTCAACAATACTTCCTTAAGGCTTGTTGAAAGGGATATAAACGAAATACGAAATTCATCATGGAAGGCAGGTGACTGACGAACGTGAGAAGTTACTAAATGATCGATGCGCGAACTAAGAATGTCGAAGTATCTATTGCAGAGTCTACGCACTTCTATATTGATATGAATTTGATGCATATGCATCTGAAAAGAATTGATCCTAAATTGAAGTTTTCCCGACAGAGTATATATATGACAATCAAACTTTATCTTGAAAACGAAGAAAAGAACAGCTAACAACGCAAAGCTCCGACATTAGGCTGTCTCTTCGACAACCTTGAGAATATCAGAATCTCCTGGGTCTGTAATACCTAAACAAGCACAACGGAAATATTTTCCACAGGCTGTTCCCAGTTCAACGTTATCTATCAAGAATCGTCAGTTCCTTCTTACTCCCCCTATTTCACAAAACCTACTCCCTTGAAAGTGGTGTACGTTACACTTTGCCAACAAACAATAATACTCAATTTGAGATCGTACAAGGGGTGGACAGTTGTTTGCAAGGACCACAAGCTTTGTCTTTCCCTGACGAAGACTCTTTAGGGTGCTTTTTAAGCCTAAAGTGGTCTTCCCGCTTTTCATAACTAGTGCTAGTCTAGAAGAGATTGTTTCTGTAGATTTTTTCGACTTTTTGGAAACCATCGTTGATACAGAGTTATATTTTAGGCTCCGGAAGCTGTTTTTTGCTCCTTCTCAGCCTCACCAATTAAAAATAATGAACGACGGCGATGACGATGACCGTCTACAACTTTGGATTCCATTGGGTTTCAGAATTTCTTTCACAACATAATTATTCCAGAATGACATATGGAAAACAGTTCTATAGTATTTCATCAGTGAATATAATCTCAAAGTAAAAATATTGTGATACTAATATATGGTGTTTCAGAAATTTACAATAGACTTGTTTTACAACATTACAAGCTACTTCTATAACGAAAGGTTACACAATTTCAACTTGCATCATACAATTCCAAGTGATGCAAAAACAAAGAATGAAAATTCAAACTTATCAAATGTTTCGATAACACCAATTGGCTTCAAATGATCCATTTCTGGAGAATATTACTTCATTTTTCGTCAAGAAACTTTGCAAGCATTGATAATAACTGTTCTGAATAAGTTCTCCATAATAGCCAAGAAGGAAGTGCGCCACCCTTAAACAATGGAGTTTGTAACTTTTGTATCCATAAGGTTGAGTTTGAATCCAAGGCAATTATTTGTTTGATGCAAGACTCGAATGTATTGTTTTCTTCGTTACAAACGATGATAGCATTCGTATTCACAAGTTCGTCAATATTAGGAGCACCCCAATAGATTGGAATAGTATCAGCTAGAAAACTATTGAAAAGTTTTTCCGTAATGTATCCAGTTAACTGCGAATTTTCAAAGCAAAAGGAGAATTTATATGGACGATACCACTGAATAACCATATCCCTATTGTTATCATACGGTGGATCGACTCTACTGGGTGGGTCCATATTATGACGACAATTACCCAACGCATGTACAGGTTTATACTTGGTTGAAAGAATATCAAAAAATTGTGTCCTTGTTTCGCCTAGTTTGTTGTCTCTTGAACAGTACCTTGCAGCAAAAGCGGCAAACCAGCTTTTTGCTTTCCACTTCTTCTCCGCTTCCGAATAGGACAAATTTCTCAATAGGTCTGTAGTAACCGCTGCTTTTCGTTCAGCAAAGGACCACAAGGCATAAGGTATATAGAGAACATTAGAAGAAGACTCAGCAGGTTTCACAGTACTGACTGTTATGGAGTGTTCACTGCCTCTATGTGCGTTGGGTTCCATATCAATAAATATTTTCGTCGCGTTTGGATATTTTCCAGAACAAGTACCCCATGGAGAGTGAGCAATCACGTCTGCTCTCTCTGGCTCCTCTTTTAATACAAAATACCACCACTTGTGAGAAACATTGAAAAGTTCAAATAGACCTTTATAAGCCCAGTCTTCTTTGCAATAAGCAACAACAACTACTTTCTTCGAGTTGTACGAAACATAAGAAGCGTTGGCAATAACATTGTGTGAGTTGGCTCCGGTTGTCTCAACCTTTTGTACCGATGCTTTTCCTAATAGCAGCAAGAAACTGTACTTGAGGACTAAGAATACTGCCAACAACGCTACAACGTAACGCAGTTTTCTTCTTCCACGGAAAGACAACCCTTGTCGAAAAACTTGAAGAAAACAATTGAAAAAGCAAGTCATACCAAAGGCTTCATTGATGCACAACCAAATTCAAAGCGTTTCATTTTATTCTCCATCTGGACTAACCTTTTGAATAGCTAAATCGGTGCAATAAATATAATAACGAAGATGCAACAGCTGCACCACAAGAGCATGCTAGAGCATAATTAAACCATTGAACAGTTTTCTGACGGCCTTGAGAAGAGAAAAATAGCATACTATCTAAACTACCCGGTTTTACCTCGTCTTCCATCGAAGTCTTTCCATCCCGCCAAAGACGATAAGCAACTAAATGAGCACCCCGAAGACCTAAGTCTTCCACTAGGACAACATAAACTGGAATCTATCAAGTTTCGTCGATCAGAAAGTAGAAAATATTTATCAAGCGAACTTACCCGAGCCAGCTGTGGACTAACTCTACCCTTATTTTTAAAAGATTTCATAAAATTGCAGTTCAAATCCCTCAACCTCTCTATATTCTTTGGAGCAATACCACCACATATATATATACCCCCATAGGGAAGATACTTTAAAGCTACATTACCCACTTCTGAGCCATACAATTCGAACATGATCTCCATTGCCATTCCACAAAGTTTGTCATCGTACACAAGTGATCCTATTAATCTTGCACCCTCTACAGCCTTTAGAATTCTCTCATCATGTATCGGATTAATATCTTCCGGAAACTTTTCCCGTAGAAACTCGTAGATGTTTTCCAATCCCTTGCCACTTACAACTCGCTCAACAGACACGCGATTGGAGTTGAACTTTTTCGTAAGAAAAGTCAAGAGTTCACTATGAAGATCTGAGAGAGGAGCAAACTCAACGTGGCCTCCTTCGCTAGGCCAAGCTTCATATCTTCCTGCAGAAGGTGTTAAGAAACATTCCCCTAATCCAGTTCCAGCACCAATGCAGGCAATAGGAGCGCTATAGTTTGGAGAAGCTTCCTGAATTACGCAATATTCTTCTTCTTTTAAAGTAAGAACTCCATAACCGTTTGCTTGAAAATCATTAACGAGTACTACTGCGGGAATATCCAAAGACAGTTCCAGTTCCCTACCATCTATTATCCAGGCGTTCCGATTAGTGAAACTGACTCTATCATTAGTTACTGGTCCCGCTACTGCAAAACAAGCACTTGTAGGTCTTACATGTCTGCCCAGAACTTTGCTTGCTTCGTTGAGAAATTGCGTCACTACGGCAGCAAAGTGATCAAAACCTTCATTCTTAAAGTTTTCCGAGTACAAGGCGTGATGCTTTCGAATGTCGTCTTCAACTCCGCTTACTTCAAACAGTGAAAAACGTGAGTTTGTACCTCCAATGTCTCCAACAAGAAAAACTGCAGACATTGCACTTCACCAGACTCTAATTGTGAAGAGTTCAAGTTTTGCAATCAATCCTAATTTGGCCACAGGCATTCATTCATTCTATCTGTTGATAGTTGATACATATCTAAGTATATATTTGTAGGCAAAGCGGAGAGAAACTTGAAAGTATGAAATATTTTTCGTGAAATAGAATTTTACAAAAAACGTGTTTATCTTTCCCAGTAGGTTACAATGGCTTGTTCTACTCCTAATCCTCTTTCCAAGGAACACACTCATTTAGGAATTATCTGAGGACAAACTACTCATCGAACTTCTTGAGCATGTCCGTAGTAACGATTAATAAACGAAGTCTTGCAGGTACTGATATCTGGCTCATTGCCTTGAGGGTAAAACTTAATGACACGTTGGCTTCTTAAAGAATCTTTATCTTCTTCGGATAGATTATCCAGTACTTTTCTCTTTCTCTCATTCTCTTCTCTCTTCTTCCTTTTAGTGCTCTTGACTTCAGAAAGGATACTCTCCTTAAGAGACATTGCAACACTTTCAGGAAGCTCCTCTTCTTTAAGTTTTTCCGAAACAAATTCTTCCAAGTCGTCTAGTTCCCAGTCATATTCAAATACAAGAGGTTGGTTACGACCTGGAACTTCGGCGACTACGTTTACAGTTGTTTCTAAATCTGTGTCGTCCTCTTGTTTATCTGGATTCACAATATACGGTAAGACATATTCATATTTCTTCAACGAATCTTGACTCAAGTTACGAAGTCCTGCTCTTCTTTGTTCACATTTGAGGACATATATTCGCGGTTTAAACTTCTCAGGACTCTTCCTGAAATACTTCAGTGCAATATTCATAAAACACAAAGATAAAAGCTTACAGAATATTACTAGGAATGAAAGGATACCAACCCATTTTCATTCGTTCCATTGGGACTATTTCTTCTTCGACACGTTGGACTGACTTGATACCTACGAAGGATGGAGGCGGTTTCTTGCTTTGGATGGCAACGATAGCCGGAATAGGAACAACTGTTTCCTTTTGGTGAACTTTGATAAGCTGAGCTATTCAACAAAGAGGCAAAACTTAACGCCCAAGATTGAATCTACAAGACATGCCACTTACGCTCAGTACAGCCAAACAGATAAACCTTCCCTGACGACAGATCACCTTCCTCGAGAGCTTCATCTAAGTGGCCAAAGTCCCAATCAATCTTTGCAACTTCTCCAAACTGGTCCCAGTCTGTTCCAGCCAAAAACACTTCCTTCCAAACATTCATCTGTCAATACTTCTTTATTGTATGATTGGATTTAGTATCAATTCGGTATGAATACGGACAGCTTTGATGTTGAAGTAGACATAGACAACGTATTTGAGGTGTTATTGATTGCAAATAGAGACTTTGTAGACAAGAAAGACCTTGTTTTTTGCTTTCGTAAAGCCTGGAAAGACTTGGGCTTAGACGAGGCTTTCCTTTTAGAAAGAGAATGTGACATAAATACGTTGCAGCTAGTTATGAACTTAATTAGGAAGTCTTGTGAGGCAAAGGAAGAAAACCGGAAAACTTTCATTCCAGCTTTTTTTGAATTTATCTTACAAAATATTGTGTTTTCAGAAGAGTTGAAAGATTTCGACGAAGTTGAAAGTTTGCTAAAGAAATTATTGGAATATTCTTTTTCGCTTCTATTACAAGGCTATGGGGAAGATTTAAGCTGGCTCGGTGAAGTCGAAGTGTCTCTTCTCCGTATAGCCTTTTTCTTATTTGTCAAAGTGTTAAAGGTTCCTGAGAAACGGTCCAAAACACTGGGCAACTTTGCACCTGAAATTTTTTACATATGCTTGTTTCTCTGTTATTGGCGATCACCTGAGAATATATCTTGGATTCAAGAGCAGGAAATTGCAAAGGACAAGATAAATATTTCAGAGAAAGGTCCAGATGTAGTTGATAAGAAGAATTCCGCCTATTGGACATGTATTCGTTGCATTCAAATTTTAGGCATTCACAAAAGAGTTGACAACGTTCAATCCCTTGTCGGTCAGCTTTGGCCTGCATTGCAACCTATCTTTGTAAAGGCACTCAAATATGAAGACTATCAACGAAAGGATAATATCTTATCAGAGCATCCAAGTTTTTTATCCCACTTAATCAAATATTCTTTATCGTTGATGAATGTTGAAGAACTTGAAGGTCATATATCATCCATTTTAAGGTTGCTGGTACCGTTATCACAAGATTTTGACAGGCAGCGGCGTCTTCAAACCATTGAAAGTTTCCAGTTACTCATTCATCGTTGCTCTTCCTCCGTAGTTGAAGAGCACAAGTCTTCATTCTATATTATTTTACGGGTTCTTTGCCGTTTTCGAGAACCTGGTTTGATAGATACTTTACTTTCGTGTATTATTCAGTTCATTCAAAAAATCAAAGCTCATTCAAAGGACTGTTTTGATGAGTCATGTACTTCAGAATTCTATGAGTTACTTGATGCGGTGATTGACCTTGTATCGTATTGCACCCTCGGTTCATCATCCTTTGCAATCAGTATGAACGAACTTCGTCGTGTTGTTTGCTTTCATCTCGCCTCCTTCATTCAGGTTGTCGATAAGCGGATATATGCTCGTCTGCAACGTTTGTTGCCCTGTATTTGTGAGTTATTAGAGAAAACTTGCTCGTCAAACAAGGGTATAGAAACAAATAGTTTTCAAAATACAGCAGAAGCTCTCCAGTTCTTGTTAGTTATATCCCAGCCCTTCATTCCGTTTTATCTACAAACCCTTATTGGAAGTATCTTGACCTGCATTTCAACTGCCAAAACATTTATGAATATTGAAGGTTATGATATTGTCTCTATCAAATGCATTGAATTGTTGGATATTGTTCGTGTAAATTCAGAGCCTAGTATATTTTGGAATTGCATAAACGAAAGTGAAGAGATTGGAAAGGAACCGCCCGGTGTGGACGGAGTTACTGAGTGGATTGTTCAGTATCGGAGACATGTAGTTAATTCTAAACATCATTTTGGTTCCCTCGAGAAACTGCATTTGGATACTTTTGATGACTTGTTTGAGAATTCTTCGAATCCTTTCAAACTCTTTCTTCAAATATCCTTGTAGAAGAATATGGAATAAGTTATCTGCAAACTATAATATTTCACACAAAGTTGATGAAGTAATCAATATTTGGTAAGTTTGTAAGGTTCAACATGGGACCAGAGTCCGATACTGTGGATTCTACTTTCCTTTGATGACACAATACTCTTTGCTCATTTTATAAATTTTATTGTTACGACAAAGTTTGAGAGGTTCTTTACCATGAACTTATTATACCTTTGTATAATTCCTTGTAGATGTTTCTGGTAGGCTATCCAATACAATTTTCTTTAAAATATGGTCACGTAGTTGCCTATTCCGGTACGATGCCTTTGACTAATGCATTCACAAATCCTTCAAAAACGAATCAACTATTATGCTGACTAAGTAACGCATCACCAACCATAAAATATTACGAATTTCTTGTTCTCTAAGTTTTAAAAATCCATAGAAAACGCCGTAATGAAATTGCTGTTCGAAAGTTTTCTTCGATAATTGAACCTTGCGTAGGCGTCAAATATGATTGCATGTTAAAGACTTGAAGCTACTCAAACCTCGTATTCTATAAAAGAATCTTCGAGCGATTTCCCGGGACTATCCGTAGAATACTGGAGAAGACGACGAAATAGATCATACGATTCCAAAACAGAGTTCACTGACTGTACATCTTCTGCTCGAGAGAGTTTCAATGTACCCTCAGGAACCTAGTCATAAGTGAAAATCAGCACATTGAAGGCACAAGTAGTTCTCGTACGAGGCTTCCAATGGAAGGGTACAAGTTTTCTCTTGCCTCTCGACTTAACTTGGATCCTGTTTTTCATTGAGTTACTGCAACTGCCTATGTGCAACACAACTTTACCTAAAGAGTTCAAAGTAATATTGATAATTCTTCTGTCAGCTTCAAACTGCAAGATTTCGCACATGATTTTCTCTGTGGCTAAAACAAACCATTATTAACCGATCGACGATAACAACGCCATGACAAGTACTTACTTCCACCAAGACTGCAACAAAATTGATAGAAATCTTCAAGATAGGCCTTGTATAGAATATTGCGAATAATTTCAATGTTCGTTTCTGTCAAGTCATCAAAAGATACACATTCCGCAAAATAGGGTGCCAGTGGCGTGTCAACTAAGATTTCCCGATAAAGCTCTTCAGGTGTAGACACAATTGACAGAGTTGACTACGAAAACAGTCAGTTCAATGAAAACTTTTGATAACACTGAGTTACCATCGCTGGAAAACTACCAAGAGTGTTGCACTTTTCTAGAAGCTCCCCAATATCCCTCTCGTGCAAAGTTCCTGTCACCAGCAACACCAAGTTATCGATCATGTATGGATAAGTCAAGTAGTCCAAAAATTTCGTAAGAGGGTTTGTACTTTGCGAACGAATATATTGAAAATCCGACACTAACTTGACGGAACACTTTTCCGCAATTATCGAAGCGGTGAGCGGACTAGGTTCGTCTTGTAACACCACTGAATATTCTGTTCCCTAACAAGCACTAGCTTAGTCAGTTCAAAAAAACTATGAAACAAACTGAAACTCACGTTTAGGTGCATACGGACATCCTCCAAAGTCTCACATTGTGTCAAGTTGACATAGTCTACGGAAGAAAGCAACGACTAGAGTACAACGATTGGTAAGTATGATTTTCTAGAATCCACTCCAAGTCTTACGCTCTTATAACCACGAACGAGCGCTTCAATATAACCGTCATCAACGTTGAATCCAATCAAGTCCCTAATGTCTTCCATGTGTCGATACTTTTCACAACTTGGAACTGAGAATCCAATATGGTGGCCAAATGAACAATCGAATATCTATGGACTGAATGAAAACAAACAGTTTTGTATCACAATCTTCAATTTTACTAAGAAAAATTTGCATTTGGCATTTTAACGATTGCACGACCTACAATCTTTCGATTCTTCAAATCCTCATATGCTTGGTTGGCTTCATCCAACTCATAGACTGCAGTAATTGACTTCTTATAAGAATCGCTGGATGCAACTATTCTCACAATTTCTGGCATATCCGCTCGAACTCGAGCACCATATGAACCTGCAACTTGTAAACCTCGTCTTACCAACCTCTGAATATCTACCGAAGCAGTAGTTCCCGCAGGAGCAATACCAATAGCTACCACTTTGCCACTGTCTCGAATAATTTCCATGGCCAATTCGAAGGTTTGTCGAGTTCCCAAGGCCTCAAAAGCAATATCAACTCCCTCTCCTTCCGTCAGTTCTCTCACCTTTTGTACTATATCCTTATTATCAGAACGAAGAGTATGAGTCGCACCCATCAGTTTTGCCAACTCTAGTTTTTTATCATCTATATCCAAAGCTAATATTTGAGATGCACCACTCAGTTTACTCCAGTTGATGACGTTTAAACCAATACCGCCAGCTGCAACAACTGCTACTCGCTGACCGATTCGGACATCGGCATTATGACGAACTGCGCCATAACCAGTAAATACGGCACAACCAAGAATTGCCGAAGTATCTAGTGGCATATTTTGTGGAATAGGAAATACTGCAGTTGCAGGTACTACGCAATACTCTGCAAGGCCTCCCATAGAATACATCCAAATGGGAGACTTGTCTTCACGAAAAAGTCTGGTTTTGCCATCATACAACTGACCTTTTAAACGATTATAGTTGAAGAAGTTCTCACAAAGATCGTCTCTTCCCACAGAACACAAACGACACCATCCACAAGGCATGATGAAGGAAGCAACTATTCTTTGGTTCTTTTTGAGCATCTCACTTTTCACTCCAGGACCTAACTCTTCAATTGTGCCCGAAATCTCGTGTCCTAATACTGCTGGAGTTGGAAACTTCACTTCACCCTTTATAACATGTAGATCTGTATGACAAACACCACAAGCCGCCACTTTTACGAGAACCTCACCGTCTTGAGGTTTCGGAATGGGTAAGATTTCTGTACGCATAGGTTGTCCTACACCAGGGAAAACACAAGCTTTCATAGTCGATAGTGACATTTTCTCTAGTTTCACAAAAGACCAGGCAATCCTACGAAACGGAGAGAAAAAGGATAAAGTCATCAGTTTGGCGATTGGTCTTGGAGCTTTTCTACTTGGAGTTTCTCTTTGCCATTTCTTCCTAAATCGGAATTGGAAGCCATTGCATTGTCAGTGCATTTTATTGTTATCAGGTAGATAATGACAAGTTGCAGATCTGCCAACAAATATCATATAACTTGTGTCCTATAAATTTCATTCTAGTGATATCAAACTCAAGTTGAACACCTGCAACTCTTTTCCCAAAAATTGTCATAAGAAACTCTTTAGTGGCTCAACTCAGAACCTTGCAAATGTTTGAAGACTTTTATAGAGGTTTTCTGTCAATTCTATGTTGAGAACAATTCTTGTCACCAAGAAATTTCAAATAACAATCCGACGGGACAGAAAATTTTCAAAAAATAACGGTAAAGGTACAGAGTTTTCAAAGAATGCGATAAGTCACAAGTCTGCAAAAAACAGACAGTTTTTGAAATAGGCAACTTGAAAAGCACTCTGCCGATCATACCACCACCAATAGCTTATAAGACACGTTTACAAACAAAGATGAGCAAACTTCATAGGAAGTTGTTTATTGCAGTTTCTTTACAAAAATACAACAAGCTTGCTTTCAATAATAAACGAATTCAACTTGAGACTTGTTTCATGGTGTTTCCAACTATTAGCTGACTTGGAAGTGTGTTCACAAGTCAACGTAACAACTGTTCATAACACGACAACCAACTATCACCAGGGCCTTGTTGTTTCTTTTCTATCCAAGACCCTGAACACTTCTATACTAGAGAGGAAAGATATTTAACACAACTCGTTGTTTGAAAAGGCAAGTGGAGATCATGTTGCCAAACTGCCATTCTTCTTGCGATGTATGATATACACAAAAAGTATTCAACTTGGCGCTTTATGTTACAAAACTAAAAAACACTGTTTTCAGTTAACGAGAATAACAGTGTGAGTGTAGTTTTGTAGAAGAGTGTGAGAAACTGAAAGGCCTCGACATGGAGCAGGCTCAGTCACTGAAGAATCTAACCTTTACGCAACCCAAATAAGGCAAAATAACATATTTCGGAAACTAAAACCTAGAAACTAATGAAACCTTCGGTGCCTGAGAACTACAATCGATATCATTCCAATGTTATGAATGCACGACGGTGCAATAAACCGAAAAACTTTTATACATGTGAAGAATCTGTTGTGTTTGAAACTTTGCAACAAGTTATGGAGACATTAGTAAAATAGATTGAATTACAAATGATCTTTAACCTAGAGAATCATATTACTCTAGATTTCAGTAGTTGGCAGTTTCTCTTGTGACTATTTCTATTAGTTTGGACAAAGTATATTCTCAAGTAAGTAATTTTCTAGTTCTCTCAGCGCTTTGTAACGGTGTGACAACTGGTTTTTGACAACTTTATCCATCTCAGCATATGTATAAGAGGAACCTTCTGGTTGGAAAATAGGATCCCACCCGAAAACAGTAGGACCTCGGGCAGGAACTATTATGCCTTCCGTCCTACCGCATAGAACAACAGGTTCACTTTCTGAACCCAATGAAAAAGCAAAAATACACAGTGCATAAGCACTTTTATCCTCAAAACCGTATAAAAGGCGATTAAGACCGTCGTGACCTAATTTCTGAAGAAACCATTTGATATAAGGTCCTGGCAATCCTTTCAGTGCGTTGAAACATAGGCAAGTGTCCTCCACCATAACGGGGCCTCCAACTGCTTTGGCTGCCAATCTACATTTTTCTTTCGCAATGTATTCTGGTTCACCTTGCAATTCTGGAAGATCAACTTGCTTACTTTCTACAGCAATCTTGTCCACTCTTGCAAGAATAGACCGTACTTCTTCTAACTTATTTTGGTTTCCCGTCACAAAGGTGATTTTTAGGTTTCTTCCAGCTTTCATATTTAACGTATTTTTGCCTACCAGATGAGTATGCTTGTTCTTACAACAATAGCGAAGATGTTCAAAAGATGAAGTTAGCCACCAACAAGAGACAAAATTCATTTCGACAATTTATATATTTCTCTCTTATCAATTGTCACCAAAAGGTTTACTTATCCCTATTGCGATGAAATGAATAGTTTCAAAAAACAAAAGATATCATATGTCAGTACGAGAGTGTCTCCCAAAATCTCGTTTTCTAATAGTTGCATTTCCTCTCTTTGAGGTATTTACATGCTATCTATCTTGAAAGAAAGAGATGTTGAAAAGATTTCATGTTAAACAAGAAATCCTTGAATGCTTTATTCATTCTTCTCAAGTTTCTGTGACAAACGAATGGATAGGATTACCAGCCCCAATAGATAACGTTGTTCGATCAAATGACGATGGACAAATTCTGAAACTCTGCGAGAGAGAATAATACAGATGACTATACTGCGGAACTCTTTGGTCAAATAGAATCTAAAACAGCATAGCTGTGACACAAATGACACGACATCGATAGGTTATTATCGACAACAGTTGATGTCTGTTTCATTTCTGGGTTTACCACCTTTCAAAAGAATTAAAACACGATTTGCTAAAAATCTCGTAATGAATTCAAAATGCTTTAGGTAGATTTTTTGGTATAGGCAACAAAACTGTCATGGCTCATGTAGAAAATGCTGCTGTCAACACAAAAGTTACCCAAAATTTCGTTGAAAATTGTATCTTTTCTGGTTGGACGACGACGATGGCCAAACAGAAATCTGCTAGTGAGACATCATCAGCATCTTCCGATAGTGAGTCGACCTCTTCAAACAGTCAATCAGAATCATCTTCAAGCCAAAGTTCCTCGCAGTCCTCCTCACAGACAGGTTCCTCTTCCAGTGAAAGTTCAGTTTCCCAGTCAAGCAGTTCTTCTTCAGCGTCGTCCAATTCGTCTTCCTCTTCTGAAAGTGACGTAGATACTAGTTCTAGCAGCTCAAAAAGTTTAAAATCTTCACCATCTTCAGGAAAGGCTATTGTTTCAAGTGATAAGGACGGTTTTTCTTTAAAAAAAGAGAGCAAATCTCAAAGAAGTAAAACCCCGAGTTCCTTGCATACAGTTGTTACTGGAAAGCAGAGTGGCAGGCTTTCAAGCGAGAGCAGTGACAGTTCTTCAAGTTCTAGTACGTCAGAAGAAAGTGAGAAGAGCTCCAAGTCGGAAGAAAACTCTTCGTTAGAGAGTAGTTCGAATGCCGAGAGCTCCTCTTCTGGTAGCTCGTCGGAATCTTCAGTTCCAACAAAGACCCAAAGTAAGAAATCGAGAGTAAAGAATCAGAGAAATAAGACCAATCAGGAAGATAAGGTTGTGATTGGCAAGAGTAATGAGAAGCAGATAACTAGTTCTTCTTCAGAGGAGTCATCCTCAGAACGCTCAGCCTCGGACGAGTCCTCCTCTAGTTCATCTTCTTCGGTAGAACTAGGCAAGAAGCGAAAAGAGGTTCCTGTTGAAGTTTCGAAGAAGAAGAAAGGTAAAGATGAGAGGACAGGAGGAAAATTGGATAGAATGCCTAAGAAGAAGATGCCCACAAGTAGCAAGAAAGAAGAATATCAATCTTTGAAGAAAGAACCGGATACAGATAGTTCAGAATCGTCCGATGATTCATCTATTTCTGGAGATTCCGAAGAAGAGGAACAAAGCAGTGCATCTTCTAGGAAA